AAATTATAACCTAATATAATTAGTGGACGATAAAGATAACTACATTTAAGTTGTCAAAATAATCATAGAGATATCTTAACTAGTTTACGAGATGTGGCAGTAATCAAAATTGAAAGAATAATCAAATCTCCTATTCTTTTAAGGAGGGGCATCATCACTTCAGATAAACTTATTGCCTAATCCTATTTCTATACTTGAAGGAAAAATCAGATTAAAAATTATTAATTCAGAGAATGAAAGTTCCAAATTTTAAGAACTAGATCAAATGAACTTAGATTCATTTCTAGATAATTTTGAATATGCTGAAAAACTAATTATTTTTACTTTATATTTTACAAAAGATCAAGAAATTCAAATATCTATTTGTAAGATGAAGAAATTTATTATCATTTATAAAGAAGGGGAATTCCATTAGGAGTAAGATTACTTAACTAATCTGGACTTGACATCATGGTTTAATATAGATTTTTAACTAAAAAACAATTAAAATCTAATAGTTTAAATTAACGAATAGAATTTCATATTTTAATTACAACAACAAGAGGATTTGCAACCCTAATTTTCCAAGTTCGTTTTTGGAGTTAATATAAATGATCAACTATAGGAATCAAATGAGGAATTCAATTGTTCTATTGAATTATTAGATTAATGCTCATTTGAAGGATAAGTATCAGAATTTTACTTAATAATAAATAACTCGAAGATCTAATTTGAGCAAATTAAAAAAACAAATTTAAAGCGATAAACAATGATATTCATTAATTCAGAAGTCTTTAATGAAAATTAGTAAAAATTTGATGAATTGTTTTCTATTTCACCAGTTTTGCAAAATGAGTGTAAAATATGTTTTCAGAATGTCTATAAGTTAGATATGAAAAAAGGAATTGATTTCATCCAAAAGTGTGGAGGTTTCAATATCTTTAATATGATTTTAGATTTATTATATACTGAATGTGAAAATACAAATGCAAGGGATTCTGAATAAATTATCATTTTGGTATTGAAAATATTTTAAGAAAATATGATGATGTGGAATTCTAAGGTGAGTAATTTTATTAATTCCTAAAATCTATAAAACATGGAAGAGAATTGCAAAAGATGGATTAACATAAATTAAATGATTTCAAATGAATTCATCATTTAATTATTATTAATCTATTCGAAAATGTAAAATGAGTAATCATCCTTTTTATTTCTCATTACTATAATTAAAATATTAGATAATCAGTTCACTACCTTTGATTAAATAAAGCTCATATGTACAAGTAGTATAATTCAGACATTGATAACCTCAAATTGTTTAAGAAAATTCATGAACATCCATTTGTATTATGAAAGTAGATATTTATTTGCTTAAGTGTCAATAAAAATGAGTTAAGCCTTTATGAGCATTGAAGAAAAACATTTGTTTTCCTATTCCTTATCTAAATGCATTCAATATTAAGGGGATATATTGATTCCAGAAATTAATCCCATTACAAATTTTTTTAATTTATTAGTGAGCCAAAAATGTTTTAATTTATTCACTTTAGACATATTATAAATAATAGATATATTGATAAAGGATAGAATGAAATAAAAAAATAACATAAAAATTGAGGAAGAAACCATTCTAAATAGTTTTAAATATAAAATTTTTCAAATTTTAAAGAAGTAATATAAATAGATTAGTGATAATCGATCATTTATTTATGAATTTGAAGTAAATGATAAAATGTATGAATTGACATTTTCAATTTATTCATCAATAGTTTTTTAATTAAGGTAGAATTCTAAAGAAAATGGAGAATTGAATACATTATAAATTTATTTTGATTATTTCCTCAAGAATAGAATTGAAGTTGGATAATTATTAATTTCAAAAGTATTAACTCTAATTAAGTAATTTGAGGTGGATGTACTATTAATAAAGAAACTCGTAAGGTTTTAGAATTAATTGATGTTAAATCTATTAATAAAGGATTCAGTTAAGAGAACAATATTAATTTGGTATTTGGATTTATTTAAAAATGCTGCTCTAAAAAAATGGAATTCAGACATTTTAATTTTAAAACTAGTAAAATTATAGAGTTTTCCTATGTTGATGAAAAATCTAATGACTATTTCTTTAGATAACAAGCAAAACTCTTTAGATTTATTCACATATTTAGTTATATATCTTATAGAAATGTATCCAAATTTGACTAGCGAGACCTTATATGAAGTGCATATTTAAAGCTAAATACTTAGTAATGATAGTTTTAATTAATATCTATAGGTTGTTTATCATACAACAATCTCATTTTATGCTCTAAAATAAGCGCAGCCATTTCAAGGAGAAAAGGATGAGAGTAAATTAGTAAATATCATAATTCTATATATGCATATCGAAAAATGTATTGGAGAGATATCAAATTTTGAAATTGTTGATTGGAACTAGTACTCTTAGATAATGGACAAGGGCATTGATCTATTTAATTATTTAGGAATCTTATTTTATGATCATGACTACATCATTCCAGATTTTGAAGATACTTTTGATTTAAAATAAATTAAAGAAGACTATAATAAAATGAAAAAGTAAAACAATAGAATTCTACCCAATGGAGGCATTAAAAGGTTAATGCAATAATTAATTGCACCTTTTGTGAAAATTCCATAAATGATTAAACCAATAAGAAATTATTTATCTATTAATAAATATAACATAGAGGGTAGAATTGATTAATAAAGTTGTCAAAGAATTAAAAAATTTATTGATTAAGAATTCTCAGTTTATCTATTTATAACAAAGAAATAATACAGATAACAGTTAACAACAATGTTACATAATGCAGATCTTAATTAAGGGAGAATAAGAATCAAGGAGAATGGATCTAAATTAGTTAAGCATTATAAATTTTACTAACTCTTAGTTTATTTCGCTCTATTTGAAAATAATTAACCTAATGATAATTAATTAGATAAGTAAATATTAAAGAACTAATCAGAACTTTAAGAAATACTTGGACAATTTAAACTGACCAGAACTATGGATTGGAAAAATGTAGATCCTAAATTAATTTAATGTTTTTTTCATCAACAAAAAGAATCTTAAGAATAAATATTGAAGGCTTTTAATAAACTCAATACGCTAAAGATGTAAGTCTAATCGAGTAAATAATCAATAATAAGCACACATGATTTATCATAAATAGATTTATCCAATAATGAATTAGCAAATTCAATTCGATTAAGTATATTCATGGATATTATAATTTACTACCAATTAATTCATAAACTTTGGGTGTTGTATCCTATTATTATGGAACCTTAAGAGAAACAGAGGACATAAAGTAATTTATTAGTTTATCCAAAATTATCCGTTCTAACCTTATTTGAAGATTCTTATAAGGAATAATAGAGGACACATAGTTAGTATTAAGAGTCAGGATATTAGTCATAATGTGGTTAAGTTAAAGATTAATTATAATTAATTTAGCAAAAATTAAACAGTTTTATTTACAACAAGAAATGTAATTTTAAATTTGTGGAAACTAGGCAATGGAAATGGGTATTTGATTTGTCAGACTTCACAAGAAAACACCCATTTTTACAAATTACTAAAATTAATTAATTATATTGTTCATAAGATGAAATAGATCATTAATTTGATAAATAATAAATTCAGAGAATGAAAAAAGAATAAGATATTCAAAATAAAATTAATAATGCAATTATGAATCTTAGAAAAAGATCACCAGAAAACAATTAGGTAGGGATTACTAAATATAATTGTGAATATATAACTTATCAAGGGGTTTATTAAGGAGTGTTGAAATTTAATGAAATTAATTAATCTCTTCAGTTTGAATAATAAGAATTAGAATCAGAAGAATTATTTTCGAGTCCACAAGTTATTTAAACAACAGAGAACATATTCCTTGAAATTACTCTCGATAGGATAATGAATGTGCACCCAAGGAGGTTTTTATTAATGGAGATTGCTATTGAGATATTTATTGATAGATAGAATTACTTCTTCAATTTATTTAAAAATTCAGAATAATAATTACTATTGTAAGAATTTAGAAAGAAGAAAGTTTAAGTAATTGATCCAAAATAAGAATTTAAGAAAATGAATTATTAAGAGAAATGGGTTGAAGGATAGTTATCAAATTTTCACTATTTAATGTTAGTGAACATTTTTTCAGGAAGAACTTGTAACGATTTAAGTTAGTATTTTGTATTTCCTTGGGTCATTTAAAACTATAAATCTTATCAAATTGATTTCTATTCCAAAGAAGGATCAGATACATTTAGAAATCTCAAATTACCAGTCGGTGCAATTGCAAAGAATTCTGAATAAATAATTAAAGATTATATGGAGAGAGAAATAACTTCTACTAATGGGAACTATCAACATAAACACCATTACTCAAATGCTTAAACAGTTCTCAAATATTTGATAAGATTGATCCCTTCAAAATTGATGGATGAATTCAGTACGTCTGAAAGACTATTTTCAAGTATTGAAAATTTATGGGAAAATAGTATAAATTATGATAATAAGGAATTGATTCCAGAATTTTACTATATGCCTGAATTTCTAAGGAATATGTATTTGTATGATTATATTTAGTAATTTACAATAACAGTCAAGAATCCCTGTTGTAGAATTGCCGAATTGGGTTAAGACGTAGACACCTGAAGAGTTTGTTTATATAATGAGGCTAGCACTTGAGAGTGATACAGTGTCTAATGAATTGAATCACTGGATCGATTTGATATTTGGAAACAAAAGTATTGGATAAAATGCAGTCGACTCTGCAAATATGTTTCATCATCTAACATATTAAGAAAATTGGAATAAATTGTTAAACTAGAGTAATGACTACTTAGCAATAAAATAATATTTAACTAAAATTTAAGATATTGGTTAAACACCTAAATAATTATTCAAGAAGAATCATTAAAAGAGGGTATATAGTTTGTAGGTATTTACAAATGAGATCCCTGATTTTGGCAATGATCAGTTAAAACAAAACAAGTTGTTTGTCTTTCAATAATTTGATCGGTTGACAGAATTAAGAAAATCATAAATTTTAGGGTTTTATCCCTATTCCAAAAAATGCATTTATATATTGAAGACTAATGATAAGAACTACAATAATCTAACATTATTGGAGACTAAGCATTTCTAAGATCATTTTGATTTTTATCCTGAGATCTAACTTAAATAGATGTTTGAATTGCCTGAGCTAAAGACGGACGGGTGCAATCCCTAAAATATGTTCAGCTTCATTTATGAATAGTAGTTTGATTTTGGGGATGGTTATGATTCTTAGTATTATAGTGTTTTTGAGGGGAAATAGAATTACAAGTTGTATTTATGTTTGGTAGGATTCCTTGATGAAAGCCTAAAAATCTACGATTTAAGGAATAAGATGAAGAAAATTAATATCAATTTTCCAACCTCAGACTTAGAGAGACAAAAAAGGACATCATGTGTTAGATTTCATGCTGTTTCAAAGATTTTAGCCATAGGATCATTAGATGGTTTACTTCAATTATTTTAAATTCAATTCAACCATTAGTTATAAGTTAAGGGAGTCTTTACTAAGTAATTAGAAAATGGAATTTTATGTATAGATTTAACTGATCTTCTTATTTTAACAATAGACTATAAGAATATTGCAAATCTATTGAGTTTAGAAGGAAAGTAATATATTAAAAATATAATAGTGTATTACATACAATTTATATAGATAAATCAAATAAGTTCTGGCAATGTTGTATTTAAATGTAATTTCTAGTATTTAAGAGCGTTAACTCCTAAATTTCTATATTTACAATGAATGGAGAATAATATGTTAAGCCTATGACCTTATTGGAGAGAACTTCTTCTAAAAACATTATGTTCACAACGCCCTTCTCATCTACATTTGTATTACAAAAAAGTTATTATCTTAGTTGTTGTATTCCTTAAATCAAAAAGAAGATGAAGATATGCCTAAGTTTGTACCTGTAATTTATTATTTCGATATATTTGATTTAAAGTTCAAGTAATAATAATTTGGGTTCTTAAACTTTAACAGAATATTGGTCAATAAGGGAAACCTAAGAGGAAGCGGAATATCAGCTATACATATAAGTTTTATGAGATGTAAAGTCGATAAATAGAAAAAGATGAAACATATTTATTTGATAGCTGTTGATAATCAAATCTTATAATACATGGATGAACATTACGGTAGGATTTTATTTATGACAATAGATTATTTAAAAATGATGAAGTATTATTTGAAGAAAAGAGAAGTTTGAATAAATTTAGATATTATTATTACTTAATTATCATTTTAATTTATATAATTAGCTTATTGTTCTATCTCTAGGATTTTTAGGTAATTAAGGTAGAGAATGTTATGAACTCATTACTTTTGGTAATTTTGGCTTGCCTTATTTCAAAGCATCAGTAGTAATAGTTAATAATTATGAGAGATCTTTTTATTTTAATAGCAATTTTGGTAATGGCTATTAAACATCAATTTTAATTGGCGTTGGTTCTTCTGTAATTAATAGTTCTTCCACACTGATGTTCCCATCTATTCTGATTGAACCCTCCTTCACAGTTGTAGAATTTACTATAGATGTATTTAAATTTACTTGAGATGGTTCTATATCATTAATAGATGTATTTTAGATAATCTTTTAAATTTTCACTCCTCCTTAAATTCCTTACACATACTATTAATATTCACTTTTAGTTAATTTCAATCCCTCTTCCCATAATTATAAATTCTATTTATTCGAGAATGAAGGTCCTTATTTTTAATTCTAACCTTCAGTCAAAGTAACACCTTTAGCTACTTCAATTTGATCAAATACATTCTATTATTGTTTCTATTAGAAATTTATTTGACTCCCCAAAAAAGGTTTGTCTCCCTCTATTTTCACATGTGCAAATGACTTCCCAAATTCAATAACCTTATTCTTTTCTTAAAACTACACCATTGAACTAACTCTGGGTCTGATGGGTGCTAATTACTCAATCTGAGGTATATTTTAAGGCATGAATTTCCCTTCATAATCAAAAGTATATTTCTTATCACCTGTGAATGAACTTGCCAATAATCTGATCTATCTCAATTATTCTTTCTTTTCTGCAATCCTCTATTGTTCAGCCTACCACTTTTACTATCTCAATTATTGATCTCTCTCCAACTATAACCTCAATCCTTAATCAAAGGGATCTTCCTCTACTTTTTGTTACATATTAACAAACTCTGGCTCAAATGGTTCGAATTGAGTTTTTAGAATTTGTGAAGCTCTTTTTACTGTAACAGAACTTCTCTGATAGCCTGCATTAAAGGATAGATGAGATTTGGTTACACTATGGCTAGTATGTGTTGTTTAATGAAATCGCAGATCAATATTTGCAATATAACTTCTCCAACAATCTTAAATTCTTATTTCTGGTTCTGTTTCAAGAACCAAACCCTAATTAATATTCTCTGTCATCATTTCATCAGGTTCATGAATGCCCAATGACACAACATCCTCTGAAAACTATAGAGTCCATTTTGGCATTATCAGAGGAATCTATTATTCGAGATGCTTTTCAATTAAAATCACACTAGATCGTCTTAAAATCTCTCTTATTATCGAGCGAACTGCAATCAAACTTTACGATATGTCAATAGCTATTTCTCTATAATCTTCCAATTTTATAGATTATTATGAACTATAAGACATTTAATGTGATAATAAATTTTATTATTCTGTTTTTGATTGGACTAATACATAGATATAATTCAATATTTAATAAATGTTTCGTCAATTTAGTTATTATGTTAAGTGTAACACGATTTTGATTATTAATCATCAAATTTCAATTGTCAATTGGATTATTACAATATATTATAATCTATAAAGATACTCAAATTTATTTCTTAGAAATATAATTTATTTGAGGCAATAAATAATTTAATGGAAGCCATTTCAAATACTAACTTCCCTAAACTAGTTTTGAATGGAAACATTGAGATTGTTTAGTATGTGGACTAAGAAAGCTTTAAGTAACTTGGAAAACCTAAAGCTAAATACTCCAGAATTTCATAGCTTCCAAGCAATTTAGAAAAACTAAAGTCGGGCTCTCTGGTGCATTCTCTATTGTTATGAAATTTATTGATATGTATTGTCACAAATAGATTAGATATTTTAATATGAAAAAGTAGATTGTCTTATAATTTGATTGAATTTAGAGGAATGCTGTTAAATTCTTTATTCTACGAGGATTTTAATTCATGTCTATGAAAACAGATATATCTTCATTAATTTGGAGATCACCTTACATTAGGATAATTGATAATTAATAAAATATTAAAATCATATAGTAATCAATAGTCTTTTGAAATTGATTTCTTATTAAGTGTGATATCATAGATGAAACAATAGTATTAAAGTTAAATCCGAAAATCTTAAATCCGAGAATATAATTAAGAATATTTATTGAAATATGACAGAAACTGTGAAATTTGAGATGACTCCATTAAATACGAACAAACCCGAACCTTCTACATCGAAAACACTCAGAAGCAGAAAAGTTGTTGATTTAGTTTTCTAAAATATTACCTATGAAATAAGTGATTATTGAAGTAAATTTTTAGATAAACGAATAATTCTGAATAATATCAGTGGGATCTGTCCTGGTGGACATGTCACAGCAATTATGGGAAGTTCTGGTGCAGGTAAAACAACATTACTGAATGTTTTGGCTTGTCGAATTTCTAATTCCAAAACCAACAAATTGACTGGGAAATTGTTGGCCAACAGTTGTCCATATGACTACGAGAAGTTTTCTTAGTTTGCATCCTATGTGATGTAGAATGATGTTTTAATGGAAACTATGACTCCGAAAGAAGCACTTTAATTTGCTGCCAACCTTAAATATAGTGATGCAGAAATAAAGTAATCCAGAGTTATTGACACTCTTAAATGCATGAGACTTGAGAGATGCTAGAATACATTCATTGGAGGAATTAATATGAAAGGCATTTCAGGAGGAGAGAGAAAAAGAACTTCAATTGGATATGAATTAGTCTCTAATCCTAGTTGCATATTGCTTGATGAACCAACTTCTGGATTAGACTCATTTACAGCATTTTAAATTATGTAATTATAAATTGTGATTAATTTATAGCCATCAATTAAGAAAATTATCAGATGAATAAGACAGAACTATCATCTTTACCATACATTAACCAAGTTCAGACATCTTCTTACTTTTTGACAGGATTATGCTTTTGGTTTAAGGGAGATTAGCATATTAAGGATCCAGAGACAATATAATCAACCATTTCAGCAGTTTTGGATTTAAGTGTCCTGACCATTCTAATCCAATGGATTATTTCTTATCTATAACTCATGCTGAAGATAAGTAGAATATTGAGAATTACAGTTTGTATTTTCAGGAATACGAACAGAAATTACAAAAATAAATAGACTCTGAAATCTAGAATTGCTGCAATTCAGATGTGCCATTAAAAATTAATGAAACCTCATTTACATATTAAATAGGTGAAATATCTTCAAGAGGAGTCAAAGACATTATGAGAGATCATATGCAATTCAAAGCAAAGGTCATATAGGCAATCTTTTTGGGCTTATTGAAAGGAGGTGTGTTTTGGGGAGCTGGTCGTAATAATGGGAAATTAGAATAATTATTATCAATATCTGGAGGTATTATAATTATATATATTTCTTCCTTAGCCTTGTTTTTCATCTGTGTGGATTTTACAATGAATGCCATCATGTCATGTATTCTAAGCTTTTCAGTAGAGAGAGAGGTCTTTTTGAGAGAGGAGAATTCAAAACTATACACTACTAAATCGTATTTTCTAGCTAAATAACTTATTGAGATTCCATTTTGTGTTATTTCACCATTGATCTAATAAATAATAGCATATTGGATGATAGGATTAAATTATGACTCTGGTGAAATAGTATTAATACATCTCCTTATCTCAGTTTTAGTATTTGTTTGTTCTAATTCAATGGGTATATATATAGTTCTATATTTTAAGGTTTAATGGCTGGAGCTGCATTCAAAGACATTTAAATGGCATTAAATATTGTACCAGCAATAGTGACTCCATTGATAATCTTTTCAGGGTTCTATTCAAACTAGAAGTCTTTTTATCCTTGGATCGGATGGTTGCAATATCTGAGTCCAATGAAATATGGGTTTGAGGCCATGTCTTATAATGAATATTAAGATAAGCAATATGATATTGATCCAGAAGAACTTTATGGATTTAATATAGGATTGTGGTGGTGTGCTCTAATTCTTTTTGGATACATAGTTGTGTATAGATTCCTGGCATTTCTATTTTTATATGGATTAAAATAAAAACTTCAATGAAATTTTGTATATTTAATAATTGCTCACATTTTCAATAATATTAATAAATTAAATGGAAATTCACGAATAACCAATCATAAATTTATTGTCTTTCTTACATCTTCAGAATCCTATTGGCGATTATTGTAAGAATTTAAGTTAAGATAGTCTTATCTGCAAATGTTCCAGATACAATATTTTATGAGAATTCAATTCCTAAATTATGGTTTTTTAGTAAGAAGGCTCAAGTGAGAATGAAATCAAGGATGAAATTGGATGACAATTATATTCGTTAATACTTCCTAGAATTGAATCAAGAGATAGTGGCCATTTGGAGAACCAAAACGGAATTGTCAGTTTTTAATAAGGAGAGTCTGACTAAGTTCTTTTAGCAACAGGGGTAGAAGGATGGGATTTTATAAAGGTTTGTTTATCCAAAGGGTTATTTTAATTGCACTATTATAATTTAATGGAGTCAGAATTAAACATTGTTTGAAAAGTTTGAGAGTAAATTCTTACTTAATGACAAGTCGATTGATATTTATTAGCGAGCATTAACTCATGAGAGAGATGGAACTTTGGCACAATAAATTAATAGTAAATCTTTGACAGAGAGATTAGAACATTTTAGTGGAGCTATAGCTGCTCATGGTAATGATTTAATGAAGTGGAAATCCAAGATTATAAGAATGACATTGGAAATCAAAATAGATAACTCTGGTTAGATTTGGCTTATCAATTGTGTTCTTATAAAGTGGTCTACATAGGAATAAGTACATATGAAATCTCTCAGTCTCCCCTCCTTTATTGATTAAGAAAAGTTGATCCTCAAGCAACATAAAAATATAGTTAAAGATAGTTAATGTGAAATGTGTGATACCTTATTTCATCGGAATGATTTGATGAAGACATACATAAAGAACATCATTGAGAGTTGGAATTTCGATCATATGGGGGATAATGATAAATTATTAATAACAAAGAAGAAATAAATTCTTCTGAGGAAGAAAACTATGGCTGAGAAATTAGATGTAAGATAAGATGTAGAATTGAGATAAGTAAATTAAAACTATTTGATACCTACTTTAATTAGAAAGATTTTTCCTAAATTAAAATATGTTTAATATAAAGAATTGTTGGGTAATCCAGGATTCTTGGAAATGGAATTCAGTGTTTGTTATAATTGTCATGTTCAAATTGATAAAGGAGTCAATGTGTCATAAGATCTAAGTAAATTAGCAAAGTAAGAAATGCTATGTCCTGCAACTTATAGGGGAATCCAAAAATTAAGACCTGAAGTCTTGAAAGATCGTTTAATTGTATTACTTAACTTATTACTAGACTACAAGGAGGGAAATCTTAAGGAAAATAGCTAATCATGGACATCGGATTGATGACATTGCCCCGGTTTCCACAAGAATCTTTAATTAAACTAATTCAAGCAGAATTATTGGCATTTCCCCTATAAAAAGTATGATCACTTCTATACTCCCAAAATATTCAGTAATTACTCTGGATACTAAGGTTAATAAGAATGCCACTACAAGAACACACTCAAGAAGAGTCAGTGATCTTAAATGAAATAAATTTGTCAATCTCTTTATTTAAATTAATATTATAATTATTTAATAATGGTTGTTATCCCACTTTAGTTATTATGTTATTATTCATTAATATTATGTAACAAATGTAATATCACTCTTTCTGCTCTCTATTTTAATGTAATTTTGAATATTCTTTCAAATTCTCTGCACTAAAGTAGACACCATTTGCAGATACTCCTGAAGTATTATTTGTATCATATTTCCAGGTTCCTCTCTTACTACAGTTTCTAATTTTTATTGGTTGTGGTGTAAGTGGTCTGCCATTGTAATATTAGATCCCAAAAAACTTGCCATTTCTCAATCCCTTAAATTTTGTAATTAAATCCATTACCTTGAAATGTGCCTCAGTAATAATTATATACTTGTTTTCTGGCCAAGTCTTTCTCCACACTTTGAATCCTACTCCATTGTTTGGGTATTATGCTAACATTTCAGGTAAGCTTTTATATGGATGTCGACCAATAACAATCAAATCATTAAAAGTATAGGTTCGAATTGCTTTAGAAAGCATTTCTTCAGCTGCTGTCCTCAGAAGTCCTTACATTATATTTAATCAATTGATTTATTCTTATTTATAAACATAAATCTCATAATAATTCGATGAAATCAAACGATGTTGTCTAATTCCAATAAATTTAATGTGGAAATCCTGTTTAATCTCGTGGAAACACTCCCAAAAATTGGTTTACAATTGGCTCCACAATTTGATTGTATTATCATGACTACAAGAATACAAAATCTTAGAATCGTCATTGAATTGTATTTAATATACCTTCCCTTGATGACCATACAACACTTGTATGCAATCATAAGAATCATCTGTCATCTGATCATACAATCTAATTGACTAATCCCAACTGCATGAACCAAACAATTTGTTATTAGAACAAGCTATTGATTGCACCTTATCGGAATGATAATAGAATTATTGTTTGAAATTCCACTACTGTTTGTCCTTCCCCTCCCACAATCTCACAGTCTTATCAAAACTACCTGATATTAGATACTCCTATTAACTAAGAAATCCCAATGAATAAATAGAATCAGTGTGTCCTAACAACTTCTGAACCTTGGCATAATGATCCTATTTATATGACCAAATTAATATTTCCTAATTGCTAGCAGAAGCTATTAACTAATCCTAATTCCCAATTGCTAATGCAGTAATCCAATCATCATGTCCTATCAGAATGTCATGTATTATCCATTTGCCTTCACACTTCCAAACCTTTATTGTGCCTTCTCTCCCTCCAGTAATCAAACTGTTGCTGTATTTACTAAATACTATTGTATTAACTATGTCATCATGTCCTTTTAAGACTGTCTTCTTCATCGTTTATAAATTCCATATATCAATATCTGAATTCAAGGTCACTACTGCAGCCATATCCTCATCCTTTGATATGTCTAATTGCGATATTTCCCTCTCATATTTTGGCAAAGTCATATCCAATTTTACAAGCTTCTCCTAATTTATATTTAACTCTTCTAAATCATCCAAAACATTAGACAAAACATCCACATATTCCTCCAAATCCTCACTTTTGAACTCGATTTCTTTTATTGATACTTAATCTTCAACAAACTCAACATCCTTCGATAACATTATTCCTAAGTCTTCTACATCCTTCAAAGTCAAATTACCCCATCCAAAGAATCTCTCTTAAAATTCACTCAAATATTCCTTCTCTGTAAACTCTTTTAATTTACTGTCAAACATCTCTTTGATCTTGTCTAGTAGACCCATAATTTATTCATATTTTCTATTGAAGTCAAACTAAAGTTATTATATTAACTTTATTGCATCTTTCCTTCTTTTCTCAATGTATTCCTGCAGAACTTCGTTAAGATAATTTCTATGTAATTATATATCATTGCATCTGCATTATTTACATAATGCTCTCTTATTTGTTGCATTTTAACCAATATTCACATACAATATCTCTAAACCATGTATATTACAATTTAATTTAGACAGTTTGGCTTCAAAAGATAACATTTCCTATAAATTAATTTTATAATCCTGATTAATATTAATTACTGTACTCAATTTTAAAATAAATATAAACTAATTTTTTATTATTATAGCCTCTCCTCTTTGTCATTTCAGAACATTCCTCAGATATAGACTGTTCGATTACATTTTAAGAATTGAGAATGTTAGATTATAACCATTTATATTTACATATTAAATAAACAGTGTATTTTCATGTATGTCATTATTACTTTTATGAAAAATAATTAAAATAAATAATTTGTACTTTCAACAACAACTAATGATTGATATACATAATTTAATTATTTTGCCTTATTGAAATAATGATAAAGTGAGATGAATTTTTGATTTTAATATTAATTTCATTCACATCCTTGTACTAAATTAAAATTTCTATTCCAAAAAGTGAAGATAATTAAATTGTTAGAAATTATGACCGTCTCCTTTATAGAATTTACTCTAAAATTCAACCCAATGTAGTCTCAATGAATGTAAAAAACACTCTAGAGTATCCATACACATAAGAACTCCAAAAGTTGCCAAAGCATAAACCATAAAAGTTAAACATATTCCAATAACAGATCCGCTTTCTAATTGTGGTTCTAAGGACATTTTGAAGAAGACCTAATAGTTAAATTAAAATTGTATACTTCAGATAATTGAGAATGTGCCAAACTAAGTGCCCACAATCTCAAATATGAAGCTGTATTTGACACAGCTCCCAATACAAATTCTATGCATTCAATTAAACTTTCAATATAAATCTCTGCAAAATCGAAATGTTTCTCTTCCTTAATGGCTCTACTTCCTACTAAATTGCCAAACATTTGATTTTTCTCTTCTTTTATGACTTCTACTTGTGCATGTTCTAATTCTACTAAATCGTCATATACCATTTATTAATTTCCACTATTAAAAAGCGACCTCTTTATTCTAATTACTTCTGGTTTAAGTAACATAATTATTGGAGAACATATAGCTATACGGATTAATATAGTTTAAAAGTAAACTTAATGAGGATACATTTCAGCTCCTGTTATTCCTCCTTATGTAAAGACCATATTAAGCAGAGTTGTAATAATTGAAGGTGGTTCCATATTATTACTGTAGTTAGTCAGCCATTTAAGTATTATTAAAAATGACATGTATCCAAATGTAGATAACATAAAAGCCAGTTCAGGTATAAAGTTAAAGATGAAATCAATAAATTTTCTTTAATTTAAACAATTCCAACCTTTCAGAAGGATACCAAAAACCATCTGAATCACTCCAACGATTATTGCAGTTTTCATCTTAAATGAATTCATCACTGTAAGGTGAGACTCAGACATACTCCATTTACCATCAAAACCCAACTAAAACTTTTCGAGTTTATATTCCAAAGATATCGAAAAGAAATCGTTATAAATAAAACCACAATATGTAGCAAACATTCCCATTAAAGTTATGAGATATCTGCATTCATATAAACTCTAAAAGTCTGCATATGATAGATATTCACTGCTATTTTCTAATTTTATACTTTTGATAACACCCTTACCAAACATTAATAAATAGAAACCAAAGAATGTCAAGACTATCTTTATATAGAATATATTTTACTCCATGTCCTATGTCTCCAAACATCATACCAAATAAAAATGGAAACGTGATTATAGTGAAAAGACCAGGATTTATTTCATGGTATCTTGGAATCCCATAAGTATTTACTAATTCTTGAAAGATATAAGTAAATTAATTTGTTTTCAATAGACTTGGTGGTTCATATAATTTTTCATTGATGTCTTGCATAATTTCAATTTGAACCCCAATTTATTTGATTAATTCAATCTAATTTGGTTCACACCACATTTGACCTATTAAAAATTGAGATTTTGCTTCAAAAAATGTGAGATGATAATAAGTAGCACTTACCAAATCTACTATGATCTTCAATTCACAAATGTATGAACAATAGCCAATAAAATAGATTTCATCCAACTCTAACGGTCTTTCCGCTGAAATATCAGAAAAAAAATCTAGTTGTTCTTCAATTTCCAGCTTAGTTGATGTTATGACTATGCTCAAATTAGTTAACTCGTTTTCTAATTCATTTATTTTAGTTTCAATTTAAATCTCTTCAGGTAATTAAAATATAGATACATTAAAAGCCTAAATTGATATTTTTATTGATGTACTTCACATATTTTAAGTAATTTAGTTTTTAAATTTTCATGTTTACCTTTAGTAAAAACCAACGTAAAGATAATCTTTTCATTGTTGAAATCCTTGAATTTTACAATTCCATTTTCTTTTGAGATTCTAAACACAATTCGATTAAATTTGTGTTAATCTGCAGCATTCATACATCCTACAATATATCCTAATTAAACCCCTGAAAATTTGTATATGAATTCTTTACAATGCTATATTACTGCACTTAAATTTAATTTGATATTTACATCTCTTCTTCTAATCTGTTTCTTTATTCAACAATCTACTGCAGATTTGTCTATTGATTCATAATAAATTGAACTTTATGTGTTAGTTCTTATTCGATTTTTATTACCTAATCTTCAGTAATTTGAAGGTATTAAATAAAAGATTTAATGTTTGGACAATAATGTATCGGTTTGTTATATAAGATTAAAAGGTTTTTGACCTCGCTTATTTTATTATAAATATCATCGCATCGCTTTAATTATTTGTAATAATCATGTTCATGAAATGCATGGTTTGAACAATTAACTAAATTAACATTATTCATTTGTCCTACTTTAGTAAGAAAATGGAAAGCTTATTCTCTTTCAACATACAATTTATACAGATGTATTTCAGTTGGTCTAAACATATTTATAAAAATAAACTTTATTAATTCAATTTTTCATTTTAATGATTAACTAACTAAATATTAATAATTGTTGTGAGTATTTATATTTAGGAATCATATGTAAATTGAGAATATCTGATTTGAACATTATAGAATATTATGAAAATACAATTTTTATAAATTAAGTTTCATTAATTTATACTAATAATTGATTCCATAAGGGAACTATTGGATGAGTGGAATACTTTATATTATTCAAAGTAACTATTAGGAAGTGTGTCCATTTGCAGTAATGAACAATCGTCAATTAAAACTTGATGAATTTATTGTATAATAGATGGTTAAATAAAATTTAATATTTTAAGAGAGATTGAAATTATTAAATGCATTTTAATTTAATAATTTTGCAATACTTTCTATAAGGCAAACTCTTTAGTATCTATGTATTTATTAATGCTTTTCGAAATATTATTTAAACCTACGATTGTAATATTTGATTAATCTAATTAAATTTAGATCAGGATTTTGCATATTCACTATTAAAAAACTTAGAATATTGAAATCAAGAATGATCTAGCAATTTATATAGCATTTGTTGATCATATATATTTAAAAAAATATACCATAAATAAAAATATAAAATGAATTTTGGAAAACCAAGAAGTGGCTCATCCGGATCAACTTGGGAAAAACTTAAAAAGTCAATATACCCAACAAATAAAGCAGAAAGAGAGAAGAGGAAGAAGCAATTTCTAGATGTTGCAATTTTTGTCGCTTCTATTGTGGTTGTTAGTGTCTTTGAAAAAAAGATTCAAACTCTCCTTAAAGTTGATAAATCAGAATTAACTTAATTCAGCAACATGTAGTAATCAATGCACGCAGCCTATTGATTAATAAATATAAATAATATATATGATTCTTAAAATTGTGACTTCTCTTGAATAATTTCGAAGGATTTATGATAATCAAAAATCATAATGATAACTTGTAGGAACTGATTAATCAGGCAATCTCTATTATTAATATTATGATTAAAATAGGTAAACATAGAGCAGCAGAAGGGAAAGAATTATTAAAATGACAAAATTTATATATCTATTATATGATCAATGTATAAGTCATCTAAGAGATTAACCATATTGAAAATAAGAGAGAGACGATATTAGTAAATATATGAGCATATTATTATGCAGTTTTAGAATACAAGTAGAAAGATATGTAGATTTCTTAAGAAATTACATAGAACCTAAAATACTAGCAATTAAAGAAATCATGTTATGAACTATTATATAAATATAATACCTTATCTAAATTAGGCATTGTCAATGAAATGATTATAATAATTCTACAGGCATTTTTAATTGTGAATTACTAATTAATCAAGCTTCAAAGAGATATTTTGGAAGAGTGACCAGAGAAATTTGATATGTTTATCCTTGTAATATAATCAACAATAAATTCATTCTTGAATGAGAAAAGATTTGCTAATATTGATTCATATTATCAAATATTAAAATCTAATATCAATACTGAATTGGTAATTGTAATTACTTAGATGATCGATTGTAATAATATAATTTAATTGTGACAACTCACCACCTTGAATACAAAATAAGGAGAATTAAATTTAGGAATTAATTTAAGAATGAAATAAAGGGTATTAAATCAAAATTTTATTTCTGCCTTTATAATACTTTATTCGATTAATATAGATAACTAATTATATATATACATACACGTGGATAAATCAAATCATGATCAGTAATACAATAAGAATTAATGTCTATACATATTATCTGGGTAAAAATATTAAAAAAATAAGACATATAAAGACTTTAAATTAAAATAATTTCTATTGATAATAATCTTCTGAAATGATTAAAGGCAAAAACTATGTTTTAAAAAGACAAACAAAATTAAAACTGCAGATTTGATTAAAGTCTTAACTAATTATTTTAGTAATATTATTTTTAAAGGTGCATTTTAAACAATGGATAAATTAATTATGTATTTTTAGGAAATATGAAATTGTTTATGTTTTTCTGGGTAACCTTATTCAAAAAAAGAGAGGTGATCCAAATATTGAAAATCTTAGATTTATAATACAAAAAAGAAAATTTAATATCTAAAAGAGTGGCCCAAAAGAGCACAACCTTGATAATTGTAATAGATACATTTATTTTATTATTTTGAAAATTTCATTTTTCAACTGAATTTATTATAATGTTTTGGGAGTTTATTGAAAAGTATCATATAAACTCATTGTAAATTAGAACTCAAGATTTATAAAACTGTAATATTATTTATCTGTCATTAATAAAACTTATAATAATCCCAACTCTACAAAATGAATGGCTTAACATTGACCTTCCAAAACCTTAATTACATAGTAAATCAAACAAAAACTAGTAAATCTTAAAGAAGAATGATCCTAAATAATATCTCTGGAATTTGTCCTGCTGGTAAAGTGACTGCAATCCTTGGAGCATCAGGAGCAGGAAAAACTTCTCTACTTAATATTTTAGCGAAAAGAATTTCTACTAAAAGCAATGTTGAAATAAGCGGAGATATATTGGCAAATGGTAATAATTACGATGCTGAAAAATTTGCTAGATTTTCTGGCTATGTTATGTAAAACGATATCCTTTTTGGCACTTTAACAGTCAAAGAGACTTTAGAGTTTGTTGCAACTCTGAAATATACTGATGAGAATGAGAAAAATTAAAAAGTTTATTAAGTAATTTAGGCATTGAAATTAGAAAAATGTCAACATACGTTAGTAATTACTTATATTATTTGAATAGATCGGTAATGAAATGATAAAGGGAATATCGGGAGGAGAAAGAAAAAGAACATCAATTGGAGTTGAATTAGTGAGAGAGCCATAATGCATTTTATTAGACGAACCTACTTCAGGATTGGATTCATTTACTGCTTTTGTCATTATGTATTTTGATTTAATATCTAGAAATCTTTTAAAATAGTTATCAGTAGTTTCTAAACGAACAATAATCTTCACTATACATCAACCAAGTTCTGATATTTATTTATTATTTGATCAAATATTTTTGCTTGCAAAAGGAAAATTTGTTTATCAAGGTTAAAGAGATAGAATGATTGAATATTTTTAGTCCATCGGATTTGATTGCCCAAAACATGCCAATCCTTTGGACCACTTTATATCAATAATGTAGAATGATTAAGATGAATCATTAGACCTTTAAGATTTATTTAGAGAATATGAGAATTAAATATTACCTATTATTGAATCACAATTATCAAGAATTTAACCTACTTAAATCCAAAAAGAATTATATTAAGCTAGTTTAAAATAACAAGTGACTCAGATCTTCAAACGTGGTATTATAAACGTAAAAAGAGATAGAGTTTTAGTAAAAGGTAGAATAATAATTTCAGTATTCCTTGGATTATTGATTGGAGGTATATTTTGGGATGCTGCAAATAAGCCTGGGTTTAAGGGTACTTAAAGTACAACAGGAGGGCTATTCTTTCTTGTTATAAGTAATTTTATGTAAGCATTGAATGCTGTTATTATTCAATTCCCAGCAGAAAGAGATGTATTTTTAAGAGAAGAAAATTCAAAGCTTTATTCAACATTTGCATATTTTGTTGGAAAGAGTTCCATAGAAATACCGTTCTTGATACTATTTCCAATTATCTAGTAGCTGATTGGTTATTGGATGATAGGCCTAAATGACTAATCTGCCAGTACCGTTGTAATCCATATTTTTGTGTGTATATTGTTAGGTATAACTGGAAATAGCATGGGTAATTTAAAATAATAAACATAGGGTTAATGGTTGGATCTATGTTATAGGATTCTAAGAATGCATCTGGAATTATTCCTATGGTTTTGATGCCGCTTATAGCCTTCTCTGGCTTTTTTGCCAATTAATCCTTATTTATGAATTGGATAAGTTGGGTGTAATATTTAAGTCCATTGAAGTATGCATTTGAAGCACTAATATATGATGAGTATGATACCAGAAGAGATGAATTTTCAGGAATAAAAATAGAAGATTTGAATCCAATAGAAAAATTCTCTTTGGATTTCGGATTATGGAATAGCATTTATGTTTTGATCACATTCCCAATACTTTTTCGATTTTTATCACTAATATTTTTATATTTGGGAAAATCAAAGTAGTAATGAGTTACAATTAATATGTGTGAAAGTTTGATATAAAATTAAATTCTTCATTTCATCAGAATTCATAATAAAGAATTCTCATGATATTTAATTTGTGGAATAAATTTTGGAAATTAAGACTTCTAAAATTTATTATTAAAAATTATAACATGAAAGGAACTGAAATCGTACCTTTTCAAAATAAAGAGTCAACAAATAGTGTGACGATCAGCTTCTAAAATTTAACATACTAGGTCAACGTTAAGAATCCTTAGAATGTTGTTGAGAACAAATTGATCCTGAATAACATTTCCGGAATCTGTAAACCAGGTTAGGTTACTGCAATTCTTGGAGCTTCAGGAGCAGGAAAAACATCATTACTCAACATTTTAGCCAAAAGGATAACTCCTGGAGGGAATGTGACATTGTAGGGAGCAATTAATGCAAATGGGTAGCCCTATAATAGTGATAAATTTTCTCAATTTTCATCTTACGTTATGCAGAATGACGTACTTTTTGGAACTTTGACTGTACGAGAGACTTTAGAATTTGTAGCGAATTTAAAGTATGCTGATCCTTAATAAAAGATTGATAAAGTGGATTATGCATTAAAGACATTGAAATTAGAAAAATGTCAACATACATTAGTAATTACTTATATTATTTGAATAGATTGGTAATGCTATGATTAAGGGAATATCTGGTGGAGAAAGAAAAAGAACATCAATTGGAGTTGAATTAGTAAGTGACCCATTTTGCATTTTATTGGATGAACCTACTTCAGGATTGGATTCATTTACTGCTTTTGTCATTATGTATTTTGATTTAATATCTAGAAATCTGCTTCGAAAATTGGCTCATACTTCAGGAAGAACAATAGTGTTTACAATTCATTAACCAAGTGCAGATATTTATATGTTATTTGATCAAGTGATGCTTTTAGTTTAAGGCAAATTCATATATTAAGGCAAAAGAGATGAGATGGTTAACTACTTCAAAAGCTTAGGGTTTGAGTGTCCAGCTCATTCCAATCCACTAGATTACTTAATGAGTATAATGCACCATGATGATTCAAATCATCCACATTATCAGACTCTATTTTCAGGATATGGTTCAAATTTTGTCTAGTAGATTGAAAATGAAATCAACGCTATTTAAGTCTAGTAGATATCAAGATAGTCAATTCAAACATCATTTGGATTCTAAGTTAAGGAAATCTTTAGAAGAGGAATGATTAATGTGAAGAGAGATAAGGTGTTAGTGAGAGGTAGATTAGTAATGACTATTTTCATCGGTCTACTGATTGGAGGTATATTTTGGACAGCAGGAAGCGAACCTGGATACAAAGGAATTTAGAGTACAATAGGAGTTTTATTCTTTTTGGTGATGAGTAGTTTTATGGGAGCTCTAAATCCTGTAATGGTACAATTTCCAGCTGAAAGAGAAGTGTTTTTAAGAGAAGAAAATTCAAAGTTGTACTCTACTGCAGCATATTTTACTGGCAAAAGTTCAGTGGAAATTCCATTTCTATTTGTGTTCCCTATCATTCAGTAGCTTATTTGTTATTGGATGGTTGATTTGAATTACAAGACCGGAGACATAGTAGTGATAAACATCATTATTTGTATCATGCTTGGTTTGAGTGGAAATAGTTTTGGTATAATTTAATAACTATTAATTTAGGTCTGATGACTGGATGTATGTTTAGTGATCTTAAAGCAGCTGCTGGATTTCTGCCTGTAGTATTGATGCCATTGGTTATATTCTCTGGTTTTTATGCTAATCAAAATATGTATATGGATTGGATTGGATGGATCCAGTATCTAAGTCCTATGAAATATGCCTTTGAAGCATTAGTATGGAATGAATTCGATACAAGAGATGATGAATTCATTGGTAAGACTATAGAGAACTCTAACCCTATTGATACCTACAATCTAACTTTAGGTCTATGGAAATGCTTGGTCATTTTAGCTGCCATAATTTTGTTTTTCAGATTTATGGCTTTAATGTTTTTATACTTGTTGAGAGGAAAACAACAATGATATTTATAATAACAATATATTTTTTTTATTAAGTTATATTTTCATTTAATTTTATTCAAATATTTTTGAAATCTTTATCTAAAATATCTTGTAAATAAAAAAAGATCTTATCAAAAGATCTATAGATGTGCTTTTTTATAAAGTAAATTACAAATAAAATATATCAATAAAATCATTGTACTATTCCTTGTTTATTTATTAAAACTCTAATTTTACCATGTGATAGTTATTAACATGATCTTATTGAAACAGAAATTGGATTGGTAATTGAATAATATTGTCCATCTATTTAAAAATACGTTCTTAATGGCTCATTCTTTTTAAAATTCAATTTGATTGGTCCTTTAGTCTAACTTAGTCTAGTGGCTTGACCTGGTAAAATTCTTTCAGATCCAATTCCTAAAATAGAATTAAATGATAAAAATTCTAAGACTCCATCTGAGAATGAAGGAGGATGAAAATCATATTTTTTGTAACCCTCTTCATATTATGCATTCATCCAAATATTTTTTAATCCTCCTGCGTATGAATTGATATTTAAACATAGCAAATTAATAGGATTGCCAGGAATGGTTATTGAATCTCTTTATCCAGCATTCTCTTATGTTTTAAATAACAATTTGTTCTACATATCATCGTTATCATCTAAATACTCCAATGTTTCAATTGATTAATTCATCTTGGGTGTTTTTAAAAACATTTTCTTGAAACCTTCCCAACAGTAGACAATTTTGTTACAACATTAATAAGTTGTTCTATTTTTATCAAATCCGTAACCAATTCTTGCATCTACGCCTATACTAAAATAATTGATCATTGGCTTATTGAATTTGTAGTCTTTTAGTTAAATTTTGAGTTCTCCCACACTATTGGTATGCCTTTTAATTTCACTAATGAATCCGTCCTTAAATAAGTTGGAGACATACTTTCTTAAGTACTATATCGACATCCCACACATCAAAGAAGGATTCAGCACCAATGAGCCATTATTCCACATAGTTCTGCAAAACCTTATTGTTTTTTCCAATGACGTCAGCTGGCACAGTGGTTCCCCAACCTAAACTATTAGCAAAGTCATTTCCAGTTCCGAATGGGAATGGAATGATAATACATCTATTTAGATCAATTTAATATTATAATAGTAATCCTACAATCCACATAATTGAACCATCTCCACCTGCCATAACTATATAAGTGTCATTTTGTTATTGTTGTTTGATTTATTCAAATCCTTTGTTCCTGGAAGCAAGTTCATAGATATTAAAAAATTTGACTCTTGCATTTTTGGGCTTAGTCTCAAAAATCAATTCTTATTGCTAAATACTAAATCACAATTCCTTTACATCGTATTTCACAAATTATTGTCCTCTATTACCTCCACTAACTGAATTATAGAAAAGATAGAATACTTGTTCCATAATTTTGTATTAAATAATTAATAATAGCAAAACTAAGTAGATGCGAATTAATAATAATCATTCTAGTAATTGTTCTATTTCTTAAGTGATTAAAAAGAGATCTTGAAATTTCGAACTATAGGTTGAAATCAAGGGATGGTCTGTTTCATTTTCAAAATTACTTGGTTTAGCATCTTCTAAAGTATGCTGACTGCTTTACTTAATATATTCTCTCAAGAGAACAGTATTCTTCTTTGGTTATGCTATAATATTTACAATAAGTCATTACTTCTTTTTAATTATTTTTTGGTGGCATCATCTATAAAATATTGCAATTGTTGTATTGTCTCAAGATTCTTTTGTCTTCTTTCTAAAGCAATCTTCTTCATTTTATTCATGATATGAGGGAAATCATCGAAAATCTCGTTTTCAAACGATGTAATAGTCAGATAATACATTTCACATTGTGATTCACATTAGGCTACAGTTTCTCTTTTGGTATGTAGGAATATTTCTATTTCACCAAAATAGGAACCTCCTATCATACTTTTAAAAGCAAATTATTTTTTTTGATTAGTAGCTTTAATAACAATGAATTCAGCTTTGAAATTCATTCTACCATCAGCAATAAAATAGATTGCATCAGGATTACTATTTTGTTCCCATATTATTTCAGACTCCAAAAACAAAATAGGTTTCAATAGAGGAACCACTTTCACTAAGAACTATTTGTCCTCCACTAGTTAAAATAATTGCATGTTTCCAAATACTCCATTGTGGATATTCATTATTATATCGTATCTAAGATTAATTGGAAGATCCTTAAAAATATATTTGTTATCTGCCCAAATAAAACAATTCTTATCAAAACTATATTCAAGGGTTTCCTTCAATTTTTCTCTCAAATTAACTGATATTTTCTTTTCTATACAAAACTCACTTAAAATTGCTTACTGTTATTACAGTTTATGACCCTTGTAATCGATCTATGAAAGTATACTAGACAATAAACCAATAATCATAGAATAAAACCCAACCCCTACTACCATTAAAAAGATTGTAATAAACATCTCAGCCGAAGAAAATGAATGAATATCTCCATATCCTACTGTTGTTAAAGTAGTAAATGCATAATAGATACTTGCTATATATTTAGTTTGGATAGTTGATGATGTTAAATCATTTCTAGATACCCATGTTTATGAATCAAAGTCATTGAATGCTGCTACATAAAACCATAAGCAACCTGATAAATGGATTACTAAACAAACTGAAATAAGGAGTGACAGTAATCTAGAGAATCCATAATTGAATTTAAAGAACTCCATTATCTCTGAAATTCCTAGATATTTCATCATGTCGATGAATCGAATGATCTTAAACAATCTATACATTCGTGGGAGTTTGAGCAATTTAAATAATTTGATGTTCTGGGATTACATATTGCCAGTTTCAGATATCACTTCATCCATTACATAATTCAAAGGGAGACATGATAGCAAATCAATTGTGAACCATCCTTTCAGATAGTTCATGAATATAACCTTCCTTTTCTTTACTAACTTCCCCTCCTCATCATAATAACCTGATAGACAACTGATTATCAGGTCTAACCAAAATAATATGTCTGTTCCTATATCTGCATAATACCAAACTCCAACTTCATTATCAAGATAAAACGAAACTAATATTTATTTAATATACTACTTCTGAATGGTAAAATTGTTGCCACATAAATCATCATCACTAAAAAGATTCCATTCCAAATCTACTTAAATAATGAATTTGGATGGATTATTGGAAATTCGAGTTTCTCTTCGTTTTGATCCTATAATTTCGATAATGGAAACAGATATTTTTGTAAAGCAGGTCTTAATCACCTTAATCAAAATCATACCTGTCTCTAGTCGAAATATCATATAAATTAGAAGATGTCCCATAAGTGACTATTTCTTTTGTCACTTAATTCAAAATATAAATCGTACGCAATCTTATAAGACATCTTCTAAATATTCTTTTAATCTCATCTTGTTCGAAATGCCTCTTTTCTGGCACGACTTAAGTTGATTTCTTTGATCTTAAGAAGAAATTCAACACCTTAAATGCAGTCTATCCACTTTTCACATGACTACTGCGGTTCATGGATAATAAATATGATTATAATTTCTTTTTTATTATTCATCATTCTTATCTCACATTCAAACTAAAATCACTTCATTTATCTAACATTCTTGTATCTCCTTTGTAATTCTAAAGATTAAATAAAGTCAATTATGAATCAATTTTAACAAACTACTTATTTTATTATGTAAATTAACATCTTCGATTAAATCATTATACTTTTGAATTAATTAACCTTTCAAATAAAAGATTTACATTGAGTAAGAATTGATTACTGAGAAATCTTACAAAAAGAACAATACTAAACAAAGAGATCAACCTGAAATCATTCTTTTATTTTTATAATAAAAAATTAATACCAATTTTCATTCGAATCCATGTTCAACAGAGTCTACAAAGCTTAAGAAGATCAACTATATTTAGATAAAGACATTCATACTATTAGATTGTAAATCCCTGAAAGCGACTTGAAATCCCAAAAATCAAGTAGATTGACTTCTTAAAGTTAATAAATCAAGTTAGTGACTAACACAACTAGGACTTAATAATATCAACAAATAACTAGTAACGCTTCGTTGGTTTCAGAAAAATTACTTATTGATTTATAAATTGTACAAGAAGAAAACGTAAAATTAATCAGTCAACTCCAAGTCTTGTAAATGAATAATAAATAATACTAAAAGGAAATATAGGATTTTGATGAGAAATCAAAATAGTTGGAAAGTAAATATAAGGACTAGTTATTGCGTATTTAATTGGAAAATGATATAAGTTTTAAGAAAGTTGAATAAGAAAATGTAAAATTGCTCAGCCAAGTTGAAGTATATCAAAAAAAGCAATCACAATACGAAATTTTGATAGACGACTACTTAGCCCAAATTGATAAACTTAATGCCATAAACAATTCGTTTTAGTAGTAATTGCTCCTTGTATAGAAGGATTGTTCTAACTGTTATAAGGATTAGGATAAATAGATATAAAAGCTGAGTGAAATGAACCAATAGCTCTTAACTCAGATTACCTAATTAAATAACTAAAAGAACACAGATGCATTACAGATAAAAGATTTAAGCATTCTAAACTAAACTCTTTAAGATCAACTAAATAAGCATAAGGATGAAATTATATTGCTTAATCAGAGACTAAAGGAGCTTTAAGATCAAAATTCCTAATTGAGTTAGATGAATACTGAATATCTGAATCAAATAACTATGTTTCAAACTTAAGTGTCGGAAGTGTAAGGTAGATGGTAGCAAAATACTTATGAAAGAGAAACGAAAACAAGACTAAGTGAATAACAATCCAGATAATCTACATCTAATAATGGCAGATAAATTGAGGAATTAAATAACAAGATTCTGAATCTTAATAATTAATTAAATTAGGCAAATCAATAAAGGTAGTAATTGTAATAGGAATTATATTAGTTGAAAAAATAATTGTAATAGGAATAAGAAGATAGACTTTCAATATAATCCAGGCAATCGAAGTCAATTCAACAGTCAAAATTAATAATAGAATTGGAAGAGAGGATTCGATCACTTCAGTAGTAATTATAGAATGAACAAATGAGTAAATCTGTCAATAATGGAGATTTAGACCTAAAGAACAAATAAATCTTAATTTTAGAATAAAAGACTTTAAAGTTATAATAATAGTTGGACCAATTACAAGTTCAGACAGAGGAGGAGAAAAGTTTATTGTACAAAGAAATAGATCAGTTATCTGATTAAAATAGAAGGGCCAAACAGTTAAAAAATACTGAGTATGATTTAGAGTATAGGAATTCAATTAAGCAAAAAGAAACATTATAGTAAGAGCTTAGTAAGGCCAATTAAAGTATTCAAAAGTATTAGAGCAGGATAAAAGCATTAGAGGAGTAAATTATGTAATTGAGCAATGAAAGTTCGACGATAGAAAAATAGAATAGATTTATTGTAGATTTGGAGGAGAAGTTAAGACAATTTCAAAGAAAATACGAATTAGAAATAAAAGAATATAGAGTTGAAAATTAACAGCTCAACCAGTAATTGGAGAAGGCTTAGTCAGAATTTCAATAGATCAAATAGAAATATTCAAGGGAAATAGAAGATGTGGAGTCTAGACTGTAGAGAGAGAATCAGAGAGTTTCTTTGTAATTAAATGATAAGGCTGCAGATTTAGGTTAGTTGGAATCAAAGAATAAGCAATTGAGGGAAGAGTTAATGAATTTGGAATCAAGATATGAAAAGTAATTAAGAGAAGCAAATAACAGAATTAAGGATGTTACGGATGATTTGGAGATAATGATTGAAAATTATAAGAAGGAGAAATAGGTAAATTAGTGTAATTATTATATGTTAGTTAAGTGAGAAGTGGCAAAGCTAGAATGAAGATCTAAGAAGGTAGCTATCAGTTTAAGTGGAGGATGTAAAAATAAAGACAGAAAGATTAAGTGTGGAGAAGTATGAAAGATTGTCAATAGAATCAAGAAAATAGATTGAGTAGGTTTAATAGTAAATGAATAATGAAATCAATTAGCTTTAGCATGAGGTGAGAATGAGAAATGATTAGATAAATCAATTAAAGCAAGTGAGTTAATAGTAGGAATAGAAGATCAGTAAGTTTGAAAAGTATATACGGGATTTAGAAGATTAATTGCAACAATTATCTAGAAAGGAGGATATGTTGAATTAGTCAAAAAATTAATCATTGGCGGATTCTTTGAATGTAAAGATTATGCAGTTAGAAAATAATTTAATTAAGGCTTAGAAAAAGGAAGATTAATTGATTTAGAGGATTCGATAATTAGAGCAATAGCAGAATTAAAATAGAAATACAAGTGAAATGGAATAAAAGAACAATTAAATGTTTGAGGAGATATAGATATTAGTGTAAACTATTAAAAGCTAAGATTTTGAAATATCAACATTAAAGAATGAATTAATTTCATATTAAAGAGAAGTATCATTTATGAAGGAGGTTGTAAAGGAAGATACAAGTAGATTGGAGACATCACTATTGGATGATAAGAATAGGAGAATTGTTGAATTAGAGAATAAGTGTGCATTGTTGGCAAATGAAAATACAAGATTGAATTAATTAAAAGTATGATTATGATAGATAGAATAGGCAAATCAATTTGATGAATGGAAGAGAAAATATGATAAATTACAATCGGAATTGGAAAGAAGTCTAAACCTAAGAGGATAGGGTGAATAGAACAAGAATGTTATATTGTCTAGCAATTTTGGATAAATATCAAATGCAAAATGATTTATTTAGTATCATAAAATTAATTAATTTTCTACATGTCTCTTTTTTTGTTTGATGTAACAACCAAATAACAGCATTCCAAAAAGGAATACTAAAAGAATTCCGAAAACAAGCCAAATAATAAACTTTTTTGTATTATTATTGTCATTATCACCATTTTTATTCACATCCAAAGTTTCGTTTTTTTCATGAAAGTTATTTTTTAGAGTAATCTGAATTTTCTCTGATTTCAAATGATCTTAGATACAAAATTTAGTAGTATTATGAATTTCATAAAGTGCAAATACTTCCCTATTGATTGAATTGGTCAATAAATAAATTTAACATCCTTGTGTAAAGAATGCTTACTATGAAACTGAAACATTTTAATATTGTATGGCTCCTGAAAATAAGGTTGAAGAAGTTGTTGGATGAACATAATTTAATTCTAAACTATAGATGGCACTTATAAATGTGGTAGATTAATAGTAAATCATCAACATATATTAGTCATTATACATTTTAAATTAGTTGGATGGCCAATTCCCATATCCTTAAAATATTTGCAATGTTTTATAATTATTGATAGAACAATTATAAGAGATAGGAGAAATTTTGCAAATGTATTATATTTAAACAATATAATGTGAATGTTTATGAGCTTAACAGAATAATTCTGCTGTAATTAGTTACTATTAGGTTTTGCTATGTTTGATAATGATCTTTTGAAAAATTGTCTTAGGATCTATGTAAAATCCTGTTTATTAGATGACATCTAATAAGTCAACCCCATACTATTGCATTAAACTAAACTCGTTTTCTTAGAGCCGATACATAGAGATTGTCATTTAATTGATATTTTTAGAGTATACTTGAAAATAATTCGGTTCCGGAGAGATGACATCTTGGAAGTACCCAAAATTCGTCTTCTCAAGACTCTAAACATATGATACTTCGCCATCTTTAAAGGAGTAGACAGTTATCTATATTTCGGAGATGACTAAAATCAAATTCGACAACAATTTAATGATTTTAGGATCACCATTTGAATACAATTCATCATATTTTTTATTGCATTCAAAATCCTTGCTGCAGCTGATTATGTGAATAAAATAGGAGAAACTTGGAGTTTATTTGAAGGCTGAAATATAAATAAGATCATCTTAAACTAAGATTATCTTGGTATAAGTTGCAGAGGTGTCTAAGTAATAGATCTATTAGATTTTAGTAGTCATGTTTAATTTGACAAGTTTATCTTAATGCAGAATGAGTACTGAATCTGAGACATATTCTTTGATATCTAATCCCGATGAGCAGATCTCCTTTTCTAATAGGTGCATGGATTTTTGAAGTTTCAATTATTGACTTCTTAAACCAATATCCACAACTTACCCAGTGTACCAAGAATACTTGCTCTGACAATAACCAATAGGTCTAGCTTAATGGAGGAGTTCCTCAAGATTCAACTGTGTTTAATTAACTGTGATGGTTGTATAGGGATTTACAAGAGTAGAATTAATAACATATTTGTATTGTTCTTTGTTATCATAACTTGAAATAACTAAGAATGTATTAACTTTAACTAAATAATTAGGATTATCTATATCTTGATAATAAATTGAATACTTGATTTTCTGGGGGATTTCAAAATAATTGTTGATATCAGCTATGATGAATAAATTTGAAACAGAATAAAGGATTTTATACTTAGTGGAAAAAGTGGTCAACAATGCATTATGACTACTGCTTTCCATGCAATAGACATAGATAGTACCTAAACTATCTTGGCTATTTTAGAAATAGACATATTTAGATTATTGATGATGCAAGTATTTGTTAGGAATGACATTGAATAAGGAAATAGTACTCTAGTATTCTATTAAAGTAAGGGAGCGGATAAGGAATGACTCAATCACTTCGGTATCTGTATAGTAGATCCAAATGATATTCTTATATGAAAAGATTTTGACTGACTTATTGTAATGAAGTGGAATGATGTTGATGGGGAATATTTCTGATTCTTTAACCTGAATCAACAACAATTGTACCCCAGTTTAGACATAGAGAATGTCATAATCATCATTGGTCTGTATGTAGGAGGGATTCCATTCAATATTGAAATTTGAGATGAACTCAGTTGTAAAGGCTTGAGATCTCTAACATTAATCAACGACTTTATAGATGACTACTAATTGGTTTGAGTAGAGCACTGCCAAGAACAAATTGATGTAATGAAATTGTATTATATAATGATCCTAATCTGGATAGATTGTACATTAGTAAATGAGTGTTTCAGATAACTTCCAAACATCTAGTTATTGATTATTCTTAACTGCTATGTATACATCGTCGTAGTTTACAAAAAATTCATGATGCGTTGATGATAAATTGAATTCCAGGTATATTTAACTTGCGTATACACAATTCAAATCTTAGATACAATAATAGAATTGCACATATAAATTAGATAATTAAATAAAATACAAGTATAAAGGTGCAATAGGTATTACCTTTATATATAGTACAGTTTATTCACTTTTTATTCCACTGATGGTTTTCTGTTGCAATTATTCAAAGTTTATACTGAACAACACTTAATTGACCTTTAATTCATTGATGTTGGAGATGGTTATATTTGGTCCATCAATGAATCTATCCACTTCATATGATTCAATTTGGCCATTCAAAATTGTATTGAATTGATTCATTACTGTAGGAATGGCTTCTGTAGAGTTCCAAGCTATAGTTCTGTATTTGATACTTAGAGTACAAGATTCCAATATACTGACATTCTAAATCAAAGTAGCCTACTTGAATTTTGAACTCAAAGAATTAGATTTGAAATATAAGTATTAATGAGATCTGATGATGATTCGTTTACTCTCCTACTCGTTAATTGCTATTATTTCATCAGATAATTAATCCAAAACTAAAGTATAATTATCCTCTATCTGAAACATCTCTACAATCTTTAAATTGAATTTCAATAAATTCAATAATCCATCATTATATTGGATTAGATTGCTTTTTGTAAAGTAAATCTAAAATTTCTCATCTTTGTTGTCTATCCTTTTGAATTTAGTCAACCCATTGCTCCAAACATGGATTGTCTATTAAGTTAAAAAAGCATAAGTGTAATTAGCAACATGGTATGCAAAGAATATGGCTGGGTATTCCAGATCAAGTTGAAAACAGTCAACTATAATAATGTATGGGAAGAATTGAGTATCTATGGATATAACCCATTAGTTTTTATTCAATATTGTTAGTATTTTCTATTCTAATTACACTTATATTATCTATAACTCAATAATGTTTTTAGTTTCATTCAATAGATTATTGATGTATGTGTCATCAATTATGAGTGGAGTTGTTATAATTTCACCAAATTAGATAAATTGAATTTATGAATACTGGAAGTTCTCATCATAATACAATATACGTATTATTAGATCATCCTGAAAAGCAAATATCCTTCTCTTAATTTGAAAATCTTTGGTCTGATTATAGGCCAAATATTAAATTTGACTTGATTCACTTTAAAGAATGAAAACGTTACTGCTTTCATTGTAACAATCTACAATTAGAGTCTAACGATTCAATATTTCTAGATCATGACATATGTGATCTGTGATTTCGAAATATTAATTGAATTCTGGTAAACGCTGATTGTATTCAATTTAATAACTATTTGTGTGTATTTGATATTTATCATTAATTTTATTCAATAATGCATATTGATTTGCTGCAGTAAAATCATTATAGGATCTCAAACACTTCACGCTTATTATATTTTCAAATGAATTGCTGGAATTAGAATGGCTATACATATATTATTGGACTTGAATGTCACTATCATAAGGCATAATATATATCATAAATTGCTCTTATTTAATGAACAAGTTTTAAATATTCATACTTTAAGTTTCATTTATTTTATTCACCAATACCAGTTCATTGTTTGGCAATTATGTACAACACTCTGCAATCCTAGCATTAAATAACAACAATATGGATTATAATATGGCAATCATTGTTATTAATTAATATTATATTTATTTCATTTAGTGCAATAATATACAAACATTAAAATCAATTCATCAAGCTCTATAAAATGAAGGATTATAATCAAACAAAGCTCAAAATTAATAGAATACATAATACTAATATCACTCACTCTCAAAATCAAAAGCCTTTATTGCTGTCAGTATCATTTACTCCACTTCCATCTCAGAAGACAATACTAATGGACAAATTGAGTAAAAATTGTTTTCCAGTATTTTCCTACTCTTAATCCCCATTCTTTCAATCATGATCTCCACTCCTTATTACACTTATCCATAAATACTCAACTTCATCCCAAAAACTTATTATATTGCTACATAAATTACATGATTTGAATAAACAAATTAAAATTGATTCTCTATAGAGTGTCAATACACATGATTTAATAAATCTGAATCTCCTTAAGTATCTTTATATTCTTACTATTTAATTGCCTTCTATGCAATTAATACCATTTTTAATTATGTACACAAATAAATTTTAGATTATATAATCACAGTTTGATTACTATATTTTAGAGATCTTGAAATCAAATTATCGATAAATATCATTCTTGTCTTTTAACCTCAACAAATCCTTAATTTAAAATACATCTACATTAATATCATCTACTCTTATTGTTGTGATGTAGATAGGTTGTAAATCTTGCGATTCATCTAATGAGTACTCCAGTGAATCCTACTACTAAATTTTAATATCAAATAATTATGAAATCAATTATCCACTCTCAAAAGCCTTAAACTCTGAACTGATTTAAAATTTGAATGTTGCACTCAATTTTAGGGTGTCATCCATTAAAGGAGACTTAAAATCACTAGGCATTCTTCGTAAAAAGGATTAAGACTCCATAAACTATTCTTATTGATTGCTGTTGTTCTTTCTTAAGTTTACAGGTTCTGGTAAATCCTCTACTTCCTTTTTCAAGTCTCCTGAAATCAATAAAGAGGTGTTCTCATTCTCAATTTTTTCCAATTATCCCAATTAAACAAGAAAATTAGTTCTACTCAATAGTTCTCCAGAGTTTAGATATTTTACTGGTTCAAATATATTGCTTTCACAACTCTTAAGCAGATGGAAATCTATTTATGAAGGTTATTGCTATTAATTTTGATTATCCTTCTTTTTATAAATCTGTGATTAAGGGTCTGCTTCATTCTTTTATGAGAATATATTACTATTCTAATAATATATATATTCTGATTAAAATATTTATTCTTATTGATCGTCTTCATCATTTGCTTGTTAAATTTCAATTGGTTTATTAACCTTAATCTCCATAAACTCAAACTCTTCTTTTTTATTTTCTACTATCCTCTCTTAACTTAAATTCATTTATGAATTTTATTCAATTGGTGAAGTTTATAAATCTTATTTTACTGATTTAAGACCTTAATTCTAACTTTTTACACATTCCGTTTAATCCACATCTATATCATTCAAGTTCATTTAAATAATATCTACTTGATTCGTTTAAATCTCTTCTTAATCAGGTTATTTATAAACTAACCTTTATGAAGATGATACTTCATTTTGATTTATTTATGTTGATTCAAACAATTTTACTTTATTACTCGATTATATACTATTATAATTAATTTGATTAGAGGTTTATTGTATTTCCTAGTTATTTTCATCGCTTAAATTCTCAGAGCTTTATTAAAATTATTGAGACTCTTAAATAATATCTAAGATTATTTTTGATTTTATCTCAGAATTTTGCTTGATTGGCAGATTTTAAGGATTTTAAATATAAATTTATTAGATCTAATCTGTTGTTTAGTTTTATTAAATATTATCTTCTTGATCTTAATTCGTTTTTGTATCACGACTTTAATTATTTTTCAAATCATCAAATTGAATTAATTTATCTTTAAATTCTTTATCAGTTTATCGATTTTCATTTTAGAAAGTCTTATTATCTTAAATCTGTTATTCTATAACTTATTTATCTTAGATTTCAACCATATTTTGATTATTCAATATTTTTGAATTTTGATCTTAGTTTTCTATTATTTCTCTCTATATTTCTTTGTTTGTATTTTCATCATAAGATTATTATTAATTAATGTTTTGTTATACTTCTGATGATTACGATTCTTCTATTTTTTAGCAATATTATTCAGCAGTATATATATTGACTTACTATTCAACCAGATTACTATATGCTTAAATATCCTAATCATTTTAATTATCCTTCTTTTTGTTTTCCTAATAGTTTTCAGTTTATAAATATTAATAATGATTTTATTATAATTACTCTATTTAATTCTGTGATTCCTATTGTGCTTCTTCTTTAATATGTATTAATAATTAATATTAATTAGTAGCTATAAAATTTAACTTCATATAAACTTATAACATCAAATGAGGAATATCAATTATATTTTAGTTTTACAAATCTAAAATAAAATGATCATCTTTAATTTAGATTAGTTAAATCAAATTACTGATAATTAAATTCATTAAAGATTCAAATTCAAATGATTCTTTTGATATATCCTCATTTAATACAGTTGAGCAATTCTATAAATTCAAATACAATCTGAAAACTCCCTTCATTACTCCCATTCTATCTATCAATAACAATCTAATCCTATATAAAATATATGAATAATTAGTAATAATAAAAATGGTACGACCGCCAATTAACCTCACTTATTTGCACCGATGAGTTATTCTAAACTATTTCTATATTTTTATATGCTTCAATTAATTTTTCCACCATTACTATATAAAAATAACTTTTCTTAATTTTTCTTCGTTCTTTTTTTTCCAAAATATATATCTTCTCTAATAAAACCTACCTTTAACATGCGCCTAAATCAAAGAGGCAGCCTTATCCTTCTTCTCCCTTAGAGAAGATTTATGTACATTCTTTTTTATGATAAAACGTGAAGAATGGATATCTACATTTTTAACTTCATCTATTTTGCTTTGTAACATTTCTAACTCTTAGATTTTCTATTGTTTAACCCTAAATAATAATAGATTTACTTACTTTTCAAGATGTGCTATATTCTTTAACATTGAATCATACTTCCTTATTATACTTTACTCTGATCTTTCATCTACCTCCTCAAAAATCAATGATTTTTCAGCTTTTTAAAGATATTGAAACTGTGGCTTATTTTCAGCATTCTTTATTTCATTGAATAGATTAGCATACTTATTCGTGATTGGTAAGTCAAAATTATTCGGCAACTGTAGCGAGGCTGTTTATGGTCTATGAATAGATATTTTTTGATATGGTTTCTTAGTACTGGATCTGATTGACATCACACTTCTATTTTACTAACTTTAGTTATTTGGATTGTTATTTTTGTAAACAACGGATTTACCTTTCATTTCGAAGAGATCTGGGGATAATCCGTAGGCTTAAATATAAGGTTTAATTCTTTGATTAATAAGTCTCCTCTAAGGTTTAGTAGGGGAATTAAATTCTTGCACTTGTACTTTGATTAATGAATTATTTATCATATTATAATCAATAGACTAACCATTTTTTGTATATTTTAAAAATGAAAACACATCGCATTCAAGTTTAAGCGTTTCTATACTTTAAATTTAGAGCTAATATTGTAAAAATATTAAGGATTTTAATATGTGGAATACTTAATCAATCATTTTATAAGAAATTAAAATTATTTTTTGTAATTTCAAGGCTTATTATAGATTCCTAAAACTTACACAATGTAAGGAAATAATTTGCATGTTTAATAACTTAAGTTTTAAAATAAATCAATAAGAATAGTAGTCCTCTTCAATTATTTCTTTCTTTTTATTGAAAAAAATATAATTAATAAAGGATATAGACAATCACTATACTTTTAAACATTTATTGAATGATAAAAGGTTGAATATAAATAAACCATGCGCTGTGGTGATTAATCTACAAAATCAATCAATTAGGAATAATGAATCAATAATCCAATCTTAAACCATATTAAATAGTAAGCAAATAAATGAGTTAAATTTAAAATTAAACTTGTGATAAACTATTAAAAATGTTAATGAAGCAGTTAATATAAATTTGATCTTTAAAATTCAAATGATTATTGTAGTATGCATTGACTATCTCTTCATAAATACTAAGATTATGCCATGACTTATTATTTTAAAAATTATCATAAATATTAAAACATATGATACATCATTCACAATAAACTCAAATCAATCTTAAATAAATTAAAGCAATCATGAAGAAATCTGAATAATACTATTTAAAATATTGAATTATAAATCTAATACATTAAAAGAATGAGAAATGTAAGACTTAAATTGGTTTATTGAAAGATTCCATTGATAAAAAATACTACCTTAAAGTGAATAAGAAATAAAACAACTTAATTTAGATTCAATTTCTTAAAATAACCCTAATAAATGTAGCCTACTAAAAATAAAATTTTTAAATTTTTTTAAGTTTTATAGTTTAATTTAATGATCTTAGGATAAGGCGATATAGAGGACGATTCTGATTTTTGGATTTAAATTTATGATATATCATAGTTGAGAATATGATTAATTGTTTTTTAATTAATATATTTGTAATGTATATTAACGCTTTTTATTCATAGTATTCTAATTTGAAATAACATATAGAATTATCAATGATTATAATAAAATGAATAATTAAAAATCAAAATTAAATAAGTATGGCACTCATATTATCATAGCCATATTCTTAATTCATATTTTTAGCTATTAATTAATTAAACAATCTTCCTAATGAATTGTTTTCTATGAGATTTTTGCTTATATCTAACATTAACTAATTATGATTACATTAATTATCTGCACATTCCCAAATTCCATCTGAAGCTAGCAAGATAAATTTATTTTAAGGTCTGTCAATCACAACTATGTCTGGCTTTGAAGAAATTATGGAACATCTTGACGATTTTAAGAAAAAGTCACCGAATGCTCTTGCAACAGTTAAGGAACCTAAGAAATCATGATTGATAATTACCATTAATTCTATCATCCCTAATATAACCACCATTAGATATTATTCTATCATATTCAGATTATATGTTATGATCTTAAGAGAGTTACTAAACAGATTCATTTGAAAATAGAATAGCTCTGCTATCTCCTAAGTTAGCTATATAGACCTTTTCTTTAGTAACCAAGACGATATTGGCAGTACTCCCAACTTTTGAACTAGCTATTCGATGGGCTAGTATAGTATCCAAAGTTTCGAAAGTAGATTCTAATACTAGATGATAATTTTCTGGATTTTTTTTTAGTTCCATTTCAAATATTTCATAGAAGTGGTCTGACAAAAATTCTGAAACATCTTTCCCTCCATGTCCATCAAAGACTCCATAAAGTTAGAACTCCTCCTGTTCTTGGATTAAAATATAATCCTCCATGTATTCTCTCCAACCTTGCATTTGACAAGATGAACGAGTAATCCCATTAGAGTGTGCACGAGTAGTCTTCTGAGATAAATTTGCTTTAGACCCTTTTATACCCATAAATTTTAATAAATAATGCGTATTATTTGAGTGATTAACCCATTTGAATGAATATGTCATCATTTTATTTATAATAACAATACTATTGTTGCATTCTATTTATAATCAAAATAATACGTAATTACTCAATGATGACTGAATGAATAAGAAAAAAGACTGATAACTTGAAATTAATTGTTTTGTGGATATGGATAACTCATCTATAGGACTCAAATATTAAGTATAAGCATATATGATTTAGAAAACATTGTATGAATAGAATTTTAAAATCTTGATCGTAATAAAGTTATCTAATATATAAAATTTTGCAATTTAATAACTAATAAAACATGAAAATTAAATAAAACATAAAATAAATTTAAAACAATGTTTTAATCAGAAAATAAGAATTTTAATTATTTAATTAATTTTTCTTATCATTAATATTTAAGAATTGAAGAACTTTTATATTTTCCAAATATTATATTTACTTAAACTCAGCATTTAAAACCCCTAAGAAGCATATAAGAGAATACTTAGTTTTAATATCACACATAATTTTGCTCATAATTCTCTAAATATCTTATACATAAATCATTTAATGGTCGTGATTCTATGTATATCATGTCATTAATATTGAAGGACTCTTTATTAAATTGTGATTAAATGTAAGAGACAGGCTGAGCCTTAGTCAAAGGTTAATTGAGTGTCTAATTTTTAATTAATAAATCAAGAATATTGATAAATTCTAGTTGTGTATAGGAATTAAGAATTCTAAATCTCTATTTTTATCAGGCCTTGAAAATGTTTACAGCAATAATAAATGTAAGAAATACAAATATTGCCTTAAATGGAAGCTGGAAGACTTAATGACACAGTTTAGAGTGCTAAAAGTTTACGATGTAGAAGAGTAGTAGATATTGCTTTTCAGAATATAGAATATTAAGTAGTTGATCAGAAAGGAAGTACGAATTTTCATTAAGATTAATAGATTAAAGGGATATATTACGTAATTTAGATGGGTATTGTCCTGGAGGAGAAGTTACAGCTATTTTGGGAGCATCTGGTGCTGGTAAAACATCATTGTTGAATATCCTTGCTGCTCGTGTTTAAAGTTCTAAATCCGTAAAGCTAAAGGGGAAAGTGCTTGCTAACTAAGTAGAGTATGATTCTGAAACATTTTCCAATTTCGCTGCCTATGTAATGCAAAATGATGTTCTTTTTGAAACATTAACTCCAAGAGAAGCACTACAATTTGTTGCTGATTTAAAGTACACAGACTCAGAATTGAAGCTATCAAGAGTTGATGACACTATTAAAACAATGAAATTAGAAAGATGCTAAAATGCCATTATTGGAGGTCCATCATTAAAAGGAATTTCAGGAGGAGAAAGAAAGCGAACATCAATTGGATTTGAATTAGTCACTAATCCTTCATGTATCCTGTTAGATGAACCTACTTCAGGATTAGATTCATTTACCGCATTTTAAATTATGTAATATTCTTAAATTAATATATGATAGATATGAATTATAACAACTTGCACATGAATAAGACAGAACTATTGTATTTACTATCCATTAACCATCATCTGATATATATTTACTTTTCGATAGAATTATGCTCCTTGTTCAAGGAAAATTCATCTACTAAGGACCCAGAACTAAATTGGTTGGGTACTTTAAAGGGATAGGTTTTCCTTGTCCAGATCACAGTAATCCTATGGATTTTATGTTGAGTATAATGCATCAAGAAAGTCAATTAAACATTGATAATTTCCCAATCTATTTTGATTAATATGAAAAGTAATTGCACAAACCAATTTTGGATGAAATAAAAGAATCTTCAAAAACTGAATTAGTTTATAAGTAAGTTGAGACTTCCACTGCATATTAAATTACCCTAATTTCAAAAAGAGCAATAAAAGGATTTTTTAGAGATAAAATGAATATTAATTAAAGGGTTGGTACTGCAATTTTCATGGGATTATTACTTGGATATTCCTATTATGGAATTGGAAACGATTCAGGAACATTCGCAGATTACACAAGTATGTCTGGATGTATGTTCTTTTTATGTATTAATCTTACTATGGGTTCATTATTTCCAGTTGTACTTCAATTTGCAACTGAAAGAGATGTATTTTTGAGAGAAGAGAATTCAAAGTTATACACAACATTCTCATATTTTATGGGAAAGTCATTTATTGAAATACCTTTTTGTCTCATTACGCCAATAATTTAAGAACTAATTCTTTATTGGATGATCGGTCTAAATACTAAAGATGGTGGAGTAGTCGTTGCACATGTATTCATTGCGATACTGACTTGTTTGAATGGAAATAGTATGGGATTGATGGCTGGATGTGCATTCAATGATATTAAAGTGGCTACTAGCATTGTACCATTAATATTATTGCCTTTATTCATTTTTTCAGGATTCTTCGCAAATTCAAAGTAATTTTTTGTATGGATTGGTTGGGTCTAATACATAAGTCCAGTTAAATACTCTTTTGAAGCCATAGCCACTAATGAGTTTGAAGGAAGAAATTACGAGTTTGGTGATCCCATCGATACTCTAGGATTCGAAGTTGGATTATGGGAATCAGTAGGAATTCTTATTGCTTTTACAGTAGCAATAAGATTTGGAGCCTACATGTTTCTAAATCTTTTAAGATAAAAATAATAATGATTGATTGGTTTATATTGTTTCTTTTAAATTTAATTACATATAAAATAGATTTGCTTGCATTTTATTTCTAATAAGATCTATTACTATGATTTTATTTTAATTTGAATATTTTATATCTTTAAATCAGATATAACATTAATTAAAGATTATTGTTGTTTCATATAAGTTGATGATTGGAAATATTTCAATATTATAATGATGATAATTATGAAATTGAATTATAATATTTTATATAATAATGATTGATGATTCTCAATAAATTATAAAGGAAATGATCTAAAGTAATTCGATACAGCAGTTAATGGAGTTTATGAACAAAGTCAAACCAAACATTTTAAATTTAGATTGTGGTAGGAAATAAACAAGTATTCTTATAAATATATTCCAAGTTCTACATATTGCTGTTTAGAGAAATGATTACCCATTTTTAAAATTTCTTGAATAATACTCTATTGACAATTATAAGGAGAACGAGATTAGAAAATTAGTTAATACATACAATATCGAAATCTTCACAGCCCTTCATATTGCATCTTATAATGGGAATGTGGTATATCTGATTGTATTTATATAAGGAAGCTGTGAAGATCCTACTCAACATCGGTGCTGATTCTGCACTTAAAAGTGGTTCTGGCTTATTGCCTATACATGCAGCAGCTTAAGGAGATTAACCATATATGGTGGTACAATGTTATTTTGTATAAAAGTGGTATTGGTTATAATAAGGAATCTCAATCAATGTACAAGATGATGCTGGAAATACTTGTTTGCATTGGGCAGCCTATTAGAAGTATTCTATTATTTCAATGCCAATAGTTGTGAATTAACTGTGAGCTATTTGATTTCATTTGGATGCAATGTTGATTCTAAAAACAATGAACAATAAACTGCACTACACATTGGGGCATCTTACGGATAAAATAGGGTTGTGAAGAAACTACTAATCAAGGGTGCTTAAAGAAACATAGAAGTAATTTTAGTATATTCGATATAGGATGTAGAAGGAAAATTACCAATCAATTTGACTGAATCTCTCTAGATTAAGAAAATGCTTGAAGATAAAACTGATTTGGCTTTATTCTATAATTTGAAATAGCCATATCATCCAATTAAAAGAAATAGAAAATCCATTATTGTTTACTACTTTGTAGTTTTGACTTCCCAAAGTTGCATTGTTAACATCATATAGGAGATCTAGGGAGGGTTATTGTTCATATTTTATTATGTTTTTCTGGCTATTCTACTCTTGGCTTCCATTTTGACATAATGCTGTGATCCTGGAATAATTACCTTACATCTCACTATTCAAGAAGCTATTGAATAATAGATAGATCCTATCAATATCTGTCCAGATTGTTGGGTTATTAAACCTTAAAGATCAAAACATTGTGAATTTTGTAAAAAATGTGTTATTGTCTATGATCATCACTGTCCATGGATAAATAACTGCGTTGGAGCCAAGTAAATCATAATTTAACACACTATTTAGAAATTTACTATATTTTTATGTCTACCTCATTTCTCTAATCATAATCTAGCTTTATTCAGCAAGCATAATTGTTTACTGTAATTTCATTTTTTAATTTTAGACTTTTTTATATCCGATGACTTATCTTTGAACGACTATCTAATAATGCTATATCCAATTTTGAACATATTCATCTTCATTACTCCAATTTTGTAAGTCATCATATCTATTTATTAGTCTTCTATGTATATACTAAACAAAGAATTTATATTATGGACTCACCACTTATGAAAGAATAACCGGATAAAAGATAAGCCTCAAATCCAGCCTATTAGTTCCTTAAGTAAGTAACATTAATCATATGTCATAAGGAAAATATTCAAGATTCATAGTCTGAAGAATTAAAAGTAGAACCATCTATATAAAATTGCTATAATTAGTGTTTCAGAAATAAGAAAAAATTTAAAAAATATACATGAAGTTGATTAAATTACTAATATTTGTCATATTTTCACATTTCTTTTAATTTTAAATGCCCTCTGTGGTTTTTATTATTATTATTAGACTTACTATTATTATTTTGTTTCAGATCTAGCCCTTGCTTTCCCTTAACTTTAAGTTCTCATTTATCTTGAATCTAAATCTACTTCAGAGAATGGATATTATTTAACAGGTACTTATTCATATTAAGATTTTCTGAACTATTATTTTTAAGATTATTACTATTATTATTATTATTATTATTATTATTATTATTATTATTATTATTACTATTATTACTATTATTATTGTTAAATTTTTTATTATTATTATTACTATTATTTTTATTATTTCTCTTATTTTTCTTATTTTTCTTTCTTTATTTCCTAAGCCTTTTAATATCTAGTTTATGGTTTTTATACAACAACTTCTTAATTACCTTCTAAATTATCTTTAATCTATCCGCTGCATATATAATCATAAAAAGCTTTCAATACCCTATTCACTTATTCTTTGTTATTAATAAATCTTTATAATTTAAAATTTATTTACTTTAATATCTTCCTTAAATATGGTTCATATCTATAATGCATAGTTCTCATGATATTATATGCTAAGAATGTTCTCAAATTAGCTAAGGTTTTAAAAGGAGAAGCTGACAATCTACTCATAGGGTTTAACAGATTAAAATCTAAAAATGCATTAACTATTCCGACTCCAACTTATTCGTAATCTTAAATTGTAAAAAAATATGATTTTGGATTTGAAGTGTATACAGAACCCAAAACAACGTTTTCATCTAATTATTCATCTTTGTATAAATTATCTTAAATTAATTATGATGCTTACTTCCACTATCTTCATACATAATATTCGTAATTCTTCCTGTGTTATAATTGCATTCTAAGGTATAACTATGCACAATTCCGCAAATCTTATAAAAGGCCACTCTCCCAGACCCTTCCTTGCTTAACCCATCTCCTTTATCAGCTGCATACATGTTTTTCTCAGTAAAATTACATGCATCGTAATCAAAGATTTCAGAATATAAGCTAATCAATCTAGGAATAATGCAATTTGATGTATGTTAACTTAAAGAAGGCAATTAATTCCCATAAATAAAAACTCCTTTATGACCAGCATGAGCATGCAAATCTATATATGCATAAAGTCTATCTGTATTTTGAAGACGCATTATGTATTCTTTAATTGCATAAATAGTTGGATGATCCTCCTTTGAAGGTGATAGATAATATCTATTCAAATTTTAACATAGGGAATCAGTTCGATAGTGTCCTCTATAGACTCCATCAGGATTAATTATGGGAACAATACTCCAAACGTATTTCTCCCTTGCCACTTACGCTACTGGGTCATTTGCTTTGAGCAGATACTTCATCAATCCATTATTAACAAACGATCCCGGCACTTCTCCAGGATGCACTCTAGCAGAAATAAAAATATGTGGTTTCTTGAAGTGCTAAGGTCTACTTTAAGGAAATAAACCAGGTATAGGTTCTTCCTTAATTTATGATGATCCTTGTGTTATTGTTATTAGATTGATCGGTCTACCTTCTTTTGAGTAAGCCAGTATTGAATTATCATAATAAATGTCAGTTACTTAAAGAGACATAGCTTAACATTATTATAGAAAATTCTATAACTATTTATTTTAAATACATTGTTGTCTTCGCAACTCCATGGATAAAAAAAAGCAAAATAAACTGTTGAATCATTGAGAAATAGATGCTTAAAAGTTATTTCAAAATGACCCTCTGGAACTAAGCGGTAGTAGCATGGCTATTTTAATCTTTCCCATTAAGAGGAATGACAATTCCTAAAGACTGGTTACATTCCATCTTTAAAAAGTCCCATCTAAGAACATGATCTTATTAGTTACTTAGTTTTGTAGATTGGCTACGACGAATGTGAGTTCTCCTTCATTGACTCCAGAGACTGAGAAATAAAACCATGTTCTATAATTCGTTGTCCTACCATTTATACCCCAATCACTTGATATATTAAGGATGTACTTAATAATATTGTAATTTACTTACTCTTCCACTATTTTCTCGGCGAACACTCTTCAGATTACCAGAATCAAATGAACTCGAAAAAGTGATTCCTTAAATCGTCTCAGTTATTTGAGATGGGTATTCGGTAGTATTATTCATCATTCGAATTAATATTTATAACAAGTGACAGTTTATAAACTTTAATATTACATAACAATTTATCGCAATCAATACAACTATGAATAATAATATCATTTTCATCGATAGATTCTAATATTGTAATATATTCACAATCCTTTAATGATTTCTTATTTGAAAAGAATTAAATGGAACTCTATCATTTAGAAATTATAGGAAATAAGGTTAAACTAAATTTTCATTGAGTAATTGTCTAATGGCAATTATCTTTATACATTTACTCATGAAAATGATACACAACAACTCTATTACCAAATTTTTTAAAATTTATTATTTTTATTTTACATTTTAAATGCTAAATAATTACAATTCAAAATTAAATAATTTAGATTACGTGACTCTTAGAAGAATAGTATAATTCTATTTTAACAAAAACATGAATTTTAAACTATGTTCTCAAATTTAAAATTATCATAAATCAGCTAATTATTACATCCTCAAATTTATGATAAGAGAGCATTATGTTTTCGATGATTATATCATAATTTCTCAAATATTTGGTTGTGTGAAATAAGAAATACCCTTAATTACTAACTGATGTTGAAATTTATATGAAAATTATTCTCAGAGATATTAAATTATAATAAATTATAAAAATGACCAAAAGAGTAGGGGATTATGAACTTGGAGCTATTCTGGGCTAAGGAGCATTTGGAATGTAATTATATCTTATACAATATTTTCAGTGTTAGGAGTGCTATTAATGTCACAACAAAATAAGAGTTTGCTATTAAGATTATTGATAAAGAAAAAATCAAGAGAGAAGAATTAATTGAAAGTCTCAAAAAGGAAATTCACATACTAATGATCATCAATCATCCAAACATTGTCAAATTAATAGAAGTATTTACATAAATCTATGTTAGGTGTTGGCGAGCAAAACGAAGATTTACCTGGTGTTGGAATGGATTAAAGGAGGAGAATTATTTGATATGATTAGAAATAACAAATATATACCAGAACCATAAATGCGCAAATACTTTAGGTAGATTATAAGAGCCATTCGATATTGCCAGTCCAAATCAATAGCTCATAGAGATCTCAAACCAGAAAATATTCTCATTTGCAATCAAACAGATTAAATAAAAGTCAATGACTTTGGTCTCAGTTCTCTCTTTCAAGATCCAAGTAATCTTAATAATGAATTATACACTACATGTGGTACAGTCCATTATCTAGCACCAGAAGTTATTTAATCTTCTGGGTATGATGGACATAAAGCAGATATCTGGTCACTTGGTGTGATTCTCTATTTTTCATGTGCTGGATGTAAAATGCCTATATTATTTATTTAGATTTGCCATTTGAGGATGATAATGTAGCAATTCTTTTAGATAATATTATCACAGCATAATATTTCCCATTTCCCAAATATTTTACTACAGAATTGAAGGATCTACTTTCAAAACTATTAGTCACTCATCCAAATAAGCGAATAACTATTGAGAATATTATTTAACATTAATGGTTTCAAACTGATATCTCAAAAGAAGAATAATAGTGGTTTATATAAGATGAGTTTCCTACTTAGCCATAGGAGTTTGCTCATCATTTATTGACAGTGCCTACAAATCATATAAAGGGTAATTTGATTGATAATCCATCATTTATAAGGTAAATGAAAGGATTTGAGTTGATCTCATTTTTGACTGGCAAAGTTGTTAGTCAATTGCCCAATGCTAAAAATCAATCGAGTTCAGAATCTTGCTTGACTATAAAAGGATAACCTGAATTAATTATTAAGAATATTACAGAATATTTCCTAATGAAAAAACCAGTTTCTATAAAGCAAGTACAAAATAAGGATACATTTAAAATTCAAATCATGTATAAGTTCAAATCAGAAATCAAAATTTGTGTAGAAATCTTGTGGTTGATAAGAAATAAATATCTCTTAAATTTTCAATTATTAGAAGTAAAATAATTTAAATAACAATAGGGTTTTTCAGATATTTACAATGTATTTCTCAAATAAACTGTTTTTGAATTAAGTAACCTTAAATGTTGATTATATAGCAATATACTTTTATTAAGACAAATAATTTATATAAATTATTATTTCTCTAATTCACTCAATAAATTCTAAAGGCTGTTTGAAATTGTTAATTAAACACCTAATAATCATTCATTAAAATCAATTTCATTCATTTTATCTGTCAAATAAATATTTTTTACGCAATAATCATCCAATCAAAATTAAAATATATCTTAATTTTTTCGTTTAAGAATCTCTAGTATGTCTTAATAGAAAAGAAATTTGGCAATTTAATAGAAGAAATAAAAAAATAAAAGTATTTCTTCCTTTAAATCTTAATGAAAATTAAAATAAATTTTACGTATAAATTTGAAATAATAACTTGTATCCAGATGTTATTAAGGTTAGAGGAGAAATTCTTAATTTTAAATAATCATTTTGAGAAATGATTTTTAAATAAATTTAAAATAAAATCTTAAAATCGATTTATTCAAAGAAATGTACTCTAAAAATTGTTTAAAATATTAATTCATCTTTATTACACATCTACTTTAATTGATCTAATAAATTCCCACTCATAGTATTATTTATATGTTTTATTATACTAATATAGTTAAATAATAATACTGCTTTGTTAAACGATCTTAAACCAATCAGTTTCTAATGATTCTCTTCTTAGGCTTAATTATTAATTTAATTTTTCGCATCACCATTTTAATTTGCATTGTTATTATTAATTTGAGCTATTTATGATTAGTTTCCATTATTATTCACAGCTGGTTGTCTACTTATATTTTACGATTAATCTTGTCTATACTCTCGATTTATTCCAAAAGGAACTCTACCCATACTCCCATAGAGTTATATGCATTCTGCCTCTAATTTGAGATATTTGTCATCATAAATTTTAGGATTCCCATCTTTTTATTATAAAGTGAATTGTAGATCATCTACTATCTATTCTTTCTTTAGAACTAGAATAATTAAATTAATTTTACATTTCAAAAGTGGTCTTTATTCATATTAATCTAATCCAGGATTATTCTATAAAATTTCTTCATTGCAGCAACCAAAACATTTAGAAAACAATCCCACTATTGGTTTATAACAAAAGAAGAATAAAATTATTAAAATTACAATCAGAGCAAGGATTACTAACAAAATGACATTAGGAATTTAACTCCAAGATCTATCCCACCATTCTACAACTACATTCTCTTATCCATATACATTCTATAATTAATCAATTACTATTTCAGCCTCGACAGTTTCATAAAATAAATTAGAGCTTCCATAAATATAAGTTGCAAAGCTTAAATGTATAACAACTGCAATCCATAAATATTTTCTCACAGATTCACTAATTATCGAATCTATTCTAATAGGTTTACGATATGTATTGAAAACTAATAAATTTAATTTTAAATTATTTACTAGAGATTTTATCCACAAAGTAAAGGAACCAAACTGTCAACATTGTAATGAAATATAAGAATGGGAGTGCAGGACTATACATAACGCATATATAAAGGGCAGTCAAAATTTGAGCATATCTCAATTCAACTCTAAATTCCTCTCCTTTATATAAATCTTTAAAATCTTAATAGTTTTATTGTCTAGTTTTCTTCTCATTTAAACAACATGAACATTAATCATATGCCTTTCTTACATATCTAATAATTATCTCCACCATAAGCATAATTGGTTAAGTTAATATATTAATCAATAAAGTTAATAACTATTGTAGCTGATAAATATATACCAAAACAATTCCTATGTTTTGACACCATTTAGAATCAATATCTCCATACTTTCCTCCAAAAAGAAATCTTACTGTCTTGGGGGCATCATTTCTAGTAGAATTACCAAAATCAATATTTGAGATTAGCAGAATCAATCCAGTATTTAAAAACTAAGCTAGAAATATTTTCAAAATTCTGCTTGAATATTCTTCCGAAATCATCAGATGCGCTTCCCATTTTGATAAAACTAAATTATTACTTTATTCTTACAGATTAATATGTACTAAATTAATACATTTATTGCTATCAGTCCTGCTACAATAATCCATGGTAATGATTATTAGAATGCGTACTATTTACCCCAATCTTAACATATTTCATATTCTCCTTAAATAATTTCACTAAACTTAGGTTTACAATAACATTCTACATAACCTTTAATAGCTGAGTTGTTATCATTATCAATTTCTTATTGAACCTATTCTATAGTAATGTTATCATAAATTTTATTATTGCAATTTATTGATGGATATTTCTCTTGAAAATCAGATTTCTAAAGATTTACCCAACTTACTAAAACCCATGAGCAGGCTAATAAAATTAATGTAAAAAGCATGCTTATTAGCTATCTAAAAAATCTTTGTTTCATAGAATAATTAAGATTCTTCCAATTTATATTTTCAGGTATTGGAGCATCTTTAACCTAAAGCTTAAATTTTTTAAGCAGACTAAATAATTTAAAAATATTTACAATTTCTCTTGTTCTTCTCTATCATCAAAACATTTAAGACAAGTATAATAATAAAGCCAATCTTTAGGAAGGCTTTAAAGTTTCTTTTACACCATTTCCTTTTAGTTTATTGTATCAAATGTAACCCAGATATATTTTGAATTCTCGTCTAATTAGATTTTATCAATCTTTTAATTTATTTCATCTATTTCTTTCCAGTATTTTACAATAAGTCGATTAGGTTAATCTATTTTTTGCTCTTTATTTGGATTCTACAAAAGATTTCTAAAATTTTAGTAAAATTATTTATATAATGTTTATGTAAGATTTTTATCTTATTCTATTACTTTCGATAAGGCATCTTTAAATATATCTGTATCTATGAATTTTAGTTTATCTAATTGCTCTTATATCTTAAGTTTTCTCTATTTTATTTAAATTTGTAATTGCAATAACTCTTCATTTTCTGAAATTTGAATATCATAAATCTATAATTGTTAATCATTTAGAACTAACTTTAATTATTCATTAATGAATTATTTCACCTCAAAAAGCAATAAATCTTTCTTCCTATCAAATTCATCATTGTTTTTTGAGAATTTAATTAATTTTTCAATTTTTGGTAATTTTGATAGCTAAATGGAAAAATGCTATAAAGTAGGAGTCTCTTTTTATGATAGTTTACTGTATTTATTTTCACTAGCAGTTAAGCTAATTAAAAAATAGATGAAAAGTAAAACTATGACGGCGTCACAAGATGCAAAGATGATCGGTATTATTTTTTATTTTAATTCTAGTGATCCAATTGTTATTGTTGATTCTTTACAGTATGCTCCGGCATAAATTCTCTTCCCTGTTGGATCTTCATTCACAAAATCTGATTTTCTTAAAGTAAATGAAAATTCTTCTTTTGAATTGATTTATTGTCTTAATGAATTTAATCTATCTTAATTAGTTGAATTTAAATTTAATTCAGATTTACCCAAATAAATGCAATCTTATTCATTTGAATTTATTATGCCATAATAAAATGATGATCCTGCAAGATTGCCAGAATCACACTGTAAATTAAATTCAATTTAATCATCTGGGAACTCAGTTACACTATAAACTTATATTTAACAATCTTTATTATTTAGACTAGTTGCACCTATGGTAGTAGCCATTAAAAACTGAAATGAATCAGTAGAATCTCGAGATTCGCTTCCAACATAAGCTATAATTATTGTCTATCAATACCTAATACACTAAAGAACAATTGTGGGATTGATAATATGGTAAAAATAATGAAAAAGTGTCCTAATTTTTTCAAAAACCGAAAATATAAATTGATGCCCATTCCAAATTATTTAAAATCTTTTTTTGTATTATCTGTTCCACAACAAAATGTATGAGAACCGATTGGAAGAAAACATGCTTGACAACATTTTTTATTCTATTATTCTCTTTAATGAATCTATAAATAATTAGGGTTTCTTACTTTTGCAAAAAACTATTCTGATTAATCAGTTATGATATGAGAAGGTTATAAAAAAATGGTCCTTCTTTCATCAATTCTATTTTGTTATTCCTAAGGATTTTAATTATTATTTTGTAGATTGTTTTATCTTAGAATATGATAAGACTACTTACTATTAATTTTGTTGTCCTTCAGCACGTGATAGTTGAATTTCTTAATCTTAAATCTGATTATTCCTTTGTTCCTCAACTTATTGTATATTAGATGGATGTTGAGAATGGCTTGCGTTTAGATTCACTTGTCCTACGAGTTGATTCATTGTACTTTCGATATAATAAAATTATCAGATAAAAATAATTATTAATATGTTTATTTCATATCAAGGCTGCATAAATAGAATAATTTTACTCAGCAACGATTATAATCTGTTATTTTAGATTAATTTGTTTTATAAAATATAGAACAATCTATATAAAATGCATGAATAGAGCATTTCTATGTTTTATCCAAGGAGCTAAATGTCAAAACTGAAGAAAATATATTTCTTCTTAATTATTACCGAATTAATAATTTCAAAGTGCTATTTTGACTTATATATCAGTTGAATATATATTTTTCATATTTAGCTTGATAAACCAGAAATATATATATTGAAGTAAATTTAAATTACCAGTCTCCATGAATAAATAGTCTTGCTATTAATATTGTAAAGAATACATATTAATTAAAAATTGAAATTTTTTTTAAATCATTTTTTAGAATAGCTTCATATTCAATATTTAAATACTATTGGTCTTATACATCATTTCTCAATCGATTATCAACATCAAGTTTTATTAGGCACCAACTAAATATAAGTAAATGATTTTACAAAATTAATAAACTTTCATTATCAAACTGTCCCTTTTTATTAATGATATACTCTATTATTTCCTATGACATCGCAATTTATCATCAATCAATGGAGTTTCAAAATATCAACAGGATTTTGTCTTTTTAACATGAAGATCATGCTTGTAGATTGAATTCGTATTCTTATGTCGATCAGTTATATCTAAACCCAAGTTGGCTTGTATAATCTTATTTATTCATATGTAATGCACAAACAGACTGCATATCCTACTCTTGTTAGAATTTTTAATCAAATTTATGCAATTTATGATGTAACCAATAGAAGTTAAAGCATAGAACTTTCCATAGAAACAATTATATTATATAAGATGTAAAATTCATTGATTCTCGTTCGAAATAATGTGTTTCTGGTTAGTTTTGATCTTTCGTGATTACAAGATTAGATTTGGAGAGCATACGAGACATTATACATTATATATTTCAAAAATGTTATAAGTAATCTTATTATTGTATATTTATATTTATTTATATTAATCACACTAAACTTAAGTTGCTAACTGATGCTGTGTCCCAACTAGTGTGTTTGTCAGTTCTTTTAAGGCTTATTAATTTTCTCAAACACGCCTTATAGACAAATCTTTCTTCTTCGCATTCCCATAAATAATGCTTGATTTTTTTAGTTAATGGGCGCATACTAGCAGTTTAAATTGAATTAATACTATGTATAATGAGTAGAACTATCTTGGTGCATGGGAGTATGGCCAAAGTCCTAAAGGGATAATGAGGATTCTTTACAATTGACTTTCCATCAGTTAACATTCTTGGCCACATTGAGGGCCAGCTGGGATGAATGATTTCCATTTGTTTAGTGTTTGATCTATTTGAATGATTAATATTTAATTTACTCAAAGGCACAGTCTTCATAATCATGCATCTACTTCAAACATGGAGTTGTGTCTACATTAATAATATGATATACCAAAGACAGGAGGCACTGAAGAAGGTAATGTACCAAAATATAGATAACTCATAAAATAAATATAAAAATAATAATAATATCTAATTGGGATTTTATTTGTATATAATTATTTTTAGATTAAGGTCTCGATGAATGCTGGGGATAATATGAATGAATAAAATAATTAAAAATAAAACTTGGAAGTATTTACAATAAATAATTTAAATTAAATATATAACTTATGCAAATTCCTAATTAACATGGTACCAATCCTGAAGACCTTAAAATTACCAGAGATGTAATTGTTTCAATGAATTTAGGAATTCAAAAAAATAGAAAAGGCAATGAAAAAGCCTGAATTCGCTGAATTGATGGGTGATTACATGAAGGAAATATCAGATCCAAAAAATAGGGAAGAATATGATTAATATTTGAAATAATTGGAACGAGAATCAGAATTGCCAAAAGGCATGAAGTTGATCAAACCTGAACCTCATTTTTGTGTTAAGACATCTATTTGGTAAAAACAAAATAGAAAGCATGAATAAAAAGTAAGGAAATTACTCTATAATTTAAGTTTTTTATTAATATATGTTCAACTAGTGTTATAGATAAGCCATAGTCAGAAACAATCACATAAAATGGGTAAACTGGATAAAATTGGAAAATCCCCTATTCCATTGGTAAAATCCGATATGATCAAGACAAAAGTAATACTCCACATTTAATTTAGAGCAAAACATATGCAATACCGTTGATGTAGCCTTTCATCCAACTACGATAGGATTATGTTACAAGACGCCCAATTTTAAAAATTTAGTTTGTTCAACAGCACTTGAAGCATCAGGCAAACAACTTGGAGAAAGGAATGAAGAAATAAGTAAAGATTTTAAGGTTCTAAAACATACAAAATGCAAAGGAGGTGAGCCAGCATTACTTCCTGTTAGGATTGATAAAAAGGGAAAACTTACTAATGAATTAGATAGTAGATAAGGAGGTTAAGCTAATGCTTAAACAAAGTTATAAAAGGATATCAACTAGATGAGGGATGAGAATGAAAAGATTAAGGAAGAGGAGAAATTAAAATAATAGTAATAAAAGGAACAATAAGCAGAAGAGGAAGAGGATATTAAGAAGGAATCTGATGAGATTGAATCTACAGCTGTTTCAAGACCTAAATATAGATTTATTTATTCTTATCCTGTTGAATACAGTGACTTCTTAGATTCCAGAGCCAATATGTCTATCAAATTACCAAATTAATTAGCATGTGATTTGAAAATGTAGAAAGTGGAGGCTATGAAAGAAATTCAATTGGATCTGAGCAATCAAGGACTTGTTTTAGATGTGCCAAATAAATATTTTTTGGACATTAAATTACCCTATCCTATAGAATAAACTGAAGCATCAGCAAAATTTGATGCAAAATCAAAGACACTTAAGATCAGAGCTCCTATATCTAAAGACTATTTAAAGATCAAATATTAAGAGGAAATTGAAAGAATTAAGCAAGAATAAGCCACATCTCAGAACGATGAGAATGAGGAACCTGAAATAAAATAGGAAATCTAGATTAAGTTCATTCCATAGGAACCCGAGGAATAACAAATCCAAGAACAAAAGGTTCTTGTACAGGAACTTGCTTCTTCTGAAATTAAGGATCAATAAATACAAGAAATAGAAATATAAGAAGAAAAATAGTAACTTATAATTTAATTTTTAGAGAGAGCTTTTAATAATTAACATTCAATCAAAGATAGGAAGGGAGACTATTATTTTTAATAATTCGTATTAAAGGGTACACCAAGGCAGAATTATTGATAGAACATGATGAAAATGATCTTTGCATTTTGTAAAAGTAAATTGTAGACTAAATTGTCACAAATCAATTTTTGCATTTGAAATTCCAAAACAACTCTGATTCATAAGTCACTATTGACTATGTAACTGATTTTGTTATCATCAAATTCGAAAGTAGAAATGAAGAGAATTTAATATAAATATAAGAACAATGTAAATATAATTAAATATAAATTATTAGAGTATGCAAATATACCTTATTCATAATTTTAAGAAAGGTTAGCTGAATTAAAAGAGAAAAGAATGATAAAATAATAACAGCAGTAATTGGAGCAAAGTAACAGTTAACAGCAGTAATTGGAGTAAAGTAACGGTTAAGAATTAGAGATTCCATTTTCAAAAGAATAATAATAACAACCTGATAAATAAAAAAAGATAGAATATGTAGAATAACACAATGATGAAGATGATTAACCAGAGTTAAAATTAGAAAGCCAATAAACTCTAATCAATAATTATCAATAGAGAAGAAACATTCAATTTTTACGATTTTAAGAGATAATGCCAGAAATATTTGAGATTGATTGATTATTATGTGAATATGTGTTATTTAATTTAATAATTATATTTGAACACACATATCATATGAAATGTGAGATCTTATGTAGAAGATTTATACAAAGTGTAATATCTGTTTGGTTTTTCCAAGTTTATGAATTTTAGTTACATATAAATCATAAATAAATTCATTTTTTTTTCTATTATGGGTCGTAAAAACAAAAAAAAAGGAGGAAAAAACAAGCGTCATCAGCCCCCTCTACCACCATTAGGAGAGGATTTTAAGTAAAATCTTTATCTGGAAGGTATTAAGTATTTAACAATAAAAGCTTTGGAGGGCATCAATAAATTAAAACTTTCAAAAGAGCTTTTCCTTTAGAAACAAGTGAAGGAAGCTTATTTGTTATCAAAAAGCTGGTTGGAAACTTGGAAGATTCATGTTGGTTATGATGCTGTGTTTAAAGGCGAGCAGCCAGGAGGCAAGAAATATGGAAGACAATAAATAGGAGAGATGAATAAGGACATAGTTGCAAATGCGGAATTATTTCATTCTGCACCAGAATTGTATTTTTATTTTGATTCTCCATTGAATGATGTCTAACCTGTAAAAGATTACATCCTGATTACATAAGATGTTTGGGAATTCTTTTGTGAGAAATACAAGGGAAAAGCTGTAAAGAGGATAGCAAACGAACAAGGGGAGTTTAATTTGATGATTATAAGTGTAATTATATTAGTTGATATCTAAGCCCTATGTGATTTTTATGACTCAAGACAAGTTGAATGAAATTGGTGCACTTAATTAAAATTAGGTGACTAATTCCTTAGATTTGTTGAGAATGAGGAAAGCGTAGATGTTTAGTGAATGGAAATTCAGAGACTTGGAAACTTATTGTTAATAAATAATGGAGAATCAAGATATTCAAATTTGGTTAATGAATCCTATATACGAATAAAGTCAAATTAAACTACAATTAATAAAGGCAGTTCATCAGAATAAAAATGTACTGTTGGGTGAACAATTATTAGAAGCAGAATATTAGCAACTGCAATTATCTCAGTTTTTAAAAAACCATTTTATATTGGTAGTATTTTCAAATAAGGTTGAAATATCTTAATTGGATGTTAAATTCGAATTAAATTAAAATGGTTGTTGCTTTAATTGTGGATCGAAGGCTTTATTGAATTATTCTTGTGCTTGCAAAAAAGTATTTTATTGTAGTGATACTTGCAGATATAAGGATTAAGAATTTCATTCAAGACAATGCACAAAAGCCATATGATTCACAAGATGATGACGACTTTGATGCAATCACTTATGACAATCTATCTACTAAATAAGGAGTAGGATTAACCAATTTGGGTAATACTTGTTATATGAATTCATCCCTATAGAGTCTCTTTAGTGCAACTCACTTATAGGAATTCCTATCAAATAAATAATACTGGACCTAGAATACTATTAAACGCAATGTGCAATTAAATTACAAATTAGAAAAGCTATTAAAAAATCTCCTGACTCAAAATAAGGCATTCTCTCCATATAGTTTCAGACAGTAATTGGCTCGAAAATATCCATTCGTAAGAATTAATATCCATATCTTAGTTTGGCAATAACTTTTAATAGGATGCGGCAGAATTTATATTATATCTGTTTGATGCATTAAATGAAGAGTTGATATAGAAGGATGGCAATTAGAAACCTGAAAATGAGTTGCAGTAGTAACTAGATTTAGGTGATGGTGACAAACCTGAACCGGAACAAGCAAATAGTGATAGCGAAGATGATAGCAGCGAAGAACAGGAAAATAGTGAGGCCAAGCCAGCACAATAATAGCAGATGTAATTCCATAAAAAAGTATAATAAAATGTAAATTAATTGATAAAATTTAGTAAATCAATAATGATAATTACGAGTAGGCCTAGGAGTTGATCCACAAACTAAACAGCTCATTTATTCTTAAGAATTATTTAGGAATCACTAGATCAGAAATTGAATGTCCCATTTGTGAATAAAAAACTTAAAGTTACGAATAGTTTTTGATTTTGCCACTCTCTTTAAATGCTACATCTTAATCTAAACATTTAGTTGATGTGTTCGTTATTTCGAATGACTGGTATAAGCCCTATGAAAAAATTGTTTATGAATATTAACCAAATCAAACTCTACTATTAGAAGTTAAAAGAGATATAGGAGAGAAATTGGGAATTGAAGCCACTTATCTATTAGGCGCATTTTGTTCTAATAGCTTAATTGATACATATTTGTTTCATGATGAGGATCATCTATCAAAAGTACTTAATGATAATTAAAATGGTTATTTTTGTTTATTCTAATTGGATTAGAGCATTTATTCGATAACTGATGAAGATTAATATTTTGATGTGATGATCTACTCATTTGAAAAGAGGAATGCCTTCTCCTATCAATGCGAGTACATATGTGCAGCCATTCCCAAGATTCTAATAATCAAGAAATAGTTTACTGCAGTTTAAATTTATCAATAAGTTTGGAATAAACTTGGCGAACATTCCAAATCAGATTAACTTATGAATATCTAAATTGATGAGCCTTAATAAGAGAACCTTTTAAATTCATAATAGCTCAAAGAAATCTTAAATTACTAGGTTATCATTCAAACTAGATTACCATCTAAGATTCCTTGCCCATTTATATGTGGCAAACAATTTAAGAAAGATCAGAAACCGCATAGTTGTGAATTGCCTTTCAATAACTCAACCACATTGCATCAATATTTAGAGAAAATTAATTATGCCAATGCCCATACTTCATTATCAATAGAATTCTTAGAAAATGCAATCCCAAATACCTTAAGAATAGAATTTGAACCCAAAACAAACTACCAAAAACATGATAAATGTACAATTGCATATTTATAGAATAGCATTAAATGTATTAAATCTGATCGACAATTTCCAATCTAAAGAACCATTAATGGATGAAAATGCCTATCATTGTACAATTTGCAACGATCTAACCTTTGCTATCAAAACAATGAGCTTACAAAAACTACCTGATTAATTAATCATACAACTCAAAAGATTTTAATATGATGAACATAAGGGATTCTAGAAAAACAATATTCTAGTCACATATCCAGAAGACATTTAAATAAATTAAATAGATTATGAGTTATATGGTGTCGTGTTACATTTTGGTGGATTAGACAATGGTCATTATATTGCGTATGGCAGAAGACAAAAAAAATGGATTGAATTCAATGATGATACAACTAAAGAAGTAAAATAGAATGATGTAATCAACGACAAGAATGCATACATTCTATTTTATTAACAGAAATGATGTATATCTGATGTATTTTAAGATAAATCATTTTTATTAAGTGAATCGCAACCATTTAAATAAAAGCTTCTATCTTTTTTATTCAATTAAAAAGCTAACCACATAATAAATACAAAATTTTGAATGTATTTTGACTATTCTAATTATTATTTTCCTCTCCATCCCCTTTTAACTTAAGAATACAAATCTATGTAGTCTGCCACTCTTTCTGGTCATTTTGTAAGGCATTCCAAGAAATAGAGCACCTTTACTAAGTTTTATTCAGGAATTTAATTCTCAACTCTAGACTCTACATAATATATTATTCAGATTCTCAGATGATAGCTATTTGGCCATAAATGAGTATGCAACTCTTCAATAACATGAAGAATGATAATAATTAAAGCTTATCTGATTGCAGCTTTTGATAAAAATTCTGAGGGATTTATTAGGTTTGCGGTGACAAAGAAACATATTTGTTATGAAATATATGGTGATATACTGTTTATTGTAATTTTGCATACAACAAGTGAGATTCGAAAAAGTATGTATTTTTAGAAGTTTTAACATTATAATATAATATGATATTTTATATTTATATTATAATATATTATATAATATTTATTAGATTTAAATGAAAAAAAAATGAATAATATGTTTAATCAGTGCTTTATTAATAGTACGCAACATAATTTAATATTAATTTATTTTGAGGGTATTTAAATCTTTTTGAAATCTCTAGAGAAATTATATATTTTATTCAATAAAAATTCAAACACTTTTTTAAATCAACAAAGAGTTAAAGTTTATGTCCTTGTCCTTGAAGTGCATCTAGAAATTTGGTTCTTATCCTTTACCAAGGAAGATCGGAGTTTTAGGCTATGGTGCAATTGGGAGTGCTTTTGTCGAAGTTCTTTTGAAAAACCACCCAAGTATAAAATTGTTCTTTATTCCGAGATGCCTAAATAGTTGCTCTGGATAAATATGATGCCTTTAGACCTAATGAGAATCGTTTCGAATGCATAATAGAAGAAAGAACCAAAGAAAATATAGGTGACACTCTCTCAAGGATGGGGTAATATAATTCATCAATAACTAGATTGCAAAGCGGAGACATTTTAGTGGATTTGTCAACGAACATTGATTTCTTATCGATTTGGCCATTATGCGCAGAGAAAAAGATAAGATACATGAACACAGCCTTGGAACAATGGGAAGACAGTGAGGATGCCAATTCTTGTCCTAAGAATAGTGAGGAAGCATACAAACTCTCATTAGGATACATTAAGGACAAGGCCAAATAATCGAAGTATTGGAATCCAAGGAGTGGAGCTACAAGCATTCTGGAGATGGGATTCAACCCTGGTGTAGTATCACATTGTGTAAAGAGAGGATTAGAAGATTGTGCCAAGTATTACTTGAAGCATGATGATTAATTCAAAGATGTGAACAAATAATTGTTGAAGAAATATTTGGAAGCTAGGAATCATTCTAAACTAGCCCAGGTGTTGGGTGTTCACACAATACATTGTTCAGAATATGATAATCAAATGATGAAGGATATTCCCAAAGATATTAATAATAAATTTTACAATACATGGTCCTGCAGAGGATTCTTGACTGAAGGACTCGTACCTATCTAGGTGGCTAGAGGCAGTCACGAGGACCCCCAAATTGAATCCATGTATACAATCAGAGATGGAAAAACCATTGTATCTACCAAGCCTTCAGTACAGACATTAGCCAAGAGTTGGCTTCCGAATTAAGATATTACTGGGGTATTGATACCTCATGGAGAGGCTTACAGTATCCAAGACTATTTGGCTGATCCTGAAACTGGATATGCCCCATCTTAATATTACGTTTACGATTATAATCCTTTGGCCAAGAAATTTATATCTGGTCTTCCAAAGAATGCTGACATCAACAATACCCATCCTGAAATGGAAGTCATTCACCCAATCAACCACCCTACTTTGAGAGGAGTTGACAAGGTTGGTGCCATGATCATCATGAACAACAACCGAGGCTGGTGGACTGGCAGCATTATGGATGAGGTCGATAGTTCGATGTTATTCAATGGAAGATTTGGACCCACTGTTTTATAAGTTGTGGGAGGAGTTTATGCAGGATTTTTATGGAGTTGTATCAATCCAAATGTTGGATCAAATTTCCCAGAGAGTATTGACACTGATTTCCTTTTGGGCATTGTAATTTAATTATCATAACAATTAGGGGTAACCAATGATGGGCAGATTTGTTTCCGTTAATGTGGATTTGGCTAAGACATCCATCAAAGATTGTCATAAGTTGCAGAGCTTCATTTGTAACAAGCAGTGATTATTTAATAATTATTATTCAATTATGAATTAATACCATTAAACAATTCAAGTATAATGACTATAATCACTGATTAATTGTGAAATAAATATATATTCAATAGATAGTATTTTCCATTCTTTATTATACATGAGACGACTATTTCTTAAGTTACTGTTCAAGATTCATTCCAAAAGATTCAACTCTTTTTTACTTTTCTGCCTTATAATTGATGATGCAAAATATTATAAAACTACAACTTATGATCAAGGGCAAACCAATCAAAAATATAAATAATAGCCATTCCGTTGTTATGTAATGATGATATCCCGTATTTGAAATTGTGATATCCATACACAAACCTTGGATCTCATTTAAATTGCTAGGACACAATTACACATTCAATACACTCTTAGGAGTACTATTCTAATCAGCCTAATTTAGTGATCATTCAAATTACTAATAATGTAAACTGATCATTGAGATGAAACCACCTTAACTAAAAATCTTATTAGTTATAGTCTTATTCCAAAATCAACATTCGAACATGTTCATTCAAATACCCCTTTTGTATGTCCAACAACATTAGATTCCCTTATATCTAAGCAGCCTGGATAACAGACTTCACTGAATGATTTATTTAATATTGGCCCCTTAAGAACAATTTAACAAACTGAGTTTGCTCAGAGTAGTTTCTAGATGCATTTCTACAACTAATAGCGAAATACTAATTATGGGAAGCCTTCAACGATCCAGGTGGACTCTGACACTGTGTGTATTGTCTATTTCAAATTCTATCTTACTTGAAAATCTATTCAATCTCAATTCGTCCCTAAATTTGAACTAAATCAAAACTTAGGGAATCCGTCGTTACATTAATTGTATAAGTCGACTCATTCTGGAATTGAACTTCAGTGTCAATGTATGTGAATTCAATTTGATTCTTAATAACATTACTCACTAAAATAAATATAATTATGAATTTACTTAGTTCTTTGATGTTTAGAGTTTCCACGTTTATCAGCTTGTATTATGGCTGCCTTTTTGTTGCGTATATGAAACTTATCTATAACTTATACAGATTAAACGAGTATTGATCATTGAATATTAACTCAATAATCGTTTCAATCTTGATATCATTAGCGTCCTGAATGATGCAACCCTTAATACAATACATCTAAAAATTGTTAACAATCAACGTATTTCTATTAAAATTAGCTGCTCCAATCACATCCAAAAGTGATCCATTCATTAATGAACTCTAACTCTAATCTAAGTATCCATAGAAGATACAAATTAAGTTATCTCTGGCTCGGTCTTCAGAGTCGTATCTTTTATTTCCCTTCACCATAGCGGTTACAGTAATAAATTTATACTTTGGTTTAAATTGAATTGGGAAGTTAATCATCTTCACATCTTCCAAAAGAAAAGAACTTTGATTTTAGTACAAGAAATCTTTGAAATTGATATTTAAGAAGAAGAAATTGTTTAAAAACTATTTCTCAATTGGTTGGTTATCCGAAAGGATAGTAAAACTTAATTGATTAATTTAGTTAGTGACATTGACTCTCACCATCATGGATTAACAAAATAAGGCTATTATGTGGATGGCTGATAATTCTGCAATTGACAGTGGATTAATAAAGGATTTAGTACAATTATTCACAGTTGGTTAATCTTAATCAAAAAATACATTCTTGATCTCATCATAATCTATGGTACTCTAAATTACTTATTTATGATCTACATTATAAGATATTTTACATTAGGTTTGAGGAATGTCTATTATGCCTATGTTTTCATCTCCCAAAATGATTAGATACTCCTTAGAAACACTTGTTCCTAGAATTGTCTAATTGATCTTAAATCTAACTAAATTATCATCCTATTCCAAGATGAATGGCACCATTTTTATGTTGTAGTCTTTGGCACTTTACAATTAATAATTGAAAATAGGACCAGAATAATAATCCATGATTTTTAATTCAGTTGTATAATTAGTCTTGTAGATGTCAATTTCTTCCAACATTTTTACGCTCTTCTCTATCATTGTATCCTAATATCTAAAACTACCATTGATAGTGAGGGTTTCTATAATATTAATTTATATAATAGTACTTTGCACACTGTAACTTAATGCAGATTAGGCATTGATTGCAACTGAGAATTAATTATCAATGTTGGTAGGATCAGAAGCAATCAGTTCGAATTCAAGCATTTTATTAAAGTAGCAATTTATGTCAGCATTTGCAAATTACAAACAATATAGGAAGGAAAGCATTTTTGGATAGCATATCGTTATCGGTTATGATTCAATTGGATATTTGTGAATTGCATGTAATCTATCTGATCCAGTCTTTGACAAATCATATATATACAATTCATTTGGCTTATTGGTTGGTACTATTAACATATAATAATTTAGATGTGTTTCATTAGCATTAATAATGCTATTGAATTAGGGTAGCATAGAATCAAACTTGATATCCTATAAATTATCTATTGTGTATAGAGTTATTCTGTCATCTACAACAACTAATGTCAATATTGGTTTTCTGAGTTGCAAAACAAAGAATTTAAAATTATGACTCAACTGACCCAATTCTATTTCTGAAATAGTTGTCTTAAAATGATTTGCTTGAAAATGATTTGTCAGTTGGATCTAATATAATTTATTTTGATGACTTCCTAGAATGATGTCATTCTTTAAAAATTGAAAATTTAATTATCTAAATTTACGATCAATTTCTATTGTAACCACACCTTTAAAATAAATGTCAGTATAATAGATTGTGTTGTTTGTGGTGAAAAATAAATTTATGTAATCCAAGTCTACAAATACTTCATGCTATTAATCGTGGAGTGGATACTCAACATTCTTACATTCATACTCCAATAAATCTTCTTCCACTCTCAGCATTTTCAAGACTGTGTAATAAGTTGTTTTTTAATAGAATATTATATAATATGGAGAGATGCTGACTATATTCTTCACAATGTTGACTGATGAACAATTTAAGGAATAGATTTTCTGAGTAAAATAAATTGTATTTGTAATTTCCTATTAAATTATCATTTTGACTTAATCTATCTGTAAGAATATGGTTCTGAATCCTTTATCTAAAAACGATCTAATAGGAATGCGAGAATGCTAGATAAAGTTCTGATACAAGTCTTCCCACATTTCATACCCGAAGCCAGAAAGGCTTATGACTTCAACATCTAATCTAAAATATTAATACTTCTTACTTTTCTTATCGCTCTTGGGTTAAAGCACAGCAGCAGGCCCTCTTATTAAAGTAGAATATAGGACAGTTGAATCGGTATTTGGAAAGTTGTAATTTTACAAATGGTCTATTTTGTATAAATTGGTGCTTTCAAAATTTTGATTATATATCATAAGTGTAATTTTCTGATTCCGATTCTACATAATATTACACTTTGAAGTTTCTTGAGGAATTAACACAATAGAACAAAGAAATTCATCGTTGGATGTGGAGACTACAGTTATTCTTTCAATTTCATTTTTAATTAAACTTAAAACTGCCTTGGTTTGATTCATCTATTGAGTTATCAAAATGTTGGTCTGTCCAGTTATGGTGGAAAAGGAAACAGGATATGTTAATAGCATGGGGTGTTGGTATTTATTTCGAAGTAATAATTTTTCAGTGTAGGATTGATGTCTATTAATTCTATAACATTCTATAGAATTTTAAATGTAAGTAAAGCAAACATAATAGAACTACTCATCATATTGAATTTATCCCTTTTTGATCTACTTATCACTGAGTATATTGCGAATGCTAATCTTATCATTAATTGGGAGTGCAGTAAAGAAAAAATCTTTCGATTATTGAGGTAAAGCTAATTCATATATAAAATGATCGCTCAGTATTACGATGCTATATTGAATGTCATTCTCTATGATTCCGATGGGTGGGAATCTGATGGCATATTGTTCATGGGAGTAGCTGAGTGCATAAAATAATTCATTCGGTAAAAACAATTACCACAATAATTGTTCGTAGGTGATGTCACCATCATCTGTGAATGCAAATCTAAAAACATGCAATGCTGATCGATGATCTAATATCATAAGGGTGTTGTCATCGAAAAAGGATATTTTTTCAATTTCATTGATTGAACTGGTAAGTCTAGCCATTTATATAGAATTAGCTTGATTATTAAATTTACCAATTAATAGTGGTCTGTTGACTTTAAAATTGTCTTGGGAGGAACAATAAATGCTAAAATACTCAGGATCTTTGACTCTCCAAGAACTCTCAGTGATGATATTTAAGTTATCGCAATTGTTCAGTTACTCTGAATTTAAGTACAGATGTGAATAGCAACCGGATAAATATTTATTATCTTCAGCGATGCATTCAATTATGGAGATGTAAATATCATTTTCTGATTTGCAGACAGCTATAAATATGTCGAGTGAGTATTGAGTCATATCGCTACAGGTGAAATCAGGTAGACCCTTGGTGTTGAGATCGACTGTTCCCAATTCTTTGAAGGGAGAATTGAATTATTGATTATCCTTGAAGAGTATGGTGATTTTACCTATCTTCTCCAAGATGAGTATGGTATTCTAATCATTTGGGTAGTAGACAATCTAGGTTATATGATATGAGAGTACTTGTTCTATTTAGGTTTTCTCTAACAATTGAACCTACTCATTGACTTTGTGTTCCTGGATTTAAATGTGTTTCTCGTTGCAATCTGTGGAAATTTCATATTTGTTAATATCAAAAATCTCATGATAATGATCTCCTTTCGTGAGCAATATTAATTCACCAAAAATTGAATATATTATCAAAGAGCCGATTATAAAAAGATAATTCATATATTTTAATTATATTTATGTATTTTATGCAAAAATAATCAATCGAACAATTTCTCCAAGAATGATTTTTCTTTATTTTATTTCTATGCTGTGCCAGCCTATTGAGGTTGGGATGGTTATTGAGGCAACTGGCCTTATTGATAAGGTCTGGTTCTTCCCATATCTTGAGGGATGGATTGTTATTGTTATTATTATTATTATTATTATTATTATTAAGGTACTGATTAAGCGAACTGATGTATAATTATAACTAGATACTTATGCTGGTGCAACAGTCTGTTACAATTAAGGGTTGTATTGTGTAGTTTGAGCTAGAGGCTATTAAGTTTTAGGCTATTGAGGACCAAGGGATTGCTGTCCATAGACTGAATATTGGGGAGCTTAGGTTTAGGTAACAGGGATGGAATATCCTTGATTAATTTAGGTGGTTGGTTGGGTGGCTGGATTGACGATTGGTTGTTATTGAGTTTAAATTGTTTAGATTTATTGTCCATAATTCAATGGCACAGTCTATTTATGTATATGAGGTGATTACTTAAGCTATTTGCAATTAGGGTTGGGTTTGATATTGTTGTTGTGGTAAATATTGAGTGGTTGGGATGGTTGGTTGTAATGCCACTGACTATTGGACTTAGACTTGTTGTTATGGTATGACTTCTCTTTGTTGTAGATAGGATTATTGGACAATTGGTTAATGAATGACTTCTCTGGTTTGATATTGCTATTAAATTTGGACTGGCTATTAGTATGCAATGGTTTGTTAAGGTGGGACATATTGGGTATACTGTTGAGTGAATTGTTGAGTTTAGACTGGTGCATAGGAAGTTTGGACTTGAGATGATTGATATCCGACAGGCTAAGTCTTATGATTGAGTCATACTTATTAGATTACGTTTTATCTCTCGACTGTGTAGTATTCAGTTCTTTCTGCTACTCGTTCAACTGGGACGTATTCGACTTACTTCTCCTGAATAACTTAAGGGATGTATTCGATGTCATATTGGACTGCATAATAGTCGGTGACTTATTTAGTGATGGGTACTTGCACTTGTCTTCTCACTTCTTCGTATTCCGTAATTGTTCTCTCATATGGAATGTATTCAATTCTGGACTGTCCCTTTACCACTTGTCCTTATTGGGTTTCCACTGTTTGTTGGGGTAGTTGTTAAATTTAGGATTGGCCAAATATGGGTTGTTGAGTGAATGGTTATCCTACGATTCCAACTTGTGGTTGTCCATACAATGGTTGTGTTTAAACATTTTGTGGCAATATACCTTGTTGTTAAGGCAAGTATTGTAATCCTTTCTCAGCAGATTGTTGAGGTTGATAATTACTCTATGGAACTTGCTATTATCCCAAGGTTGGTTATTGGTAAGTGGATTGATCTCTATTGTATGAAGGTAAATTTGATGGTGTTGAATATTATTGCTATGGTATGTTAGCCATTAAAAAGATTTTTAATTATTAAATTTTATTTGTTTATTCCCATATAAATCCAAATTATATTAAATTTATAACAATAAGCACTAATTAAACCTCATTTTTTGAGCATTTTCTATATATTTCTTAATTGCTCCTTAAATATGGCATCCAACTGTTCCTCACTTTACATTGATTATGCTTTAATCGATAATTATTGCAAATCCTACTCGTCCAAAGACTCCTTGTCAGCATAGTACCCACACACATCAACATCACCTCCCTCGCTTTACAATGTGAATTCTCCATTTATTTTATAATCAACCAAAAGTTGGGGCTTTTCTTATATTATGAGTATCAAACCTACTTGGTTGTCAGCGTCGCAATCATTATGTTATTGAGTCTCACTGTGCCAAGACCACAGAGGTTGGTGATTATCAGATTGGCCTTTATGGTTTTGATTTATCCATTTTATAATTTTACACCCCAAAACATATTTAATTAAATATATGTCATTTCGTAATCGAGAAAAATTAAGACACACTTCTGGCATGATGAAGGACGATTTCGATCTCAATGATATTAATGAGCCTGAGGAATTGGGTCTGGATCAGAAGATGGATTGGCTATTGAGCAAATAAAAGTATCACTTTAAACGCGAGATTTCTTACAAAAAACAACATATTCTGAATCTTATCACTGAATAGCAATCCTCATCCACCAAACCTACTCAACCTTCTTAACAACAGTCTCTAATTTCAAATAACTTCTCTTCATTGCAAGATGCCATACCACAAATACTCCTAGATCAAGGAGATGCAATCAATGAACCTCAATATGCAAAATCCAAGTTCTCCAAACTGAATAAAGAAGCACTTTCCCCTTCTGTCCCTCACAGATTCACCTCGAAAAAGAGATCTTAGTTTTCATACTACTCCAATGACTCTTACAATTCTAATTTGGAGTTACATCTAGGCCAAAAATAAGATTCCAATCATCACCTCTCAGAAACCCGAAAAGAGAGATCGAAAATAGTGAGCAACACCATGAATCAATATAATCAGCAATATTTACTGAGACAATCAAGAAACAAAATCAATAATAAATCTAAAAGAAACAATCCCCAATCCTCCTTGTTACAATTAGAATTATCAGACAAATCAAAGTCCCAAAGTTCGATTACTACACCCAAAAGCATTTTGAAAAACCCCTCGTCTCTTAACTCGAGTCGACAGAGCATTTGCAGCTTGCAACTTGGTAGTTAATTAAACACACAATCACCCTCTAGAAGACACAAAGTCAAGTTCTGTCTGACCAAAAAACAAGCAAGAAGAGAAAATATTCCATGTTGACAAATACTAATTATTAATAATTATACTCATTTCATTGTTTCAAATTTTAGCTTATTTACTTTGTTTTATTAAAGATATTCCTCATTTTCTGATGTTTCTTAATCAACTAGGAACAATACAGTGTGATTATCTCCTTCTTATCAATCACAGTAAATGGACTAGAATCAATATCATTCCACAACTCCAATTCCACATTGCTCAAAATATTCTTAGTCTCAGCTATTGTTGATATCAATATATTATAAATATAATGGTTTTACATCTCCTCTTTACAAATTTGCTTCCAATTGTTCTCCATCTCCTATTTAGAAACATCAGCTGACTTCTGTTTATGCAACATCGCCAACTTCGTTATCGATTTCAAAGAGATCTACTTGTTCATCTATTGTTATTGATTATTCCCACTTTAAGATTGCATCATTGAACCAAAATCATCCTTCATTACACTACGATTCATCATAGTTGTCTGTTTCATCAAATACATTTAATACTAATAGTTGTTACTCATGTCCAATTGATTCATCAACTCCTTCTCCTGGAATATCAAATCCTTACGAATTTCCAACTACTCCTTTATCAAAGCCACCATAATGTTGTGCACAGCAAATAAGAACAATAAAATATAAGTGACTATGTAAATCAATGACAATTCTAAGCTAACCCCTCTAGAACTATCTCTAGCCACATCAGATATTGAATCTCCATAAATCAATGAAAATAGAGCATTTATTGAAGACGATAAACTCACAAACTAATGAGAATCGCTAAACAAACACATACCCAACAGAGCATAGCCTAAAAAGACTGGTAAGAAATTTAAAATAGCCATACACACTGGTAAAATAGATGACTCTAATACTGATGCAATTAAATGCAATTCTTCATAGTAATCCAAGTATTTCACTATTGAAAACCATGCGAAAAAGCAACCCAATCCAGCCATCAACTCATCATATTAAGACAAACCATCAACTCTTATGAAAGTCTCAGATATTAGTATACCAGCTGATATTAGTTAAATGATATTCCCTAAGATTCTAATGGGTAAAAATAGATCAAAAAACAATAGCTTTTCCTTTATTGTCAATTACTCCCAAGGCTTTTATTCAGTTAAGATGATCTTTAATGTTGTGAGATTCTGATTTTTATATAATTTGTATTCAGGAACTTTGAACTTTCTTTTTTTCTTCAATTTTGAAATGTTATTTGTGTACATTTCAATAACTTCATAAATATATTTGACTCCCAAACAAACATCAATAAATGCCAATAAAATTATACTCAATTACAACAACATATTATCTATTCTAACAGCAGCACTATTGAATGCAGATCCATGTCCTTCTTCTCTGTTTTCTGCACAAATCCCCCCTATTGTAGTAATGGTGGCATCAATATAGCCATAATTAATGAATTAATATGTAATCTAGAGATCCCAACAAGCAGATCGCTATTATGATTCTACTTTGATTTAGTTCACAGTCAGTGTTAATTCATAAGCATTAGTCCAAAAATCACGTATTTGATCATCATCTTCTAAGTCAAATGGGTCGAGTAATGGTTTACCCAAAGTAACATTTCGCATAAAAGGATAATCAATTCTGTATGCTTCAAAAGGATAATTATAATTGATCTAAAAGAAGGTATTACCTAAAATTTTAGTATCCTAAACTGTGATATCATCAATATTGGCCAGATTATTGAGAGTATTATTCAAGGAATCCTAAAAGTCATCGATTGTAAGTAAAGTAATTTTATTATTCATAGGTTCATCCGCATTCAAAAATAATGCCACTATTACTATATAGACATACTGTACCAAATTAAATTATTTGTCCTGAATTATTATATGTGTAATGTTCAGAGATCAATATCACTTGTAAAGTGGTTAGGAAAACTAATGTACAAGAGATTAGAAACTTAAAGGGAAATCTGCCGTATTTAGAGTACTTTTCAAATGGAGATAGAGTAAACTTATCCTTCAAAGTCTCTGTATAAATTCCTTCTGACATAATATTCTATATTGTAATTATTTTATAATTTCTATTTCATGGGAAATACTTCTTGATGAAATTGTCTACTGTCTCAAACTTTGGCATTGATGGCATAGCACCATGTTTAGTAATGCACAAGAATGCAGAAGCACTTCCGAAATGCATGGCCTTGTAGAACAATTTCTTTTGTGTTTCAACGTCTATCTTTCTCAGAGCTACGAGAATATTCATTGATAATTACTTGAAATTCTGGCTGGTCCAAACTCAATTAAGGAATTGTAAAATGACACAGTAAATGCAGAAGTGAAACAATCACCAGCACCAACAGTATCGACGATTTTGTACTCTTCCAAAATGTTAGGGTCTAAAATGTAATTGTAATAAGATATCTACTTAATTGTGTCACTGTTTGACATCTTACACTATATCCTTTAGTCACAAGCATACTTCCATTCGAACCTAACTTCAATAGAACAATTAAATCTGGATAACGAGTGAACACCTTGTCATGTATGGTTTTGGTAAGAAACCTATAGAATATGAACTAATTCTTACTCTTCTGCATTTGAATCTGCATCCATATTAAGATCTTCTCCTAAGATACGCTCCAATTCTGTTTCGTTGGGACTCACAATTGTCAATTTCTCAAGGAAATCACTCTTTAATTTCTCAGCTTTGCCTCCGCAATCCAAAACTGTAATCTTATCATTTTGGCTCATCTATCTATTAGTATAATTCTTACATATTTAGCAGCCAAGATGTTGATGGACTGTGGTACTTCCATTTGTAATTACAATAAATCTGATGATTCAATAGCTTATTGGTATTCCTGTGGTAAGACATCCAAGGTTTCATAATATCCATTAGCTCCTGCAACGATGATGATAAGATTTTCTCCTTTCTTATTTAACAGAATTATGGCCTATCCTGTTTATTCATCTACTTTTCTAAGGGCAGTTAAATCTACTCCTGCCAATGTCATTTCTTTGACTAACAATTAGCCAAGCTCATCCTTTCCAATTTGACCTGCAAAGATGATCTTGGATTTAAGCAGAGCCGATGCAACTGCTTGATTAGCCCCCTTGCCTCCATTTTTTAAATAGGATTTCTAATAAGATCGAATGATGGCTTACCTTAGAAGCGATAGTCTCTCCTTCTTTAGGAAAGTCTTCAACTTCAAGGAAATGATCAGAATTCGCACTTCCTAACACACAGATCTAGTATTGAGATTATTGCATATATAAAATAAATCACTTTTATTATCTTAATTACGTATTTTCATCATGCTAATTACATACTTTTTATAATTTCTTTAGTTGTTCCACTGGTTCTAAATTCTTAATGGGTTAATTAGTTATTTATTTAACTTTTTGCCCATATTACAAGGAACTCATTGATTCATCTAAGTTGATAAAGGAAGGAGAGATATTGATGATCATGATTGTTTTTGACTACAATGATAATTAAACAATACATTTCCTCCTAGGAATTCCCTCATCAAATAAGTGAGTTTACTGTTCCTATATGGAATGAAACTACTCTTTGTCGATAGTGCTATCATCACATCATTAAGAGCAGAGAGACTTTTGTTGATGTATTTGGCTTCCTCCAATTGATTTTGTTTAAGTCTTGATTTGTTACACCTTTCTGAGCCAGCCAAATCAATCAGATTCACTCTACTGATGAATTTCTACAAATCAATATTTTATCATACCTATTAAGTAATTTTATTAAAGGTTTCAATTACAAGTTGAGTGCACATATGAGATCTTGAACTGGAATCGTTCATCTCAGTTAAACTTTATCTTCTTTTTGAAGATGCAAACTCAATCAAATTCATAAGTTCATACATATTTTGCACTTTGATATTGGTAAGATTCTAAACAAACACTTACCCACTCGCATTCTCCTTAAGTTCCAGAGATAAAGAACCTTATTAGTCATTTAGTAAATCTATGATATTTTCTTTGTATATCTCCAAAGAATTAACGATAATAGAACAATCTAAGTTGTTTCTTTTAATATAAGCATAGATATCCTCTATTAAATTGGGTATAACTCCAGGTTGTTATTTTGTACCAAACATTGTGTAAGTCTTGCCACTGCCAGTTTGACCATAAGCGAAAATACACAAATTATAGCCATGGAATATTGCTTAGAGGGATTACTGTATCTCTTCATATACATCTTTTTGAGTAGATTGTTGATTAAAGCAGTTGTCGAAATTGAAAACTTTCTATTTCAATGAGATATGCTACTCATCTATAAATTAAACCTCGCAATCTATGCTACTTTCAATTGATACCTTTTATTTTATCTAAACTATTCGATGGTCTTACTCTGCAATACACTTTCACTTTCCCTTTTAAATCTTCCAATTCACGACAAACTCAGTCTCTTAATTTCATTAGTTTTCTATTTCATTTATTCTTGCAAATTAATATATCTATGATGCATCTATCAAATTGCATTAAACACTCACATTCTTGCAATCTGTGCTATCCTATATGACAGTGCTTCGATCATTTAATTATTTCTTCAATATAGTGTATTGATAAAACTTTGTACTGATCGATTATTTATCATTAATAGAAGGTGGTCGACCTTCTTTCTTTAGGAACTCATCTTACCATTAAGTAATTTCTCTTTTAATTATTTCCTTCTATTTCTTTATATTAGTTATGGGATCTTATATTATCTTCAACATCATTTTCTACCCTCTATTCTTATTAGACATGATGCTATATTCCCCTTCTGTTTAACCCACACTCTCTAGTGTATGACTATCCTAAAGTTATTCAACTACTCATACTTTGAATAAACTATCTTATTTCTAATTAAAAGATGTTTATAAAAATGAAGTAGCCACAGTAGTTGAGTAACCTTATTGAGTGCTTTTCAATTTATCACTTAGATCCACTATCTCCTATTTCTGCTGACTCAGTTCAACCTAGAACACCATTTAATTTAATTTCAACTCTACTTCCAACCGATTAACTTGTTCTTCATAATTCGACCTGCATGACTCTAACTACAATAACCTATACAAATGCTACCTTATAGTTCACACTCCTGGATTATCAACTCTTACTGTTATAACTACTCGCTACTTTCTTTGCAACTGACTTTGCAGTTCCTAAATCAACTATTTGTACTCTCTCTTTCTCTCGAATCAGTTGCTTGATTTAACTAATAAATTGTTTGTTCATCGTTTTCAATTGTTTAACAAATTCAAGCACTTCCTCCTGATCCATCAATATCTGAGTATCATCTATATTCTCCTTATTGGAATAACTCATCGCTTAATTTAAAAACAAAAAATGTTATAGTTAATTAATTATTTATGTTAAAAGCACTCTCTACATTCTATCTAAATCGACAGACACCCATTGCCCAATTTGCTAAGTAAATCACATTTGAAAAATGGAATGTAATCAAAGGAGACAAGGTCGTTGTTGTCTCAGGGAAGGATTCTGGAAAAACAGGAACTATTTTGAGAGTTTATCGTAAATCAAATGAAGTCCTTGTCCAAGGAATCAACTAAAAATTCAAAAGAAAGGCCTAACTAGATGATCCCTCAGGATCTGGTATTCAATAAATCACTAGACCCATTCATCTAAGTAAAATAGCACTCATCGATCCTGAAAAAGGCAAACCAACCAAAGTATACATACTCTAGAGAATTAGGTTCAAAGAGGGTTTTTGGAGGATGGTACACCTGTGAGAGTATCAAAATTGAGTGGAGCAATCATCCCAAAGGCTTTGGATCCTGCCAAGTCCCCTGCACATAGACACAGGAATAAAGTGGATGGCATCAAGGATACATCTCCTGCCCTTGCCTTATAAGTCACTTATAAAGGAGAAGACTTTTCTGCAATTAAAGCTGAATTTGAATCGTTCATTGCTGAGAAAGAGAGAAAGGAGCAATTATTATGGTTTGATAAGTGAATAATAAATATATAATGAATAATGATAAAAAAAATGATAAAAAACCTACCAAACAGGTTGAGAAGAGTTCTACGACTAATAACTAATAAATTTAGAGTAAACTCTTGGGCACAAATGTTAATGAAATAAATATTGAAAAACTACGCGATCTCAAATAAACTTAGAATTACAATTTACAAGGCAAACTTAATTCATGTATTCTCTATATTCACCCATTTAGAAATTGTTAAAACAGTATCCAATAAATTCGGTCTCGATATCGTATTTGTCTTGGATCTAAGCAATTAAAAGATCGGCAATATTGATTGTTTAACAGAATGCATTCATCTAGTTTAATTGAACCTTCAAAACAATTCAATCAGGTAAAGTTTTCTTTCTATTCCAAGTGACATTTCTCCATTGAAGGTTATGAAAGATCTTGCCTTTTTGAATATTTCCAATAATCAAATTACTCAATTGGATTTGGGGGAGTTGTACTCACTTCAAAATTTACAAGCTAAAGGCAACTTCATCAAGAGTGTTAAGGCAATCGAGTATTTAGATCGCATTAGAGTATTGAGGACACTCTATCTACAATGTCCATCTGGGGATCAGAAAAATCCTATTTGCGATCTTAATAATTATAGGAATGTGATTTTCAATACAATTAAGGCACTTTAAAGACTTGATGGTTATACTCGGGAACAAGAATACAACACAGGATAGGAATTGTAAAAGGAGCAGGTTTAAATCAAAATTGAGATTCCGAATACTGGTCCATGGTATGTTTAGCAATTCCCCAAAGTTGACAGTTCTTCAACGGTTTAACTCGATGATAAGGGAGTGAAATAATCATTGGATGAGACTAAAAAGTTAATCGGCAATATTGAAATGAAATTGGCTTTATTAAATTGAATTAATTATTATATAAATATAATGTGGCTTAGATTGTCATATTTATCATTTAGATCATGCTTTAGTAAGAAGATGGTAAATGGGAGATTCTTCGGCCCAGATATTTCTGGAAGATACAAGGGGCTTTTGAGGAAATAATTTTATTTTCATGGACTCCCATGGATTTATGATCAACCCAAAAACAGAGAATTGAGTCCTTACCATAGAAAACCTAAAGGTCATAAACGTGAGAGAACACGAGAATAGAGGTATGAGAGTTCGATTAGTTTAGAATTGAAAAAATAAAAAAGAATTTAATGAATTATGCTGAAGAAGAATTTAAATTTAGACAAGAAAGATTAAATAAGCGACCTCCAGGTGGTTTGGATATGTAATCGATATTGTTTACAATAGGATCGTATAGAAAATGATTCCATCTTGGATTCATCCCAAAACAGCTGCCTAATTGCAGAGTACTAAGCAACTTTTGTTGATGAAAAGAGGCAGATAACCCAAATAAGAGGAGGAATACAAAACTGATCAATATGAATTTTGATATATATTTGAACAAAAATAAATATATTAAAAATAATTATGGATATCGAGATCATCAAAAATAAATATTATGGCAATACCAATTTCATTTAGGAGCAATTCTTATTCGAAGTATCCAAATCAAAATATTAGTTTGAAAGCTGTTCTCAATCGAATTGTTAAATTATGCAACTCAAAATAAAACTTAGAATTTCGAAATTGTGTTAAAGACTAGAAACAATTCAGGAAAGATTTCATAAATAAGTTGAATGACTATTACAATACATAACAATAGGTATACAATAATATTGAACAAATTAGTAACTTTACGAAAGAATGAAATAGAAATGTATAAATAAAAATGATGAAGAATTAATAGAATGTTTATTGGAATAAACTATTAATTAAAATGAAATCAATAACAAAATGTAAGAATTCAAAGATTGGAGAAGAAACATCATTAAAACTTTGATTTGAAATGTATAAAATATCATAAGCAACTTAATGTCAATATCTAGTTTTTATCTGCATAAATTATTATGAATAGTAATAACCTATTTGCAATTAGAACAATATATTTCTAATAACAAATTATGTTGATATCTGATGATAGCTATAGTGTTATGTTAAATTTATTCAAATTCTCTGTTCCCCTTTGTCAAATACACTTTATTTTTTAAATAATTAACATTCTGTAATAAGGAGATGTAGTATATAATTTTATGGTAATTTCTTAGAATAGAATCAAAAAAAGTAATTATTTATTGTTCATTTGTATCTCATTAATTTAACCACAACCAGATATAACATTGAAATAGTAAAATTCTGAATTTATACTTTAAATTTAAGTGCTGACTGAAATGAATATGTTTTGTTTTTTAAACTTGGTTTAAAAATATATACACAAAATTCCTGTTATTCCTATGGCTCTAAAATTCTGACATATTTTAAGCAAACTTGAGATTTTTTCACCTCCTTAGTTGATATTAAAGTATAAGCATTCTCATTTATCGATTGGAATACCTACAATTTCCATTATCTTATAGTAGACTAGTTATTACTCAATAGTATTGTTTTGAGTGTTAAAAGGATTATTGTAAGAATAACTAATAAATGATACTATTCCAAAATAATGCTTAAATTTGTATCTCCAACTTGATTTTGCGACATTAAAGACAGCAGGTGAACTTAATATAATTTATTAGCAACTTCAAAATTTAAACTCCTTTGAATGCGCATACATTATTCTATTGACTTCTTGAAAATCGGAAACTTATATATGCTTTTTGTGTAAGAGTATTTTATCTCATCATTTATGATTGTCATATGTCTCTTTTGTTATGACTGATTGCTATTTTCTAAGAGAATTACTTCAAAGTTAATAAAAGTAAAGTGCTCCAGTATCAGTTGCACCAATAGTACATTTATGATAATTTGGAATTGCAATCGAATTAATAATAAACTTTTTATTAATACAATGCAATGTCATATAGAGTAATTATATTATTTTTATATAAAAATCTTAAAAATATGTCATTGTTATAAAGTATTTTTAACTCTTTAATTTTATTTTGATTAAGACGGTGCTTTGAAATTTGATTTTATTGTAATATTGTACACATTTTTAAATCTTGGGACTTGAAGGGGGGGAAATTTAAAAAGAAAAAAAGCATATTTAATTATAGATATGGACTTTCATTAGTAGGACAGCGATTTATTGACATCTAAACCTACCAATCATATGACTCAAGAATTGGTTTCTAAAGGTTTAGGAGTATAAGAACAAAGTGATTGTAGCTACACATCCCAACATTTGTGTTCTGTAATTAATTCAGACTTAATTTTGATAGAGTGAACACAATAGTAACAGGAACATCAATGGCAATAAGAGTTCATTCAAGAAAGTTAGTAAAAGCAATCTAGATCTAAAGAACTTGACAAACAAACATTCATATACCTGTGCGCATTATAATTTCTTAGGTAATTGCTTCTAAGAACATTGCAAGTATACTATAAAAAATAACCATAAGGAAGAGGCATGTTTTTATATCAGAAGAAGATGGGTTTAGTGATTTCATAGCCGATAACATTGATTTAATAGATAACCTTATAAGTAGCGGAAAGAAACTAAAATTGTCTTAATCTACATATAGAACCTAGTTAGCCAAATATAGGCAATGCAAATCTCAGAATAAAGAATTTTCAGATAAATTAGAGAATAAGTTCTCAGGTTTAGATTAAATCACTTTTGGTGATTTTTAGATAGGAAACTTATGGAATCTAAATGCTTTGTCTTTTTAGACAAATCAAACCCAATCTTAACCAGATCTCAATACCAATTTGCTCAATAAATCTATGAATCCTTTGATAAAGCCAAAACCTATGGTGGATTATAAATAAGCATCTGAAATACTAGAGAATTCTTCATCTCCTTTATCCATTTCCTGTGAAATCAAGAAAAATCTTATGTCTAAACTCAAATCAGATATTGACAAAATGCAAGAAAAAATTAAAATTATAGCAATGTTAAAAAAATGGTTAAATAATTAATAAGTTGATTTCAATGAATACATAACTTTGCACTCCTCCCTCTCATAAATATAATAAATACATTACACTAATTTTCTAAAGATAACAAATATGCCAATTCCAAGTAAAATTTTTTATTTATTCTTTAGATTAAGTAAATATCCATTAGTAGTTTCAAAATATCTAAAGTGTTTAATAATGAGCTTTTTCATTATTTGAGTTATGTGAATATATATCAATTATATATAATATTTGGATAATTCTGAAATTCTTTGTTCAACAATTAATTTATTATTCCTTTTTATCTAGTAAAATGATGAGATGAATTTGATTTACATCATATATCATTTTAAACCTAAAAATTTTAAAGATATTTTAGCTTCTTTTCTCTATAATTTTATCGAAATGGTAATTAATAATAATAATTTATATATATAAAATTGTACTTATTTTTGTAATAATTTAATGATTTTAAGTTACTACCTTAAGAGTTTGAATTGTAATTAGATGATTTTGATATAAATTTTGTAAAAAAAAAAACTAAAATGCCATCTTGATAATATAATTTGATTAATATGTTTAAATGATCATATCTTTTCTTAAAATGTGCTATCTGATTTAGTTACTTTTTTATAGTCTGCTTATTGATAGATATTATATGAGGTTCCTTTAGGATACCAATTTTCATCTAAAAGATTTATTCAATGTGGCTTACCTTCCATTTCTAATTATTCTTGGATATCATCCTAAGACTTCCATAATTCTCTTCTGCAATTGGGATTTCTTGGAGATGGGAATACTCTATCGCTTTCTGGGATATTGAATTAATCCTCGATTCCAACCATTTCACCTCCCCCTTTAGAAGATGTAAAAGGAAATAGTTACATTCGCATTCATATTCGAACCAAGTGTTAGGAACACCAAGATCCAAATCACCTGTTGGTTTGATCATTGGATCTGACCAAAGGAAAATTTCCCAATGGTAATCAATCAATTCCCTCACAGGAGCAAAACCAACAGGCAATTTGGCTAAATCTTCAAGGACTTGGACATTCCAGAGGATTTCAACTTTTTCTCCTTTTGAATTTGTAACAACTTATCTTGCAACATATACACTGTTTGGAACATAATCGACATCAAATCCACAGTTATAAACCAAATATGCAAAATCAACCTATTCTTATGGTGATAATCCCATGTTGAGGATCTTTTCAACTTCTCTTCTTGTTATTCCTATAAAATAGAATGAGTAAGACACCTGGGACTCTTCTCATGATTTCATCGGGATCCATCTAACAACTCCATGTTCCTTGTCTACCGATGGAAGTATTCTGCCAAACAGCTCTTACGTCTTCCATTCTAAAGGAGAATATGAAGGATAAAAATACGTATAAGGTCCATCATAAGGAGGAAGGGGACCAGATTATCTGACTGGGTTGACATGTCTGACGTTACGAACTGAAGGATTAATGAATTGAAAATACCTGGTAGAGGGACTTGCTACGATTTGGCAATGTCAGCAATTTCCTTATTGGATTGGAAGAAGTTTGGGTTCAAGTAGTGTCTGTATCTGTTGGGATTATATGGGCCATCTAGAGGTTAAAGTTAAGTTGGCTACTTCTTGAAGAGAATGTGAATTGGGGCAATGCTTTCCGGAATCCTAAGTTAATAGCACGATTAAGCATATCTATATATAAATTATTTATAAAATGTGTATATATATTTAAAATGAATTATATGTACGGATGACTTGTTTGAACTCCGAGAACGCAAATACAATTATTATCGATATTCTTGCATAAATTAATCAAATCGATATTATTATATATTAATTTTAATGAATTAGAAGAACAATAATTGCCATAATGCTTAAAGAGATAACCATTCAACATTTCCACCTACTCGCAGAGGAATTTCGAGTTTTCTCTTAAAAACATACTCAATGGTTATGGTATGTAAGTCAACACTCATTCCCTTATAATTCAGAGCTTTAATTTGTGAATCAAATATAATGATTTGAGAATTAAATTCTGGAAAATTACAATATGAAACAATATATTAATAAATTTAATATAAACTAAATAATTAGAATCCAGAATTTGAAGATATCATCTCATTTAATAGTGCTGGAAATGCCTTTGTAGTCAAGGATTAGAACGGATTCAGTGATTATGTGTTGCCAAAACAATTTAAGCATTAAAACTTTAGTTCCTTTATAAGACAATTGAACATGTATGGTTTCAAGAAGATAAGAAATGTCAATAATTAGAATCAGTTCAGTCATCATTATTTTTTAAAAGGAAGAGAGTACTGAATCTGATTAAAATAGAGATCTTTTGTACAAAATCATGAGAAAAAACAGCATTATTCACAAATATCATTATCTGAAATTGCAGAATAAAGCAAAGAAAGAAGTTAATCAATTAAATTCCAACTACTCAGAATTGAAGATGGACATAGAATAAATATAAAAAGAACTCATTTATTTTTATTAACAATTTGACTAAGTTAAAATTGTTAATATAATTCTTAGTTTTAATCTAGTCTTTCAACTTTGATTGACTCCTCAAGACAATAAATTAGAGAATTAAGCATTATCAAGAATTAGAATTCCTTTTGTAATGACTTACTTCTCCAAGTCTTGTCCAATGTATCTAAATCATAACCCGAATAATAATATCATTGTAGCAATACCATTATATTTGTATTAGTTCAATATCCATTTACTAACTCTACCCAACAAACTCAAACTACTAAAAGTAATCGAAGTGATAAAGATGAATTGAATAATGATAATGAAAATAATAACAATTCGAGTAAAGAGGGTAAAATTTATATTATTGTTATTCTTTTAAGATACCAATCAAAGTTTTTAGAGTAATTCTTTTAGAGAACCTTAATAACAATAATTGAAATCAGATTTAAATGGAATTTGAAATAATATTTACCAAATATTAAACTATATTATTTATTATATAATTATTCCTCCAACAATAATTGAATATTTTAAATTATTCACGTCATTATTATATATTTTTGGATAAATTACTAACAGAATTGAGGCTAATATTAACAATTACGGCAGGGTTCTTAGAAATCTATTACCCAGAACATAACTACATATTAGAATTAAGTTCCATGAATCTGAAGTGAATTAATTTATGTTCGAATATAATTCTATTCTGAAATTAATAGCAAAGATTATATATATAATATATTAATTCAAAATAAGAAAAGGATATGTTATATTTATCAATCTAAAATGTCTGGGGGTAGGATCTTAGCATAGGCGTTAAAGGATGGTTAATATCGATTGAAGGTAGTGTCTACATAGGATTTCTAATGAGTAAAATTATCAAATTTCCAGTAGGAAACATTTGAATACTCCCCTAAAACATTTCTTGCTGATGATAACAAAGGCTTAGGTCTGGCTGGTTCAATTTTATATGGAGTGTTTCTTAAAAAAGTATTCTTATAATCAAAATTCATTCTTATAAATATTAATAATGTAAAACACTTTATTGGACTTTAATTAAGACGACCAAAATATCAAAAAAATCATAGATAAGGATATAAATAATAAGACTTAATTAGTGTTCAATATCGATAAATATAATTCACAATTCCAAGTGTTGACACAGGATTGTTTGTAAGAATGTGAAAGAACCAGTTCATAAAAAGGAGCTAAAGAGATGGTTGAATGTATGGTTTAATATATCACTTGAGTTAAGGCATAGGTTATTAGTCACGAAAAAGTAATTGAAGCTGTTAGATCTGCAAATTTTGTTGAAATTCAAAATGTGAATCAAAGATTCAAAAGACTTTTCAAAGAAATATTAGACAATATCTCCAGTCAATTAGGTAATGTATATAAATAGGAGTATCTGAAATTATGGCTGGAGTGTAAGAATTCCAAGGGTATCTTACATGATAAGGAATAAAGACTTAAGAGTTCGGAGTAAACCATACAAATTTAAGAATAAGAAATTATTAAACTAAGAACTCATTATACATCATAGACTACATTTATACAATTGAATAAAAAGCTTGAAGAAACTATTAATAATTTAGAAAAGGAAAACAATCACTTAAAAGAAAGTCTACAAAACTAGATTAAAATTAATAGTGATCTTAAACTGAATTTAGAGGAACTAAATAAAAAGTATGTTAAATTGTAATAATCCTTTGAAGAAGTTAAATCAAATTATGAAAAAGAAATAAACTAATTAAAATTATAAGAAATAAATATTATTAAAGCAAATAAAGATTTAATTGAATTAACCAATTAATTATCAAGCTAAGTCGACAAGTATAAGGATCTTTATGAAATATAAAACTAAAAAAACTTTGACCTTAATGATCAAGTTAAGTATTGGAAATCAACTCATTTTCAAAGACTAGTTGATTTACAATAATCAGAACAAAGAATAGGATCATAAAAAGGATATCTCTTTAAATATCGAAGGGAAGTTCAAGATTTAAAAAGATTCAAACTGTAAAATGAGGAAGTCTAGAAAGAATTATCAAATGCAAGGTAAACAGTATTTATTCTGAATTAATAAACTGAATAATTGAGATTAAATTATGAGAGTGCAAAAACAGAAAATTTAAAAATCTAAATTGAAAAACCAGATAATCTAAATCAAATATGTATCAAGAATTCATTATCGACTAAAAAAGCAAATAATGATTCAAATTCATTTCATGACTCTCCAAAAAAAACAAAATTTGATTTTGGGTATATGAAGAAGTCTGTTTAATAATAGACTCCAAAAGATGAATTAACATAATTGATAATAAATAATTCAAAACTTCCAATTCAACTAAAATAAAAAAATAGAAGTGCTAGTGCGAAAAAGAATATTTAATTAGAAACAGATCTATCTAAAAATAACATAGCTTTGACTGAATTTGATTAAATCACCCCTTTTCTTGACAATAACTTGCAATAATTTACTTTTAGTCAGGCCTAAAGAATTCCTTAAAATTTGAAAAAAAGAATAAGAAGAATAAATACTGAAGGATGAATTTTACAAGTTAAATATATATTTCTATTAAAATTATTTGCAAAATCAGCATATGATTTCCAAACCTTAGGATCTTTTTAATTTCTTAAATTTTCATTAAGAGTATTTTTTTTTTTCAACATAAATTACATAATATTTTATAAACACAAGAGATAATCATAAATCAGTTTTTTCTTTTTTATATGCAATACCATCTCCAATATAATAATCCAACCAAGCTTTAAGTTCAGGAATAACTAGGTTTGAGCTCTTTAAATATTCTTTTGGTGCCTTTTTATCAGCAGCTAAGTACAACACTAATTTTGGAACAGAATCCACAGTGATTTTAGGATGTTCATTATTTGCAAGATCAATGTGACCAATTTTAATCTTTTCCTTATTTTAAATTAATGAAAAGTCATTCAGAAGTTGGAAATAATCGTCGAACAAATCTTTGTTTTTTGAATCCCAAAACAATAGTAACACATTCTTTCCTTTATTGAGAACCTCTTATGAAAATGTTGATCCTACAATTTTATAAATGTCTTAATTTTCTGTGTATACAGGAGCAGGTTCTGATTTGTAAAATTCTGTAAGGTTCTTATTTCTAAAGTCATCAATAAATTATTAAATGGTTTCTTGATTTAGAGTTTCAGACTGGCAAATATATTTTTGTAATTGATATTTTCTAAAGTTGGTTTCTGTAATGACAAGTTGAGGAGTCTTTGTAGATTCATCAAAATCAAATAAGGACCATAAGCTTGGATTCTCTTCAAATGTGGAATAAGTAAAGATCAAACGATGATATTTTAAATCATTCACTTTGTTATTTTAAGCAGCCCAATAGTAAGCATTAAATAAATCTTGTCTAAAAATGCCCTTAATCAATAGATGAACTTGAGTTTGAATTGGTCCTCCAAATACCCTTGCATAATTGTCTTCATCCAATCTATTTACTAAATCTAAGCTCTCTAAATAAAAGAAATCCAAAATTTAGTCAGTGTAAGTCAGATTATATTCATATTATTCAAATTTGCCATTTCCCTTGTGCAATATTAAGGTGGGAGCTGTAAAATTCTTATAATTCTAATTGTAGCCTTTCAACCCATGGATTCTGGCTTCTTTTAGATCTCCATTTCTAATTAATGCTTCAAGATCCTCAATAATTTAGTCTCTGAATGAGTAATTATCAGGCAGAAGGACTAATGAATTCAAATTGTTTAGGCTGAAATATTTGTCGACATCTTCTTCTGTTTACAAGAATTCAATTTTAGGATTAATTATGTCTAGGATAGAATAATTGGATTACCAAAGATCTAAGCTTGGAGATTCTCATAATTGCGAATCCAATAGAAATTATCAAAGTTCTTGACAAGAATTCCTTTATCTGATTCAATTAATCCAGCAGGGCTTTTAACGAATATCACATCCACTTTAGTAAAATTAACATTTTCAATAACTGAGTTAAGTAGTTTTACTTATGATTCCTCTTCCTCTCTACAATATAGAATTCAAGTATATTACTTTTCAAATACAAGATGCACTACATTCTTGAATGAATTTTTCATGTGATCATATGCTTCTTAATCAACCTCATATAATTTATTGAATATTTTATTTGGCTTGATATCATCTCTTCCTTTAATTTCCAATTTGTCATCCGAACTTAAATCGATCTTGATTTCTTCTTCAGTTTTAATAGGCTGATTATATATTCATATATTTACTGTGAGTTATGCAGATGCAAACATAATGAGAAGGCAAACGAACATAAGATGTTATGCTTTCATTTAAAATTATTAATGATATTTAAGAAGAAGACACGACTTATTAGATTATGAAATTGACACGATTGATAAAATTTATAATTGAATAGTTTTCTAGAATATTTCTATTTTTATTGAATAATTAATAATATAATTCTAACAACTTTTGTGTTCAACTAGTTATAATTTTCTTGCTAATTGTTTTCTTATAATGAATTAGATCTACTCTATATTCACTTAATAATTATTATAGCATTTGGAGCATATTCACTTTAATTTGACCTATTTATTAAGATGGAAGAAGAGATCATTGAGACTTCGTGAGTATTGTCACCATAATTATTTAAAATATTAGTTTTCAACTTATGCATCTCCTAATCCCATAATTAATTTAAGATATATCTATTTTCCCCAGAAGTAATTTTCTTTCATTTGAAAATTGTCATAATTAGTAATACAAATCATATAATAGTCATAATTTCTTTATCAATTAATCCAAACGTTTTTAGACGTTCTCATCTATCTCCAGATTTTAAACTTATCTTTTCTTCCTTCTTTTCTCATTAGATTCTTCCTCATCATCAGTAGTTATATCTAAATCATCATTCAACTGATTCTGAGTTAAAATAAGTATTTATTCTGATGTTCTCTAAAGCCAAGGGGCTTCAGGTTTATTTTCTATAAGATTAGGCTAATAGTTAAAAGAATGCAATTACTTTAATCATTAACAAAAATTCTTTCTTAAATTCTGGACAAATATTTGGAGGTTGGATATCTGGAAAGTTAAGAGATAATTTGCATTCAAAAACAGCTGAACCATGCATTTGAATTTTTAGTGCTGGAAATCCATTGAAAAGACTTTTCTCATTCATCAAAAAAGTTAAGACAGGCTTACAAAAAACTGGAGTAGATTTTTTATCTATCTGATTTTAAATCAACAATTTTAAATAATCCAATTCATCTGAAACTACATTACCCACTTAATCTCTAATATCTTCCACTTTCATTTTAGCATTTGCCGATTATTATATCTATTTTCATAGTGTTAAAGCATTACCAATAAATATATGATTGCCATATTGTATTTTATACCTATTATATGTTGAACTATTCTTTCTGATTTCAATATCATTTCATTTGATAGATTTTCACTCTTCTCTGAATCAGCATCCTATTGACTTGAAATACTGTTCAATCTGTCTTTTTGAGAATTCAACCAATAATGTTCCAATTACTAAAGAATCATTATTGCTTCATTATATCTGCGCTAATAGATCATACTTGATGCTTTGAACAAGAGAACATCTTAAGTCTAAAATATTAAACCCACATCCTTTTAGTCTACATTAGGAAACTGCACTGTTTCACAACTTTTTTTATTCTGTGTAGTATCCAAAATTTGCTTTATATATGTCAACATCTGGGAATCTATTTTGTATTTAGGTTCTCTAACATTTTGTTATGTTATTTAATTAGATATAATGCATGCTTTATCTATTTACTACAATTTAATTTCACACTTTAATTTCAAGATTAGAATTTAATTTGTTTATTTTGCGTCATTAAATGCTTTTAGAGCTTCTTCATAAGCATTATTATGAAATAATAAACTACCACTCCAATAATGTATCTCTTCTGAATTATTGTACTTAATGTACTTATTCATATCACCAAAACTCTGTGCTGTACTAAAAATAATATATTTAATTACTTTCCTTTTATTTAATAGCATTTAGCTCTTTCCAAATATGATTCTGAATGCTCCTTATTGAAGTGAATTGCAGTTGTAAAATCCTTAATAGCTTCTTTCAATCTCATACTTTAAGCATGTAAGATTCCCCTGATGTAAAAGTGATCACTTATGCTATCCTCGCTTTTGTCAATTGCCTTTTCTATATCCTTCAACGCTGAAGTGTATCTTCGTTTATAAGATTTCATTAAAGCCTTGGCAAAAAAGATGTTGGGCTACTTCCCCTATTTAGAAAAGGCTAAATCTAGCAGCTATTCACATTCTTATACTCCATCAAATAATTTATTAAGTAAGCAAATTGAACATTTATAGTAGTAAGGCTCTAGTTTATTTGGAAAGATCTCAATAGCTTTATCTAATAACCTAACGGAAGGTTCATACTAACCTGATTATTTTCATATAATTTACATTTCTCTATTAAAACAAGAGCTTCGGCCACATATTTATTGTACAATTAGCCTCTCTCTATCTAATAGATCAATTCATAAGACTTAAGAGCTGATGCATAATCCGAAGTGCAAAATTAGGCATAAGCTAAAAATTTATAGTAAATTGGCTATAGAAATTTGCTAATTGGTTTCAAATCCTTAATCATTTGAAGTCCCTAAGCATATTATCGTTTCATCAACTTTACGGTTCCATTGACAAATGGTTTCAATTTAGAGATGCATTTAAAATTCTTTTTCAATTACTCTGCTCTGGAGAGGTGTAATTAAGCTTCATAAAAGTCCATGAGACATATTTTAGACTTTACGATATATGAGATAGCCTTGGCACTTAATTAATGCGATGTTGAAATCTGTATCGCTTATTCAATGTAAATCTAGGACTCTATAAAATTTTCTAATAAATCTAATATAAGGAGTTACTTTTTTTAAAGTAAATTATTCCTTTGAGAAATAAGGCATCAGCATTTTCACAGTCCTGCAGTAAGATCGTGTCAATTTTAATAAGTGCTTTGTCAAAATAATTACACTTAATTAATGATAGACAATGACGTGATCGGCCTAAAAAATCAGTGTTGTTAAGTTTTTCGTATATTTCTAAGGCCTTTTAATGTTATTTTAAAGCAGAATGACATCTGGCCTTATATTGGAGTGCTTGTTTATCATTTGGACTATAAAGCAAGGCTTGTTCTATCAATTTGAGAGAATCATGGTATTTTAAGGCCTTGAATTCCAGAACTGCAGATTGAATGTAGCCATCCAGATAATTGGGGTGTTCGGATAGGCATTTGTTGAACTTTGATAAGGATCACTAATTACCCAATATCTTGCTTTATCGAATTGATTGAGTTGCTTGTATGCGATCCCTAATATCAAATACGATTTCTTGGTGAATGGACCCTATTCCAATTTATTAATGACTTGCATTGAGTTTCCAACTTATATTTCCTTGATCATGCTTTGAAATTGATCTGGAGGTACTGCTCTATTTTGAATAGATTCCTTGAAAAAGGTTCTTTGGGTTTCCCTTGAGATGGACAATGACAATCCTCTTGGTTCTATTGTGTTCTGAGTTTGCTTTCTTCTACGATTTGGCTTGAATTTAATACTATTTAATTGTGAGGGATCTAGACATAGGAGAGGGTTTCTCAATTTTGTCTTAAGATAGTGGCATTTGGAGTTTATTCCTTTGGCATTAATTATTGAATATGAATCTTTGAAACACAGGAGACTGTATGTATATTTTCATCAATAAATTAATTATATTTTTATGAGTAGTTAAGATCTTGAATTTGTGTAAGAGAATTTGTAAGTTCTAATCAAGAGCGTGTAAGAGCTGTAAAATTAATTTTAGGGGAAGGGTAAGGAATGATATTCATATTTAGAGAACCAAGAACAAATACAAATAGTAACTATTGATGCATATACAAAATATAGAATAAACAAAAATGTCAAAAGTTAATCGATGCATTAACTATCAAATTTAAATAAGGGAAATTCAATAAATCTGAAAACATGACCATTTAAATGCTAAAAAAAGAATATGCCAAGGTACCTGTAATTAAAATATTAGCAACAAAATATTTTTATTGAGATCACAAAGTCAATAAGAAATCCTAAATAGATAAACTCAAATGAGGGAAGAGAACTCGAAATGCAAAATGCGAGTAAAATTATTTCCTTAATTAAGAGAAAATGAATGGAAAATCCACTTATGTTTATGATGAAGATACCAATTATGATGAGGAAGATTCAGGAGACAAAGGACCAAATTTGGAGTAATTGTCAGAAATGGAAGTCCATCCTGATATTTAACACAAGGCAATGTTGATTCAAGAACAATAAGAAGAAATAGATTGTATATTTGTTTCGCTTAGTAAGAAATTCAAAAGGATGCCTTGGAAGTACTCAAAATCTAAACTGAAGTGGCTCGGGTCGTGGTGGATTAAGGTAAGATGTTAGATGTTGCTGAAAATAATATCAACGTTTCAAACAAAAATGTTAAAGAAGTAGTTGTTGAATTAGAAGGAGTAAAATTCATAACGTTATTTTCTTTTAGGCAAAAGTAGAGCATAAATAATACATGAAGAAACTTGGTGGAGCTATATGTATTATCCTTATTGTGGTGGCAGTTATTGTAGTTTGTGTAAAGCTTATTTGAAATTTATTACAAACCATTTAAATCAACTATTATTTCATATTTAGATTGCTATAAATTAGATTCTTGTTTAATTTAATTACTATATCTAAAATAAACTAATAAAGTCACGTCAACTCAAGAATAATATAAAAGCTTAATTAAATTAAAGTAATTGTAATGTAATGTAATAACATCATTATAAGCCTTCTATTATCTTATTATTAAATTTCTTTTCATTAGATATCTATTTATTAGAAACTATTGAAATTATTAATTTTTTTTGGAATTAAAGTAGTGTGTGGATTTATTCATTTATTTTTTAATAATAATAAAAGTTTTAATTAATAGTAATTTATTTATCTATGAAATATTCATACATAATATTTTTTTGCATCATTTATACTTGCTTATCATACTCAATTAAGGATAAATTTTGTGGAGATGATAATTGCTACTAACTGTTATTCTTGAAAAAGGGAGCTTAACAGAGTGAAATAAGGAAATAATTTAGAGAACTTTCAAGGACATTTCATCCAGATAAGAATGAAGGGAATTAATCTCAATATGTCAAGATAGTTTAGGCTTATGAAGTTTTAAGTAATGAGGAAACAAAAACTGCTTATGATGAATATCTTGAAAATCCCAATAGGAGTGAATTTTATCATCATTATCGATATTATCAATAGGTGTATCATCCACAGACGAATCCCTATATTGTGGTTTCTGTTTCAACCTTACTCTTATCAATCATTCAATATGTGGCTAGAATTGGAATGTACAAAAATGCAATAGGAAGAGTGATGGAAACAACACATTTCAAAAAGGTAGTGAATGAGAGGTAGAAGGAATCTAATATGAGCAAGGAAGAAGTGATTTAAGAGACATTGAAAGAAGTCAAGATTACAGGAGCATGGTCTTATCCAAAATTTGAGGAAATTTGGGTTATAGCAATATTACATTTTATTTATTCCATTTTTTATAGGTTGTACTTTACATTGAAATGGAAATATTATTATAAGGATGGCAAGGCTCAAAGGGAAATTAGTGAGAAGGATCAAGAATACAAGACATAAATATTGTTGGGCATAAGCAAGAGTAGATGGGAATCTGTGGATAAGGAGTCTTTGGTTAGTCGTTAGTTATGGATACCTGAAAATATGAGTGAATTCAATGAGGAGTAACGTCTCAAATAAGAGGAGTATATTTAGTAACATAGTAATAAGTACAAATAGTATAAGAGATTTCAAAAAAAGATGTAATGACTTGTTTAAACTTGTTATAATATCTCAAATAAATAAAATTATTGTTATTTATCTTTTTAATCAACCATCGGCATTGGCTAAGTTTGAGTTTACATTTGTTCTTTCAGTGTTTGAGAAAGGACTTGGTATATTAGGAGAATTTATGATCTAAATGATTTAAGGTGTTGTAAACTCTACTGCGACGGCTAGTCCAGAATTTTTCTTAGTTTTAATCGCAGTTATTTCTGTTTCTAATTTTTCGATTTCTTAGTTCTTAGATATAAACCAAAAACATATTCCCATTAAAAAAATAACTAAACCTATTGGGATTCCCAAATAGATAATTATGTTTGAATAAGAATTCTCATCTTCGTCAAAAGCTAAAATAGTTATATTTGTCTATCTTTATACTATCAAATTGTTTTGAAAGTTAGTTTAAATAATCACAGATTCATTTTAGATTATTTGATAATGTTATTCAGAACTTGATTGATTTGATTGAGGATTGCAAATAATATAGGGATCTTGAATCTTGAATTTTGTGAAAAACAATCCAGATTTGGAAGTCCCAAAGAAGAAATTCTCAATAGAGAAATCATTTTAATCTATTAAATGACTCATAGAAAGATCTATATTTGTCAAATAAAAGAAATCTATATCAATTGCTCCTAATAAGGTATATTATGGAACATGGCTTATTTAGAGACCATCAAATTTAGTCACAAACATTATGTGATGTTTATTTTATCCTTACAAGATGGCAAACTATTCTGAAACATCAACATCTTTTATTTTACTAAATGTTTCAAAGGAATTAAGTTGAATTAATTCCTTCTCTGTAAACAGATATTCTACACAGATATATTTGTGATGGTATTCGTAGACAACAAATATATTGTTTTTGTAATTATCAATTGCAATAAATTCCAGATTGCTTAACTACAATTTATGTTGCAATTTTAATGAAATCTTAATCCTAACAGCATCCATTTGATATACAGATATACTCTGCTGTTACTCATCTAATAGAATAAGATATATAGTGTTATCCAATTTCAATATGGCCAAATCTTTGAATCTTGTATTTGCTATCTAATCAATAAAATGTAGTTCATTTCCAATTATTTTATAAAGATCTAAACCATCCTGACCTACACATGAGAATATATAATTCTCATATTCCTTTGTGACACCTCTCTCCTTTCTTTGTTTAATTTCAATTAAATCTCTTATTTAAAGTTTTTATGCCTTTTATTCCATTTATTAAACACTAAATAAGATTGCTCCTCTTGTTTGGAAGAGTATCCCTAAATTACTTGTGCTACAATACAGTAATTAAGGCATTTCAGCCAATGTATCTAAACCTAATTCTTTGAAATCTGCCTTCCAAGCTAGTTTAGCAAACTCACCATTGAAGTTCTAATAGTTAAATTTCATCAAATATAACAAATAATCTGAGGTGATGAATATCACTCCATCTCTAACATGTACCATAGTTACGATATTCTCAAAATGCTATGTTTTAGTTTCAAAAATTAGGTTTATTTCCTTTAATTGGCAAAATGCCATAGTTTCATTCGCAATTAGTTTTGCATCTTTAGCTTAAAAGAGAGCGAGCAATTTTGTCTCTCTTTCAGTAGGAATCTGAAATTCAAGTGATTCATTTTGTATTTATCTGATTCTGTAAGATTAAACATTAATGATTATGAAAATAAAAATAAACATTTATCATAATCATTAAATAACAATGGCATCCTAATTTTCAAGATATCAATAATTAATGAAATAAAACAGGGTTTAATATTATCATAATTGGATATAATTAAATAATTAAATCTTTATGTCTGAGTTGGAAATGACTTAGTACATTGCTTTGACTGCATTCTAGAAATCATCCTAAGGGTAGTTCCATTATTTTAATTAAGAAAAAAGTATTAATGTAATCAAAACAATAACCAAATACACATAAACTAAAATCACTTTAAACTTGAGAAGATGTCCCTGTATTTTGGTATCATCAATTTAGATTGTAGACTCTTACAAACTATGTTAGGAATAGCTTAATAAAAAAATCGCCGTAATAATCTAAAATATATGTATAATCAACATTTTTATTAATTACTTATTATGAGTCAGATTAATTAAAAATATCAAATTTTATAAAATTGAAGGGTTCTTTTCTGTATTTATAAAACCCCGTAATAGATTCTTTTAATGAAATCCTTCTTTTATCAGGATTAACTCATTCTGTCGTTGATTATTCTTATCTTAATTTCGCTAAAACTGATCTGTACTTTAAATTCTCCAAAAATTATATTTATTAAATACATTTTAATGCTCAAAATATTTTAGAACGCATTCTCAAAAAAGAAGAAATCCCACACTTAATCATTTTAGCTCGAGTCAAAAGATCCTCCTCCTATTCACAAGGCCTCAACCTTAGACTTTTAAATAGTAGATGAAATAGCTATGAACTCAATCGAAGAATCATATAATTAAAAATAAAGAAGAAGTCAATCATTTGAAGCTAAAGAACAGGCTCCTCCTTAATAAGAAGAATTTATGGATTATGTAGTGTAGGAAGATGATTCCTTTTTCGGAATTTCTCTCAAGTTTAGTGTCAATGAAGGTTATTTGTTAAGGATCAATAATCTATCTAGTGACATGATTTTTTAAGGTCAGGTTTTAAAGGTTCCTGTAACAAATCAACCTCGATTCTCTATCATCAAGCCTATTGAATAAAATAAAAATGCTGAAAATATATGGGAATAAGATAAATTAAGTTAGAAGTGTAATTATATCATTATATCGTATTTAGTTGATGTTACTTATTGCAATAATAAATAAAATTCTAATGGGATAATGACTTTGACTAGTGACATAGTACTATTTGATCCATACTAATAAGAGCAAACACAAGATAAATAAAATAAAGTTCGAATGAATGCCTGCATTTCAATGATTGATATCAATGAAGCAGTAACATATGTTTTATAAAATTAAAATGGATGTTTAGATTACATTGTCTAAATCCTATTATCTGGAATTGGCAAACCTAAATTCGAAAAACAGTATTTTAAGCAATTAAGAAAATACAAGAAATAGAAAAGGAGTATAGCCACTGTGTTTTTTAGAGTAATATATATATATTATTTTCAAGCATGCTGAAAGAGATTTAGATGGGAAATTATATACAGAAGAAATCAAAAAGGCTAATTGTGCATTTATTGTAAAATTCATTAATGAAGCTTGCACTGGATATACTGAACAATCTAAATTAACAAAAATACCTTATTTAGATATAATAGAGGAAATTAAAGAGAAAAAATAAATAGAAATAGACGAAATCCAAGATGTGATTGGAGAGAGAATGGGAAGTATGCAATTAATATTAAATATATAGAACTTTGGGCTTCATTAGAATATGTGCCAACATTAAAAGAACCTTCTGATTGTTTCACTAATACTACCTACAAACAAATCATTGAACAAATTCCTGCTGTATATCGTTTAGCTGATTGGATTAAATATTACAATATTAGCTAAGATGGATCAAGCTTTTAGAATTTGCTCTATGAAATCAAAGATAGAGCTCCGATTATTTTAATCATAAAGGATTTTGATAATTGTGTATTTGGAGCATATATTTCAACAGAATTACGTCAATATAGTCAAGGATTCAGAGGGAATGGAGAAACCTTCTTATTTAATTATGTGTTAGAGGTATAGTATATTTGTGATTGAATTAGAAAAATGAATTCAAGAGTTATTTTTGGACTGAAAAAAACAGAGACTTTATTTATTGTGATGAATCAGGCATCGGTATTGGTTGCGGTGATAAATTTGGGTTATTTATCGATCACAGCCTAACATTTGGGTATTCGAACCAATGCGATACTTTTGATAATATTAGATTTAGTAATTCTGAAAAGTTTAGAATTATGCATCTTGAGGTTTGGGCCATTTTATAATAATGAATATAAAATTCTCTTATTTATTTAAATAGTTTTTCTTTCTCGCCAGTAAGAAGTAAGTACTATATTTTAAATTGTTCCATTTGTTTAATCTCGCATTAATTTAAATATGGATTCTCATCATATCAACTCAATTATTGACTTCGATTTAATTAATTTGGTGATGACAGAATTAAAGTGATGCACACAGTAAACTATTAAATTAAATCCACTAAATAATATATATTTAATCTAGACAATACTATATTAATGTCTAAGATATTTACATTTTCCAATGTAAACTCCATAAAGGATATCGATCCCATTTGCTCGAAAAGGAATTTCTAGGTTTTTGAGAAGTACATCTAAAACAAAATGAAGAAATCCACCAATTTGGATTAATCTAAATCAAGCTATCTAGATTCGAGATTGGATTCAAGCAAATTACATAAGGATTATCTTCAAAGGAAAAGTCAACCTAGCTTAAAAAGATTTGATTTGAGATCTCATCGGTTAACTTAATCTGAGAAATCTCTGACTTCTATTCTGATAAATAGGCAAAGGGAAGCTAATAGCATCAAGGGATCCAATAGCAGACCCTCCTCAATTCATAAAAAGGTTAGTTTTTAGAATCTTGTTCTTGTGATAGACACAGATGTGGGAATTAAGAAGAGAGAGAAGTTGATTGAGAAAGAATCAAAATTAAGAAATGGATATTTTTTCAATTCCAATCAGATTAGATTACAATGATGCTTGAATTCATGTTAATTCATTTTTCTTTTCAAATTCCACTCCATTCTTCGGTTTTTTTGAGGTGTTTATATTGTTTTTGGATTATTGAGCATTTCTAATTAATGCAGTATCATATAAATTATTAATTATGTTGTAATCTTTTAAAATTACGAGAAAACTCTAAATTAACATTGATTCACATAATAAACTCGATTAATAGAGGCCTATGTTTCAATCAGAAAGGAATATACTCATTTCAACGCCCTCTCTCTACTAGAAACTTAAATTAAAACCTATTTAAGAATTCTAAATTGTTACTTAAGCAAATAATTACATTTAAACAAAGTCCTCTATTAAGAGTAACACTTTCTTTAAGTTAAACGAGGACCAAGATCAGATGAAATAATAATGTCCAAGGCAAAATTAAAAAAAAGTGAGTTTTTGTGACAAAGTCCTAATTATAGAACCTTAAAAAGGTGTTATAAAGAGGCAGAGAATATCCACCAAAGATGAATAATTTAATGTGACCAGAACACCCAAAAGAAAAAACTGCATTTTAATTCATCCTTTATCCAGAACCTTAAACACATGCTAATCTACTTTCATTGATTAGCTTTGAGTCTAAAGAAATTTGAATAAATATAAGTTTATAATTATTTTTATTGAAATCATGGCTTACGATTAGAGATCTCATTTCGAATTAAGAATATCACATTTCTATACTAAAGAAGAGAAATCAATATCCGTTTTGAATAAAGAGTGCTGTTTCTGAGGATATCAAGTCTTTTCTTATAAAGGATAGATTAAAGAAATGGGCATATTGTGGATTTCCAATTGTCTGTAATACTCTCTTCCATTATAGAGGAGCCATGTAGCCATACATAAAGACGAGGTATTCAGTTTAAAATTGATGATTGACTCCTGCAGCCATTTCAAGTGTTCTCTGATTAGGTTGGCTACATTTTAATTCATTTTACAATGCCTGATATAAGTATTGAAAATTATTGAAAGAATATCATAGTGAGAAGTTGCATTTGTTAAATTTAATAGAAACAAGAGTTGGATTCAACCTCAAGGCATTGAAAGAGTAAGTCCCTCGTACTTGGACATCTTAGGAGATTCACAGATAAATTAGAGAGGCTTACAATAATAGGCATGATTTCTTTATAAACATACTTTATCCAAATTAAAATAGAGCTTCCCCATTATAGGATATTTTAAGTTACCCTTTCAAGTACAGAAGAGACAAGGTTGTAGAATGATAATCCACGCATCCAACACATAATAATTATCATATAGCATAAAAGCTTATAATGCCACAATCATGAGCAGCTATGATTTGGTCATTCTTGTATCGAATACCGCTGATTCCTCCAGGTTTGTCATTCATGGTCTGTATATGTTTCTGAGAGTAGATTTGGTTAACATCCCATACTCGAATTGTTCTGTCCGTAGAGCAACTGACAAATGACTGAATAATCTTGAATTTTCATACTTTCTCATTGATTTTACAGAAATCCATTACACCATATTTATGACCTCTAAACTGTTTAATGATTTCAAATTTCTCTAGGTCTATGAGTTTAATTAATCCATCCTCTGATCCTGTTAGAATTTTGTTGTTGTCCAGAAATAGGATTGACTTTATTGGTTTTGAATGAGGTTTGATTGCCTTCTTTTGAAACTTTTAATCAATCAAAAATAGACTGCCACCTTCATTACCAACAGCTAACAATTAATCATGAATCTAGAGTGAACTTGAATAATAAATTGGGTCTGTTTCTATTTTTTGAATTCTCTCTTTGGTGTCAACGTGATAAAAGTTAATGATTCCCATTTCCCCAGAAGTCACAACAATTGACGAATCAAAAAATCTGACTTTCCAATTGGCAAAGGCATCACATTATATTTCAGAAATCAGCTTCTTATCATCGATATCCCAGATTCGAAGATAATTATCTAATGATGAGACCACAACTGATATTTTTATTATCGTAATTAAGTACTTTAGGTTTCGTCTGCATTGATAGATAAATCTATGACTCCCAAAAGATGATTTTTCAATATGGTTTCATTCGATTTGGATTGAAAGGGTTGAGAGTAGAGAAATACATTTTCATCCAATGTGCCAATGGCCAAAAACTCTTTTGAAATATCCATGCAACTTGGACTCTCTGGAATTGAGAAATTTGTAATCTCCTAGATCATTATAAATATAAATGTTTTATTTATTTATCATTCACATTCATTTTTTAATTTTAATTTCTATTCATTTTAAGAGAGTAATTAAACTCTTTTAATTATACCCCTATCTTTATTTATCTTAATCATTTCTAATTTGCTATATCTATACTTCTGTCATTCCCTTGTAATGGTAAGATATGACTCTATGAGGAGCCAAAGCACTTTATCAAGTTGCAGCGATTGAATTTAAAATAGGGAATTACTTTTCAGTCTAAACATAATTATTTCTTATTGATTCTACTTCTTTTCTTGTTATGCCAAAGCTGCCATACATTGTTCCTTTTACTATTTTCTTTAGTCTTTTACTTGTTGATTTATTGATTGGCATTTTCATTTTCAACTCTTCTTCTCTGTTACTCTTTGCTTATATCTTTCAAAGTCCAATTGATTTGTAATGTTTATTGATCCTAATACTATTAATCTGCTTCTTAGATTGTTTTTGACTTATTTATCTTTAGTTTATTAATGAACTCAATCCCTCATTTTCAGTTATCACAATTTCCTTCTGTCTCCAACAGGTAAAGTAAGAGAATTTAATTGGATGACTTACTCAAGTCTTCCCCATCCAGCATATTTATGTTGGATACTCCGACCTACTATTCATTTGATCATAAATATAAGTAGAGTTTTAATAATGAATCATTAAATATTTATATTTTAATTTTCAAACATTATACACTCCAATAACAATAGCATGATCTCTTTCATAAGGTTCTAAAGTCAATTATTCTTGAGGTGTAAGGCCTTCATCCTGAGAAGATAATAAGAATATTAGCATACCTTCAATCTTTGCACTTCATGTTAAAAGACAACTTCGGCTCTATTAGTGGAATCAATGCAATTGGCTTTGATGGAGATCATGAAATGACCACCCTTCTTCAAGAAGTATTGTGAGTTCAATCCCACAATTCTAGCTTGATCTGGCTATGCCACATCTGCAAATACAACATCGACCATTCCAACGAGCATCCTGTACTCTAGAGGCTTTCTTGCATCAGCAATAATAGGAACAATGTTAGTTCGCTTCTTAGCCATATTAACGAGATCTCTGCCTGATCTATGAGAGAACTCTACAGCATATACGACACCTAAAAACTAAACTTCATTTGCATACCTTCTGATCCTATAATGTCTGACACATGAGAAACTGTAGTTCCTGATGCAGCTCCCAAATACAAAACCTTAGCTCCAGGCTTAATGAAAATATCACTCACTCCTCCTATCACTCCAGCAGCAATCTTTGATCTGAATGGATTCCAAACTCTATATTCTACTTTCTCTCCTGTTTATTTGTCTTCAACAGAAATCCTCTTTTCATTATAAACTGACTCTCCTGGAACCATGTTCTTAGTAACCAAGGCCTCCTATTATCCCTTAGCCACAAACACTCCAGCCAATCTTGGATGAGGAACTACGAACGCTTTTGGAGCTCCACCCATATGACCTCCTCTTCCGCCTCTTCCTCCTCTGCCTCTAGGAGCTCCTCTTCCTCGATCTCCTCCTCTACCACCTCCTCGTGTATCTCCTCTTCCTCCTCTGAAGTCTCTGCCCATAAATTATAATTTAAAATTAAATTTTTATTCAATCTCATATATTCATTTCATTATTCCACACTGCATATATTCATATCTCCTTCTCCTAATACTTGTCTATGGATATTTATTGGACTCTTAACATCATTTTCCACGCCATCTCTGATTGCACTTTTAAAATTTAATTTCTATCATTGTAGTAAATTTGTTTATTTATTTACATCTATTTATTCTTCAATTATCTTCTTATATGCTCATAGCCACTGTAAATGTGCTCATTCAATTGAGTTCTTTCATAAATATGTTTATTATTAAGGTTTTAATCGTTTTTAATGTATAGGTTAATTTTATATGTAAAATTCAGATATTCATACAGAAATGAGTAAAAAATAATTTAAGATTTATTAAAAGTGACAATATTGTATTTATAAAATATATGTAATTCATCCGTCTAAATTTGAGAGTAACACCTAATTTAGTAAGCTATATGATTAGAAATTCATGATAAGAAGGCAGAATATTTTTAATGTTTTAAATTGAATAACAAAAAGACAGCATAGTTTCCATAATAAATTTACTGCTTATGTTCCATTATAAGATTCATTATCTAAAAATTCAGTTTTTATTTGATAATATGATCAAATTATTTATAAATACCCGTAATATATTGAATACACATATTTAAATGTAGAATTCCTCACTTAAATACTCCCCACCTATTGTTTTTGGTTTCTGTTGAGTTAAACATGCATAAGAAGAGATTGGATATAATTATATTGATAACAAATTAATAAATTTAAATCATTTCTTTATGGGATCTAATTTCTTTTTATTTTTGCTTTCTTCTTTATTTCGATTTTATTAGGGCATTCTCTTATTATATGAATCTCTTAATCCTTCTTCCCACAGACCTTGAGACATCCTGACATCTGGACCAAATAAATGTTTGACACTTCCACAATTACTTTGCTTAAACTTCATGGTGTAAGGTGGGAGTTCTTGTAATCCTTCAAAACCAGAGTAGGTGAATTTCATCTTATTAAACTTCCCGGTACTGAAAGACTTTTTAAGATCCATTTGTTCTTTTAAAGGTTTGGGAAATTCTGGAAAATCATGTCTATCTTTCTTTGGTATATACCACCATCCCTTTTCTCTCTTGCTGAGATTTTCATCATGCTCTCGATATCTTCTCAATCCAGTTTCAAAATCTGCTTAACTTCCAGATGCACTCAATCCCAAACGATGACTGAGGAGGTGCATAAAACTAGCAACATTGTCCTTGTTCTGGATGTCCTGTATGTCGTGCTTTTTTTCAGAAAATAGGGTTTTTTTATCAGCAAGAGAATAAGGTTGATTTGGTATTTTACTGAGCAGCTCTTTCATTTTATTCTAGGTGGATAATATAAATAGACATACAGCATCCCAGTGTCTAAGTTGCAGGACCCATTCAATATCATTCTCTGTGATTTCTGGATGTTGGAGGAAGTGGAGATAAAAGTTCACATTCCTCGGTATTCGAACTTTGTCTAGAGGCTAAAGGGTTTTATGGGATTTTTCGAATTTCTCATGTTTTTCTGGCTCTCCTGCTTTTTCGAGACTTTTCTCTTTTTTTTGATCTTTAGGTGGAGGAGATTTTTTCATTTATAATTATTTCAATATTAAATATCAGATAAATTATTTTTGATAAAGTTTCTAATAGAGTATATTTTGAGTATTAGTCGCAATGGGATCATTGTCAACAACAATCTTGTATTCGATATATGCTTATTCAATTTCAAAAGGAACGGATACATAATCAAAAATTACATTATGAAAAGAACAACATTAAATACAATGAACACTGCCAATTTCTACGCTATGTGATCACTTAAATCCTTACTGAATCCGCTGATCATGTGATCAGTCAAGTATTGAAAAGCAGCTAAAAATAATAATTGAAAGATTTACGTGTTAAATAATTCGATTAATAGGCTCTAGCCTCTTTGGTCTGATTGAAGTTATTCAGATTCAATAGATTGTTCTTCTCAGGGTCATCAACTATCTTAGAATCCACAGCATCTCCTCTTGCAACTGTTGTGAAATTGGGTTTAGACCCAAGACCTATGAATTTGTCATAAATTGTTATGATGTATCTCAAATTCTCGATGTATCTTGCCACTCCTATGGAATTCCCTTATGCCAATGCCCCTCTTGCAAAGGCTTGGCAAGTAACAGTATCCGGAGATCCATATGAGGGTAGAACATCACAGGGATCAGACATCATAATATGGTCATAGACAGATCTGTAATCTGAGTTCTATACATCGATGTTCAAAGCATGTTGTTGTTGCATTGACGTATCAAATGCATACATGTCCTTTACGTTTTACTTGATAACTTGATAAGGCTCCTGGTTTAACAATTTTATTTCCTGATTATAAAAGAGTTATCTTTCTGAATTATCACAAAATCTGTAAAACCCTTCACATCTAGTTGTGATGTTGAATTCAGCTATTTGCTAATTCAAATTTTTTAATTCATTTTAGGTTACAAAGTAAGCGAATATGAAGTAGCCTTGTAAAGTCATAACAGAAAATACAAAAAGCAATATATGATCCTTATGATTTTAATTAGAGTTGATAAACTTCTTCTTCTTCTTTCTTGATTTCAATGTTTTGTTCAACTCTGCTTACTCTTCCAAATCTTCTTAGAATGAGACATTTTCATCCTCATCTCCTACTTACAGATTACTTATATAATTCTCGCACTTACTGTAGAAATACTTCACTGTCTTTTCTGGAATATCTAAGAATAATTGCAGTATTGACAGTCTCATCTAAGCTAATAGTATGATTGATATTGAATATATGATTAACGATATAAATAACATAACAGCGGAGAGTGTAATCACAACAATTTCAACTTTCTCCTATCTAGTTGTTCTATCATCCAAGGCTAAAATAAATTAATCTGACACATCTTATAAAGCAATCCAATATGCATTTAGAAGGTTGTATTCCACAAAGAAAACACTAGATTAATATTCAGTGATGTCTCCCAATTTCAGATTCGACACTTCAATTCCTTTACTGATAATTTATTGAGTTGCTTCCATATAATCATACTATTAGCTTGAACTTGTACTAAAATACATTTTAATGGCATCTGAAACCTTCAGATTGGAATAAACATCTGTTAATTTTAAGTCACTCATTAATACTTCCTTGTTTAAATCTTGAACTTGATTCAATTGCTTAATAAGTTCCTCCTTTTAAGTAGTTTCATATGCAGATTTATTTACATTCTACCATACACCTAAGTTGAGCATCTTCAAATTTTATATATTAGCCAAAATAGTTTATAATCCAGCATGCATTTGATTTTCTTTACCAATCAAATTGATGTTTTCTTCAATTTCATTGTATTATTGATTTAAATAGAAAAATTCAAAAAATGCCAAAGCTGTCATTGTTAAATATAAAATGTTAGTAAACCAAATCATTTTAGAAATAATAGAAATTCTACCTTAATTTTTTATTTATTCTTACAGCGATGCTCTTGATTTAAATATGTTATTATTAATACTACTTTCATTTTCTTACTGTGATTCTATGTTATTTTGAAAAACACTTTGTTAGTGTTCCTCATCAAATTCTTCTATAATTTCCTCTTTATCAATTTCCTGAATACGATTTTAAAAGAGTTGTAATGTTTTAATTCCCTCTCCATAATCAAATTTTTGATCCTCTGATGATTTCACTTGTGTGATTGATTGATTTTTTACAGACATGGCACTGACATCAACAGTTTAATCATGAATCGAAGATAAATCAGGTATAGCTGAGACTTAATCAGTAGAGAATTCTCCCAAAAAGATCTTCTTACCAACATTATATTTAAATTAGAAATTAGATTTTTGTTTCTTTAATGGCATCAATCGATTTTCACTCTCTTTTTACTCTAATTTCATCATAAACCCTAATTATAAATTATTTAGTGTCACTGAATTCAAAGTACAAATGAATTCCTAAGCAAACTTGGACTTCTCATCTATGTATTCATTAGATGGAATCAAACCACTTGCAATATCCTCTGGTATCTTGTATTAGATAATCCCTCCTCCTTTAATTAGAAACTCACTCTTATCCTCCAATTAGGGAAATATTTCACTCACCAACAGTTTCTTGTTCTATATCAAACGCAAATCCAAACCAAGTAAACTGATACAATTAAATGAGATCGAGTCTATAATATCATCACTATCGAATAAGATATAGCAAGTTTGCTTATATGGTTTGAATAATTTAAATTATGCTATTATCATAACTGATTAATCTAAGGATGTTAAGGCCTTCATCTCTATGATGCAAGGGATGAGGTAATTCTATTTGTTTTTGACATAAATCGATCTCTCTTTATTCAATTTTTAATCAAATCCCAATTTCATTAATTAATCATGGGCTTTTTGAAAGATATTGGGAATCAAGACATTCAATTTCCTATTAACTAATTCATTCTTCATATATCCAAATACATGACATGCAGTATTTAGATTGATGATCTAACCAAACTTATCAGGAGCTAATGAAATTATTATTGTTGGTAGACTTTCCATGCTGATTTCCTCCTTACTTGCCATCTATATGCCTTTCCTCACATAAGAAGCATCCATGACTCTAGATTTCTCATACAACAACTCACCATAATCTTGATCTTGCACAACATCGATCATAAATTTACTATACATTTTTAAACTCTTCTATGTGTTTTATTTTGTCTTCTGTAATCGATTCCAAGTCATTTCAATCTCATTCATTAGATTATGAATATTCAGACCTATCTAATTCAATTTCCCTAAATCTGGATAATCCTCTTACAACTAAGACCAGAAATCCATATTTATTAAAGTAACTCTTTCGATCTTGCTTTAAAAATTCTTAATAATATTTAAGTAAATAGCTTCATTATGCGTATCTATCTATTCAACATTCTAATCGTTCATCTCATCCTCAATAATTTTCTTGTATCTAAACAATACAAACTCGTAATCCATTGTAGGATTCTAATTTTGAGCTTAATTGAATTCCTACAAAGCATACTGTCTTTAACCAATATGGAGTAAAAAGAATCCATATCTAATCTTCAACTAATAGTCATATGGAAATCTCTTGCTTGCATCCAAATAATTTTATTAGATGATCTTGATTAGCTCTTTACCACAGTCAGGTCTAATACAGGTTTAATTATGAGTTTTTAAATATCCATCCAAAATTATATTGAATAGCTGAGTGTTCCAATTATGCAATCGCAACAAATGATGCTGCTACAATAAGATCTGATTTATTGTCCCTTTCATATTGTCCAATAGTAACAAATCGATTCTCTCTTCCGGGTTTTATATTACTATTATTACCAATAGAGGTATTCCCAAAAGCCATGCATAAATGGTACCTCTAAATATCACATCCTCTAGGATCTTACTGAAGGCTAACATAATGCAAGTCCAGTTATTTACGGCAATTATCATTTACCACAGTTTGTAGATAATCAAATTGTTATGTGTATTGTAATGATAATTATATATGTAGAGAGTTATGTTTCCAAAAGCTATAAGAATCACCTAAACATATTGCGAATCGATAAATGAGTAATTCAATACCTAAATCAGAATATAAGTTTTTAAAATAAAATCATCAAATCCATTCTATTTTGATAAAGGATTGTTGTAGACAAAGCGAGCCTCATAATAGAGAAATGAATGAACAGCACTCAAAGTGTAGAATATTATCAAAAAGATTATTGCTACAATCGAATGAACTGTATGACTGCCTGCCCAGCATTCATAATTAGTGAATGAGAAGTGGTAAGAGTCTTAGCATGTCCATACTGAAATAAACAAATCTACTATTGGCATATATAAAATTGAAAGCATCAAATTTATTATTGACTTTAACATTGCCATAGGTAGAGTTTTGCTCAGTTTTTCAGTCCTATTGCTTAGTACCAAATACAGTAAAATTTCCAATGCAATTATACCCACAAACAAATATGTCAATATCACCATTGTAGAATATGACATCCTCTCATATTGTGGTGATAGTAGAACATAGCCAGTTATTTTGCTAACATACTCTGCAATCTAATCATGCTTCCAAGCCTTGTACAGATTTCTATTAAAACAGATGTAAGTCATTTAAAGCAACTGGATTAAAAGTGAAGCTATGTTTAAAAGCAATGAAGGATCATCATCAATAAGCATTTACCTAGTCACTGAAAATAGAACGTTTTTTAATTCAACAACAACTTTACCCAAAGAACTCTGTCCCTCTTTCGATAGACCATATTCAGACTTTGTTTCCATTTTAATTTATAATAATTAGACTTTTTTAATATCTGATCCAAAATAAATTTTTTAAAGTATTAAAAATGATTTTTAATAACTAATAATAAATAATACTTTATAAAAAATCCCTTTGAATAACAATCAAATCTGATTCCTAACTCTCATAATCAAAATATTACATCTCCATCATTCATAATTTTTTCAATTTTATCCATTCTTTGTGTCTTCCTCAAAAATGGGCTATAGTCCAAGCAGATTTATGTAAACTACCTATTCACTCTTTCTTGCAGTTTATTGAATTAATCATAAATCCTCATTTAAGCTCAAGACTCAACTCCACCTTTGAATTAGTGTTCGAATATCATAATCAGAATTAGTGAATTCCTATTCTCTTCCCATTTCTTAAAGAGATGAGAATAAAATTTGGGTTTCTTATTTAAATTTTTGCTAAAATTCTTTCGAATAGTAATCTTCACATTAATTTTAATTAAGTTTAAGCATTTCAACAATTACTAAAAGATCTACTCTTTCCTTTTAATAGTGATTACTTTGATATTCTATTCTAAGTGCAAGTTAAATTTAAATCAGAATTTACCCTTATGAGTTAGTTATTGTATTTATATCATAAGAATCACTATAAATAATTATCAAGATATTTTATAAATCAAATTATTATTTCATTCTTCAATTATTCTTCAAAATCTGAAACAATATAATATCAACTAAATTTGTTTTAAAATCAAATCTGTAACATTATCAATACTACAAGCACTTCAACAGAAATATAATAAATTTTGAATAAGTTCTTTTTTCAAAATGTTCTAAATGCAAAATATAATAAATATATAAGCTTTAATATATTAATTTTTCTGATGGCTTTATAGATCATGATTGATATTTTAATAATAAATCATTTGTAGATTCCCTGTAACACTTGATTTCTTCTTCGCTGCTACTCTCACATTCCAAATTTTAATTACCCACACCCCATGCTTCTATGTATGTGATTGTAGGTGTCTATATTGAAGGATCAATCAAATCCCCTAAAATAGATTTAGTATTAATCAATACCTTTGATATATGGTTCTCCTTGTTTTGCTGCATAGCTGGATTATTACATATTTTAGGCTGAAATCCACAATCTAAATTATTTCATATCTCCTCCAAAGCCCAGTCCTTTCTTATTGTCTGTCTTATTTAGATAGCAGTAATTCTAAGATCCAGGTCTCTTGGATTTAAAAACATCAGTGGCAACATTAAAAGGATTGTAAGTAGGATACAATTGAAATAGTATTGACTGACTGGTTCCTTAATATGAATTGGTTTCTATCCATTATGTGGAATTTAATGCTGCCACAATGCAATGTTTATTACTCTTAGGTTTTATTTTTTTTTGTTTTGTATTTTCTTCTTCATCACTATCATTTTCAGTGCTGTCATCAAATTTAATTAAAATAAGTGTTGCTCCCTTAAATCCTATGAGAGCAGAATAAAATTAATCGAAATTCCATCCCCTTACACTTGTCCACAACAATTCAAATGAATCTGCTTCTTGAATAACAGAACTACTAATGGCCATATATCCAAAAGTAGAATTATTAACTAAATAGGAGGGTTTTTGAAATTTTGATAATTAATTATAATTTCTCTATGAAATAAATAATTAATTGAAATATTTTGTTAATAATATTGACAAACAAGGAAAGTTTTGTTCTAAAAATATTGTAAGTTCATAGAACATTATAGAACCAGCAGAAGATGTAAACAATCTACTGAGGATTGATCTTGTAGTGTATTCATCTTAGATTAAATAATCTGTGACAAAATATCCTTATTCCCATATGAAGTATTCGATTTCACTCAATAAATCAAATGCATCTAAATATGAGATTTTTTCCTAATCATAATCTATTTTAGCCATGTTTATCTTTTGAATTGAAATTATTGAGTATTATTCTGTTCTAGTCATTCTATTCAGTGTTTCTGGTTTAGTCAATTTGCCAACTATGAATAATAGAGTAATTTCTCACCCAAATCTTCAAAAGCCTCAAATGAGGGTCTTTCATCAGAGTGATGAAAGATCATGTATTTAAATAATTTCAAAGCAATGGTTGGTCTATTTTTCAGGAGATATTGAAAACATTCTTCATTCAAATAATCATTCTTGTAAGTTCAATAATCAAATTAATAACTTACTCATCATGTCTAGAAATGAGCTTCCTGTACAACCTTTTAACTTATTGTCTCTCATCGTCATTCAAAATTGTCCGTTTTGGAGATCTTTTGGATAGGCAAAATTCATTTCCCATTTTATAATTAATTTTTGGTAAAATTATATAAATCATCAATTAAACCAGATATTCCAATACTAAAGAACTTCCCTCCTTTATTTTTGAAGACCTGCAATTGTGCCATTCTATAATTACATTTTCAATAAGGTATTAAAACATAAATGATTAATTAGAGTTGAATAACGAAATCAAAGGGAAAGCGGACATTGAATTTCAACAGAGGACCTTTTTCTTTTTTTGTAATTTAATTGCAATTAAAATAATTAAATTTTATCTATGATGCAGCAAAGAGATTTCTATGGGAATGATTACATATACAAACATATCAAATAAGTAAGTTTACAGGAGTTTACAGATTAATTATTCAATCCCATAAGGTATTAAAAATAAATGGTTATATTTACGCAGAATGAGCAAAAAGAATAACAGGAATTGTATAAATATTATGTCTATTTGGGAGGAGGTGTCTTTGCAGCATCTACTTTATCAGTTATTCTCTATAAAAAAATTCCTTTCCTTAATAGGATCGAGAAAAGATGGGCAAGATTATTAACAAAAGCATTACTACTGTTTGGGCCACTTCAAGTAATTTTGATCTCCTTATCACATAGGTGAAATCTATTTTTGGTCAAAAAGCATAATATGAATTACTAGATAGATAGTTTATATAATATCATAGATAATTATAAGATTATATGTTCTCTGGGGACATTAGAAAACTTAAACTTGATATCCAAATAAGTCCTGTATGATTTAAATTTATATAATGAAGCGTTTTTTAATATTATATAACTGTGTTCATTAAATGATTGCGTTTTCATCAATATCATCTTCTTAATGTCCAACATGTAACAATCTTTGTAATTCTAACTTCAATATTCTATGAGCTATTAGGATGGGTTTAATGCTCGATTATTAAGTTGCTTGACTCATTATTCTTTACTCGAGAGTTTTCAAAATAGTATTCCACTCTTAAAAGATTTCTGGAGTAACATATGGTTATAATTCTTTTAAAGTTCCTTCTATCTCTGTTTTGTAATTTGGCCATTCCTACCTCACCAATAAAAATTACTTCTCTACATCATCATTTGTCTTTACATGGATAAAATGATTGAGAGCTTAGAAAGTAAAGATCTACTGACTTACACAAAGGGAAGTAAACCGATTAAATGATAAATTTCGTTCTTCTCCCTAGACAATATCAGCTTATTCATAAAACAAATTCATAGCCTCTTTGAAATTAAATTTTTGATGTTCTATATGTCTAAATAAAGTAATAAATTCATTATTATTAATTTTTTTGTTTCCATCTAAATCTGCTGCTTAAAATGCATGAATAACAAACTCTTTTGTTCTGGTCGTAATGATTCTATATTTATTCATTACTTTAACAAGGAAGTTATCAACATCAATCAGTCCTTATTTGTTTAAATTCTTAGGGTCTGGCTCCTTTAGATTTTCTAAATCATTCTTCAAATCTCTAAGTTCATCTTCCATCATTTTGTTTTCTAAAAAGACTTTCATATAATCCAAGGCTCTTAAGTAGGGAACATGAAACTTTTGCTCACTTTCACTTTGAACAACATTGACTCCCAAGGATGATTCGGAACACATGAAATCATACCCTTATAAAAAGAAAGATGATTCTTCAATTGAAAAATTTAAATGTTCGTCTTACAATATTGCAATCATCCTTGCAAACACATTGACTCTAAAGATAGAGGAAAAATGAATAACTGAAAGTAAGAATTACAAATATTTCTTTTCAGCAACATTCTTAAATCCATATCTATTTAAAAAATTATTAAAAACAAAGATTTGCATTTCGAGATCCTTTTATGATTCATTGTCTTTGCTGCTTCTAATCTTTTCATCATACAATTAAGTAATAGTTCTCAATACATTTTTTAAAGGCCAATAATTTACTACTTTCTTAAACAAATATGATTATTCTCTAGCTTTAACTGCCAATATTACTCCTGGATGCATCAATCTGTCAATCACATTTACTTTATTTTGTTTCTATTAAAAGTTAAATTGCAAAGCTTTTGTAATTCTATTTTTTTTTTTCTTAAATAATATTTGCTTCTTCTTCTCCTTCTCTTCCTCTTCATCAAATTCTGTTATAAGATACTCTTCTTCTTATATCTCTGCATCTAATTCAATTGGCATTCTTTTACGCAAAGAATCGAATTCTACTAGAAATTATTCAACTATTTATTTGTGAGACTATTATTGAGTTCTTAGGATGTGTATCATCAATTTTCTAGTAAATGAAAACAGTTAATTTAATAATCCTGCCAAATCATTCATAGATCGAGTTAAGTTTTATTATTTCTGAATTTATAAGTTATACAACATAATCAACATTGCAACTTAAGTTTTCAATTGGATCTACTCTTGTTTACTTAATCCAAATTTATTAGCTATTGTATTAGCTTATAGATTCGTACTACTCTGAATGATGGACTAATTTGAATTGACTGTATTAAGATGAGTATTTGAATTAGTAAGCATTTATGTTTGCGTAAGCTCATTAGGTTGAAATTCTTTTACAGTTGGTAGTGCCAACTTATCTGAACTAAACATCTTTTCTAGTTGTCTTTTATTAGATTTCTGACTTTATTTTTAAGAGTTGGTATTATTTTTCACAGCCTGTTGTTCAATTTTTTCAAATGATAATTTCTTTAAACTAAAATTTATCCTTTTTTATCCATTTGGCATGGGAGATGCTTCATCCATTTCTGCAACTTCAGCAATCAACCTAATATTATTTTTAGAATCCTTATTTATTGATCTCTTTTCATCACTATTTACTTCTGGAGGCTCTACAAACATTGACTGTTCTGAATCACTCTATACTTATTTTTCCTATGGTTCTTCTTTATCGAATAATTCCCTCAAGGTTCTCATGTTATTAACAAACAAATCGAACATATCTTCCTTCTTCATATTCTTTATATTATCCATGCTACCTGGCAATCCATCTAATATTCTTATTAAACTTGCTCTCTGGTCCTTTTACTATTATATTTATGGTTGACATTGAGAATTCTTATTATTATTGCTCATTGGCTATTGATCATCTGAGAGAAAGTAGCCCATTTACTCTTTAAGTTGGAACTCTTTGAAATGCTAATCCAATTCTTATTGATTAATAATTTTATCAAATTACTGTCCTATCAAATTTAGATCAGTTTAAGTTTCAAAAGTATGAACAAAAATTTCAGTTTAACAATTAACAGAGAAAGTAATCTTTGGTGGTTCATCAACTATGTCTTTTACAACTATATCAGGATTTTATTCAACAGATGTTTTTTTATCAACTTCCTTTAATACTTAAGACAATGACAAATCTTATTCATCTTCTTCTTCTTCAGCTTTTATAACTTAATGATTAGATTATTTCATATATTAGATCTTCTATATTTTGTTTCTTAACTCTTTAATTTCTCTATTCAAGTTTGATATCAAAGTAGCAGCACTCTTTTTCATAGTTTTGTCGAGTTCATTCTACTTTGTCAGTTTTTAAACTATTATCATCAAATTTTGTTCATCTTCCTTTTGTGTTTACAATTGATTCTCTAATTTTTGGATGACTTATTTGAGATTTAATATCTTTTCATTCATTTCATCTTATTGCTATTCAAATTCTACTTATTGTTCCAATTAATTTTTGTAACCCATTATTTACATTTGTTGCTTATCGGACTCTGACATATTCATAGTTTTTCTAAATACTGTTATATACCCTTTAAAGATAGCGAGCATCAATTATCCTCTCTCTGTACATTAAAATGAAACTTATCTAATCAATTCATTCAAGCATAAAAATAGGACATCGCTTGCTTACTGTAATTTAGATTTGTGATCAATACTTGGATTTTAGGAGATATTCTCCAATTGATTTTAAAGCCATTTTTTTAGATTAATAGCATCATTTCTCCCAGTAGGCTCGTTCGAAAAGAAATGTGTGCTTGTGTGTTTCATGTCCTTAACTATCCCAAATATTATTCAGATAAGTACTTATTTTTTTCTTTATGGATAATTTCCTTTCGGTGTTCTGAGTACTTGAAATATCCTCAAAATACCCCTTTTCTATACCATTCACTATTGTTTATTTTAAATTTAACATTACATTTTTCCTATTTCCACTTACTTCTTATAAGTCTTATGCTACCCAATTCAAATTGAAGTCTGAATATTTCTCTAAAATTTAAAGCACGTCATCGAAAGTGTTTTCGAGATTTTATGTTTTATAGTGATACCTTTGATTTTGCATCATGTACTCTTGATTGTGTTTTCTCTCCTTTTACTTTAGAATGTATTCATTTAATCGCATTTCTGCTACTTGTTGTTTCTCCTTAATTTGTTATTACAAGGTCTTATGTCTGAATGAATCGGCAAGATGAGAAATGTCTCTTTAAAAACTAGAAATTGATTATTTTTTGCTCGATCCATTTGAATTTAGAGAAGCTTTATAATCTAATAAATTTTTTAAGAATCCAGATGTAGTAGTCACTTTGGATTAACTTAAGACGGGAGAGCAACTGTTCATTATTAATAAGTTATTATTAAAAACTATAAAAATACAACTTTTTGTTAAACTTTATGTTTTCTAACAAAAATAATACATTATTCAATTTTATTCAACTTTAGAATTCTTAAAGATTAAATTTAATTAATACTGATAATGCTATTATATTATTTAAGTATTTTAATATCTCAAATGCCTTAATTATCCTACAGGAAGCATGATTCTCTTAATATAGTTTACACTTCCCTCATCTTACTCATAAAAGTGAAAGGTATTAAATTGATTTTGTTCTGATCATGCGAATAGGATTATTAAGATTAAATATTAAAATAAATACTATTTTTAAAAATATTCATATTTTTAACTCAAAATATTCTAAGCAAAGAGGACAGTAATAATTTGCTTATGGTAATTAATTATTCAAAATAAAATAGAATTCGCATCCTTACCCATCACAAGCCCTGATCTTCTTTTCTTGATTTTTCATTATTATGTTTTTTAATTCTACAATCTAATTTTCATGGAGTTAATATAACAATATTTATTAAACATTAGTATATGCGGGATTAAATTTCATCTTGCAATTCATTTTGCAAATATTCTAAAATTTACATGTCGAAGCTGACTTTATTTATTCAAATAAGCAATTTTCTATCTCTTGTGTAAGAGGAACATGAGGGCAATATTAATTCAGAAGAGAACCACTTTTAGTAATCTACTAAGGAAATAAACTCGAGCCAAGACTTTCACTGCTTTGTAGAAAATTTACACTTTCAAGGAGATCTCCTGTATCCCCAGATCTGCTTTAAATTTTGTTTGGATTTAGTCGAGGACCTGTTTGCACATTTATTTCTGAATGGCTTGTCTAAACTAATTTTTGTGATCTATAAACTCGAAATTCATATATACAATTAATTTAGATTTTAACTTGATTTGAAAATCAAAGTGATCTACTTTTTTTAATTTCTCAAGTGTGCTGGGTGCGAATCCATTAAATTGCTTTAAATATATCTTTAAATATTAATAATTATATTTATCTATTATGAATACCGTACTAGCAGTAATTTTTATGAAGGAGTCAACTCAGAGCCAGAATAAACAATAAGAATGAAAAATTATTTGAATTTATTTACATTAAAATAATAATTTTATAAAGCTCACTACATTCTATTCAATCTAAGCTTTTTTACTTATTAATTTAAAAACAAATTCAGAATTTGTTTTATACTGCTATCGATGAATAATCAACTATAAATATAAATTGGAATTCATTAAAATTTGCCCAAAAATAATACAGACTTTAATTTTATTTCATTTTGATTCTTAAGTTTGTTATTAATTAATTCTTTATAAGAGCAATTATTATTTATTTTTTCCACATTTAGAGAAAATTATTGATTTTTTGAAATAATTGCTACTTATTTAAATTACGTGATCATCAATAAATATTAGGTAGCTCTGAATAATTTGATATCTGTAGGCTTGGATAAACATGTTTTCATATTATTCTTTGCTTTTAAAATCAATGGTTTTTAATTACAAGTCCTTAAAATTTGAGTCTCTCTCATTCTGTTCAGAGGATAATACCTTTCCTTTTAATTTATTAGAAAGTTAAGTTTTATCCACATTGGAACTATTATTTTTAAAGTAAAAATGATATAGCATTCTTAGTAATGTTTTAATAATAAGAGAAAACATTATTCATTAATACTTATTATTATTGAGCCTTGACCCTTATTTATTTATTAATATTATACATTACTATAAGATTCCCTAAAAATTAAAATTTTAATTATGAATAATATTAAAGTATTATTATGATCTTTATTTGAAATATTAATGATTAAATTTTAAATAAATTCCTTACAATTCTAAAAACCCATAATAATTAAATTAATTATTAAATATTTAAAGAACAATAAATTAATTGAAATACTCAATCATTCCAGATTCAAGTAGAAACATATCCAAGTTTAAACCTATTTAATAGGTTGCGGGCGAGGCTCCTATTCCGGAAGCTGAGCTCGTTTTAAATTTAAACAAACGAAATCATTATCTATATTAATATTGTAAAATTACCCAAACATCTCTATTATAATCATAATTAAATTGAGAATTTAAAAATCATTTTCATAACTTTTCTAATTAGCAACATAGGAATATTATTTTTATTTAAGATTTTATATCTTCAGAGAAACCTCCTTGGGATAGCTATAATGCACATTTGAATCTTAAAATCATTGGTTAATATGTTAAATATTTATAAAATACCAATATTATAATAATTTAACTTAATTTAATTTAAATGTAAATCTTATTTATTAAATAATCATGGGAGTTTGCCAGTATCGTTTTTATGGTAGCAAATCTCATAGATAAAATCACTCCAAGTTGTTAATGAGCAAATGGTAGAAGAGAATTCTAAAACCAAAATTAATTTACTCCTCCATAACCTATTCCCTCTATGAATTGCATCTCAAAGGATAAGTTCATTTCTTGCAATAGTATTTTTGTTTCAAAAACAAAAAGAGTATTAAAGGGGAAACATTGGCCAAGTGTTAAGCTGTTCTTAAAACCTAAATTTTTATAAAAGTAATACTTTTAATTAACAATAGTTAATCATAATATGGAATTGTACAACACAATGTTACTGGAGTAGTGAATTTAGCTAGAAATATTTAGAAACCAGCTGAACCAGACCAAGATTTCGATTAGCTTGTTGCTGATATGAAAAAATCAAGATTTAAATACAAAAAAGATAAAAAAATATTTTTATGGAAGCTAATAATATATTAGAGATAAAGAATATTATTATAATTGGGAGGCAATCTTCATGAAAAATGATGATGACAGAAATGGAATAGTTCAAAAAATTAATGATAGATTTATATATTGTTTGGTGTGAATTTATATGATAAAAATGTTTCAAATTAAAAATACTTATAATTTTATAATAATTTTTCTGCTAATAGGTTACTTTTATTCAAAGAACATACCGAAATATTCTAATAAATTCTATGATACGGGATGCAAGTAGTTCTAAGATATTAAAGTATTTCGAAATTATGAATGTAATATATATAGTAACTTTTAAGATTCTTGTTTAACTTTTTATTATTATGATTCTTAATTATTGTATAGCAGTCAAAAGAGTTACTGAAAATATTGCTGTAATTTATGAAAATGTAGGATGATCTAAATATAATAAAATTAAATATGTACTTAATTTTTTTTATAACATACTCTTAACTCTTTTAATATTTTATATTACTAAAGGGATTGGAGAATATATTAACAAGATTTAAAAAGAAAAGTCAAAAATATTTTGGAAGAAAAAATAGATTTTTACAAAAAATGATTGAATTTTTGGTTTGATTAACATCTTGACATGATGTAAAGAGAGATCATAAGAAAATCATGCGCATAAAGAGGAAATTCTAATTGCTAATGATTTATAAAACATTTTTAAAAAATATAAAATTTTTGATAAATATTCAATATCTTACAAGAGTATCTATACTATATTTAGGTTGATTCAAACAAATATATTTGATATTTATCTTTTTAGAACTTAATTATTAAACAGATAATAATTATTTATTAACAAATATATTAATTATGGACCTATTAATAGATAATGTAATCAAATAAATAGAAGAATTTGTAGATGCAAAATTACAAAAACTTTAATAAAAAATATATTAAAAAATTGAACTATAAGATGCGATGATCAAGTTTATTCTTGAAAACTTTAATGCATTAAAAGAAAGTTAGTAAACAATGGAACCCAAATCACATCGAACAAAACATTCAGTTAGCGTATTTAATAGTTATATTTAGTAATCTTTATAAATACTCAAAATTCTTAATACGTGTAGTGTTTGTAATCTCGACATAATTGAAACATCAGAAGAAATTGAAACAAATTGTCATCATTTTTATCATGAAAAATGTCTTTAAAAGAAAGTCAAATAACAAATAGAGATGGGATTCATCACTGGAAATTGTGTTGGACGACTTTCTAATACTAATAGATTATGCTATGGCAAAATAAGAATTTAAGATTGCAAATTTGTCGATTAAAGTAAATTAACAAATATTAATCTCAACCATCAAGCATTAAAACTAATGGGACAATTCACTACTTGTCCCATGCACGATTGTAATTATTTTTTTCGTTTGAATGAAAATATCGAAAGCAAAATAAATTTTTGCAATAATTGTAATAAATGTTTCTGTTATAATTGCCTTGAATTTTGTTAAAAATAACACAAATGCCAAAGTACTAGGAAATTTTCACAAATTATTTGTAAATTGTGCAATAAATGCGGGATATTACAAATAATCTAAAAAATGAAACCATAATTAGCATGCACCCAATGTTAAAACATGATATTTTTATGATTGTATATATTATATAATTATCATTCAGATTATTTCAATATTACTCTCTGAGTTCATTTACCTGTGATCTAATCTACAATAAAGTTGATTCACAATACTATCTAACTTGCTCTCCGTGATTGTGCGAATGAGGTTGATTATATTCTCCCTATTGAGGATATTATTATTATTCTCACATAATTGAATTATAGATCACTATTGTAATAGCTTATAATTCCTACTCCAAAATATCCAATGATCACTCCTCCAACCATGTGAGGTTAGCTCACTACACCCCTCTTGATGAATCTCCATAATTAATACATATTTTAATAAAATAATTATATAAATAAACTAGTAATTAAGGATTCCCCATAATAGTATTTCCACTATCATCACAGAAGACTTTAAACATAGAAATGTTATTCTTAGAATTTATTGCTTTAATAAGTATTGGTTATTTTAGAGCAAAATTAAATTTGAAAGATAAAATTAATCTCATAACTATTACGTATATATATTCAAAGAAAATATTATGAATGTAGAAGATAATTGGTAAATGATTAAATAGAATAATTGATTCATCTACGTAATATTCTCCATATAGTTTCTCTTTATGATGGAGCTGTCATTTTTAAGGTTATATGAACCTTTCTTGCTTGTGAAATTAATTACTGAAAAGATGGATCGCATTCCAAACACAATTAGTTATAGTTTACTGCAGTAGTTGACCAAGGATCAGCCCTCTTATCTAAGATATATTTCACAATTTTAGCACTTCTACCAATTATGGCAAAATACAGTGTTGGTCTTCCTATGATATCTTGAAATTCAATATCTGCCCCATTTTCAACTAATAGTCTAACAATTTCAAAGTGTCCTCTTTTACAAGCCCAATGTAAAGCCGTCATGTAAATCTATAAGTGTTTTCAATCACACTTACATAATCAAAATCATAAACCAAATATTTGTTATCTTTTATAAACTCTTTGACTTCAAATTCTTTCCCTTGCTTTGCTGCTTAAATAAATTCATAGGAATGCTCTTTTTAGAATGGTTTTTAACTAATCACTTGATCACTAAATGCCTAAAAAATATCCAAATTTAATCTACTGACGTATTATAGTTTTTTTTTTAACTCATGTAATATTTTTTTATAATCTATTCTTCTACGGATAATATACTAAGAGGTTTTAACTATTCTGTCTTGATTATAGAATTGAAGCATCTCATCAAATTCCTTCATATTTTGACCATCTATTTCTTTATTAGGTTTCTTTGTATCGGCATCTATTTTATGAGTTGCTAAATTAACTTAACACTCTCTTTCTGTAAAGATTTCCTGTTCTTATATAGTTTCTTAAGACAGATTTTTGCTTTTTAATCTTAACCTTATTTACGAAGGTCTAGGTTTACTTTGTTATTATTAAGCTCTTTGTAATAACTAAGATAATTTTGGAACTTCAACTTCCTTCTTTTTGGCAATTATGACTACTTTGCTGTTTCTTCTTGAATGAAACTTTTTGTAATCTATTGTTTGTATATTTTAAGTTCCTTAGAATAATTTGCTTAGTTAAATTTTTTCATTAGTACAAAATGATTTTACCCATAATGACCCATCTCTTTCTCTTTCGACATTTCTAAATTCCCTGCAAGTTTGTTTAATTTATCTAAATATTTCCCTTTTTAGCTCTTAAGGCTTTTCAATTTGTTCTAACTTTTTTATTTCCTCCTTGAAATCCATTTATTTTGAGGGTTAATCTAATATATCTGAAATCGCTCTAGATCTTCTTATTTTTTATTCAGATACAGCTTTATTGAAGACTAGTTGCTAACTCAGTTTGTAAACTTTTATTGAAGGTCTCTCAAAGTCGAAATCAGATACTTTTGGAGTAAATTGCATTATTAATTTACAAAAATTCAATTAAGGACATTATTTACTAAAAAATAGAGATTTAACTTATGCGTTGTTCAAATTTGATTTATCAACGTTAATATATGTAGAAATCAATTTCAACTTTCTTAAATTCAATAATATAAAGGTTTGGTCTCTATAATTTGAAACCATAGAAATTAATCATAATAATATTATTAGTTGTATATTAATATTAATGTTATTATTTTTATTACATTGATTTTTTGTGTATAATAATATTGTTGTTTATAATATTTGAAATTAGAAACAAATTACTTTGATTCCAGGTATTCAATTACTAAATAATCGCTTATTACAATAACTAAAAGACATTGGAGAATGTAAACTTGTTCATGCTAAAAATTATTGTTAAATTGGTGTTTTTCAAGATTTTAGTATATTTTAAGGTAAGCAATAGTATAATGATGTAGTATAGTTCTTATATATGATTATATGTAAAGGACTATAATGAATTCATAATAATTGTTCAATTAGATATTCAACAAACATGCGAGCATTTGAAAGTAGTTTTGTATGTGAGAAAACTTACGCTATTAAGTCGCTCTTTTCCTCCTCAAGTTGATCACTTATTATTTTTTGTTATTCACACAAATTTTCATAAGAATCCTATGGAAGACTTAGATGTTTGTAGTTTCTAAAAATATTTTAAACAAATACTATCCCAAGATCTCCCACCTATATCGAAGATATTTGTAATATCTATTCTTTACCATGGCCAGAGTTTTTCCTGGAAAGTGCTTATGAATTTTTTAAAACTTAGGACCGACATTTAGAACTAACTGTAGAATAAGCTTATCTTCCTCCAGTGTGAATTTCTAACTTGATTTTTTAGTATTGGAAGCATCAGAACTTCTCCTTTTTTTTCTGTGATAATCAAATTTGTTTTTTTTTTTAATTTTCTTTGGCTATTCATTATTATTTATTTATGAATCCTCAGGTAAATAACTTTGCATATTTTAAATTATTAATTATATAATATTGAATTAAAATATCATTCCATTCCAAATTATCCATCCAAATCAGCCTGTATTACTGCTTTCAAATGTTATTCGATATCTTCTCTAGTTTCATACATTGGCAATTCCAATCTATTAAAACAAGTATGTGCTTTTGGGTAAGGACTAGCCTTAGTGAAGGGTACACTTTCGACACAAAACTTAGAACAGTTTCCTCTGTTGCTTTCTAGCTTTCTGAATCCTTCTACTGGTGTTCGAGTCGAACCAGTACAAAATTATAAAAATTTGGCAAGATTAAATTAATCTAATTATTCCAAAATTTCCCAAAACCATTAAATCGTTTAATGAGTCCTGTAATAAGCACCTTTATAATCAGTATTATCTCTCCAATCATTAATATCAATAAAAGGCGTTCCATATAGGATCATTTCTAATTCTAAAGGTTCAAGTAAGCTAAGAAGTTATTTAGGAATTATCTAATCATTAAACACTAATTGAATACACTATATAAGGATGACAAGAAAGCAGTCAAAAACGGCTTCACTGATAGATACGTATAATATTCAATGCTAAATTAACTTATATATCTACCACAGATTAACGTAATCTTGGCAATTATCCATGTCCAACTAAATATTTTATCCTCCCTATTTCAATTCATAGTAATCTCTTTTACTTTATCTATAAACAACGAAATACTCCGATAAGTCATCAGCTTCAAATTTATTATTAACTAAAAAATCCCAAGATTAATATAACTAAATTTTAAATTGTCAATACTTATCTATCGTAATAGTAAATGTCTTCCAAAAAAATAGGCTAGCCTATTATATGCTTAATTATTGATCTATCAAAATAAATATTCAAAGGTATCCTCTCAAATATACATTTACCTACAACAATTCCTAATAATTTAAAACAATCTATAATATGTTCGTCCGTATCTGCTTCAGAATTGATTTTATAAGATACATCATCGCAATCTGCTATTTAAAACATACCTGATTCTGGGTGTATAATCTCCTTCATTATTAAATTAGCCCATTCTCTAAGGAGTCCTCCTGCATCCAATACTTTATCACCATCAATATGAACCTTAACTTCTTTGTGCCAGTTAATTTCTTTATACATATTCAGTGTTGTCATTAAGAAACTCTCTTTGTTTACAGATAAAGTTTCTGCTCCTTATTACCAGGGAATTCTTTTTTTTTCTAATTATAATCGAAACCAAGTTTATTTGATAGGGAATTCAGAATTCTTAATTTGAACCCACGGCAAGGCCAGCATTTCAGAAACATTAGCAGCTGGCATTGGGGGAGTTAACTGAGTTAAAATAAAGTTTGAAATACTTTCTTGTTCCATTTATATTTAATCTTGGATCCTGGCAATAATTCTTTGCACCAATAATATTTTTATTTTCTATTCTAAAAATCTTCCTGTATATAATGAGGCTTAGAATGATAAAAATAATCTTAGTACAGTGGTTCTCGGATTTGGATTAGGATTAGGATTGGGATTCTGATGGTGGTTCGGCTCGATTACCACATCACCAACTTAAACGTTTCTTAATTAAGCAGGTGGATTTTAAATTTGTCTAACTCTACAATTTGTAACATGTTATTAGTACTATTTTGCTTTAAAACAATTACCTAAAGAGCACTTGATTACGCCAAAAAAACCATAAGGCATTTTGGGCATTATTGATTTTATTATAACTAAGTTTAGTTTCTTTTTAAACAATTTCCCATATGAACTTATTAAATTTTATATAATATAATAATAAAATAATCAAGTCTTATTCTATGCATTTTCTTAATTTTCTACTCATTTCTTTATTCTAAAACAACAATGCCTTTGAAAAACTACTCATGAAATTCAATCTTCCTTTATTTCATTCTTAATATCTACTATTCTATTCATCCTATTTAACTGATATATCTGCCCATAACTAAATTTCATCCTTTATATTTATTAATAATTTTAATTAAAATTTGATGAGAAATTCTCAAACATTAAGCCCGAAATCTTAGGAGAACTCCCAACAGTCTTACTAAATAAAGTCAAATACCCTGAGAAAGGTGAAATAAGATAACTTGAAACCAAAAAACTAATTAATTAAACTTATTCATTAAGAGTAAAATCATCATTATTAATGAATATAAATTCTAAGAAGGGATAGTGATCAAATACAACATTAATCAATTTAATGTTTATAAGAATATATTGCTTTTGATTCTCAAATCAATCAAAATTAAAAATTTAGTGTGATTAAGAGGAAATCCTATTCAATCTATTTAATAAATATTCTATTGTAATTAATAAGGATTAGAAAATCATATTTAAAATTCATGAAATTTGAAATAGTAGATTCCATAACCTTGGGATTGATTTAATAGAATAGAAGATTTGTTTTAAAGAAATAACTCTTTAGCATCAATGTTTCAATTACCTTTTAATTTAAAGATATTATAATATAGAAAATGCTCATTGTTAAGCGTTATCAAACTGATGGAGAAACCTTGAGAAATTATATGAATCACTTCAAGATTATTTCTATCTAATGTGATATAAATGAAAGATTTTTGATTATAATAATTATTTTTAAATCTAAAATTTTAGAAAAATAATAAGGTTAATGAAAGTAGGGTATCCTAGAAATAAAAATACTTAAATTTAATTTTATTAAGAATGTAAATAACAATATTCTAATTGAAATAAATATAAAACTCCTTTTCTAGATCATTAAAAACCCTGTTTTTCTCTATTCACAATTGATAGGAAATCATTTATTCATCGAATTAATTAAAATTAGTGTATTTTTTCTTAATATTTTAATCAAAATTTATTAATAATGGGTACATTGCTTTCTAGTTTTACCTCATAAAAACCAAAAAAGGAATAATAATGCATTCTCTAATGTAATGCAAAGGAATAAAAATAAAATTAGTAGCCCTTTATAACTACTAAACCAATCTAATCGCAAGGAGAATAAACACATTAACATGAGGAGTTCTCATTTAATGAAATCTAATAAAAGGGATAAACATAGAAAATCACCAAAAAAGGTGATATAAATGCAAACTAATAATAATTACTAGAATCGATAAGGATAGATTAAACCGGGAAGTTAACAAGGCAAATAAATGATTTTAAGTAAAATAAAGTTTGTTATGAATGCAATGAATTAATTGAAGATACCATTATATAAATAGTTTGCGACCATATTTTTCATTAGGATTGCTTTATATAAAATATTGAAAAGTAATTATAACAGAAGGAAAAATTCATAATTAAATGCAAATGTGGTACTAAATTGAACTCCAACATCTTAAGATAAATAGTAGATGATGAAATTAAATCTAAAATTCTTTATAAAATATTTTCACTTTAGGTATAAAAATTAATATAGTCTTCCAATATTAGAAAGTTTTGTGATGTCTAATAGATTTAACAGTAAATAGAATAAAATACATCTAAAGAAGACTATGATTTTCAATATGCAGAAAAAAAATAAAAACTTTAAAAAAATATTACTGAATTAGTAATCGATCAAAGTGGTATTTTACACATCAGTTAGCAATAATTATTTATTGTAAGTATTTGCTTATATTGTGGCAAAGAATTATAATAAGATCTGCTCAAATTTAATTGTGGACACGTATATCATTAAGATTGCTTTGTTAATTGGTTATAATATCAAATTTTAGATAGAAAGAACACTATTATTAAGTGTAGATGCGGAACTAAAATTAATACTAATATTATTAGAAGGATACCTGAAAGTTAAATTAGATTGAAATTGCTGAACTATTTGTTTTCAGTATAATTATCAAAAATATTACCAAATTTAAGGGATCTGGATGATTTTGATTAAATATGGGATCTATATTATCAAAATTAATATCAAGTTGATCAAGATTACAATAGCTCATCAGGGTTTCTATACTTCAGTAATTATTCAACACCAGGAGGAGATTGATTTATAAAACAATTAGTAAAAATATTTTTATAAATATAATTGTGCAATTATAATAATTTGATTAATTTATATGTATGATATATCCACATTAAGACTCAATAATATAAATATTAAATAATCATTTAATCCAAATGGGAAGTAATTTATGTAAACAAGACAACTCTTCATCTATTAACACAATTGATATAGAGAAAAAACCTGAAACAATAGATCAGCCAAAGAAAAATATTGCATCTGGAGCAAAAAATTCATAAGTACTTACTTCTTAAGATACTGGCCAAATCTAATAAATTTATCGGAACATAGAAATGGACTTAAAAAAAGATGATAATGATTCAAAAGTTTTAGGTAAAGAAATTAGTGAAGAGGGTAAAAAATAAAAAGGCTTAGATAAAGGCTTGAAAAATGATGATAAAGCCTTAAAAAGTTAGAATAAAAAATGTTCAAAATGTGATGACTTTATTTCTCTAACATTCGTCCAACTAAATTGTAATAAAAATTGTTGCTATCATCATCTTTGCATGGAAGAACACTTAAAAAAATTAATTGATTCTGGAAAACCAGTAATAAAGTGTAAATGTGGCACTAAACTCAATACAAATTGTCTAAGGTAATCATCAGTTATAGGGAAAATGAATTTGCTTTCAAGACTATTTGAAAAACAACTTGATCTTATATTACAATCTTCATAATAAATAAGAAGAGATGTGGAAGTTCAAAATTATGTCTAGCAAAATCGCATATCAAAAGAATTATAAGACTACTTTTTAATGAAATAAGATTCCTTAACTTATGAGGAAACCCCTTAATGATTAATTTAATTTGTATGAAAAATTCATTTATTATCTATTGCATTTGAGATAATTGCATATGTGCATTATTTAACAAAAATATATTGGATAAATACAATTCAATTAATGAATATATTATGAGAATTTTGTATAATTATTTTATGTTTTCTCCATTATTTAAAATATTCTAATCATCAAAGAGAATCTAATAACTGAGTATAAGGACGTGGAATCATCGAGGAGCAATACTTTATATCAAATCAAATATTATTGATAAATTAATTACAAATTTTCCTGCATGATTCAAATTTTACTATTATAGAAATAATTAGCTTACTTTTATATTGCGGTTTAAATTTTAGATGTTAAATATTTATATAAATTTTATTCTCCTTTAGATGATCCTCCTTCACCTTAGTAACTACAAATATTTGTTGTCTTGAATTTGATTCCAAATTGAAATTCTAATTAATAATAATTTCAGCCTTTAAAATTCCATTTATTTTCTTTTCTAAATATTCATTCCAAATTCCAGTTGTTCATTTTGACTATATTATGTTAATTTTGCCAAAGAAAACTGCATATATTGATATAACTTAATCCACTATCATCTAAATTGCCTAAATTCTTGGCTATTTTTACGAAAGCTTTGTTTTCTTATTCAAAAATATCAATTTATAATATTCTCAAATATTTATTTATCCATATTTGATCTTAATGTTGACAATGTTAAATTTATTGGTCAATTAATTTAATATATCCTTACACATATACCCAATTTATAATTTCAACACTCCTTAAACTTTAATATTAATTTTTAGTTCTATTATGCAATTTTTTGTTTGATCTTAATTGATATCTCTTTGTAATTCAGATGCTTTGTTGTAATATTACTTTTTTACTAACAACATTGAACAAAGGATCAGTTTTCAGAGGAATTGTCGTAATAGATTGTCTTTTTATGTTTAGAGGATAAAGTTTTCGAAATGACTTTCCTGTAATTTGATCATAAAACTGAAAAATAAATAATTATTATGAAGCGAATAAATTGAGATTGTATTAATTAATAAAAAAGTTTAATTTCAGAATCCTTTAACATCGATCACATAGGATCAGACATATGCTTGGTCATCATGATAACAATTATTAAGTGGATTTAATTTATTTATATTAATATTCCTTTATAATTTTATGGGTGTTATAAATGGTGGTGATATTTTTATATTTATATTTATACATATAAATGGTTTGACTTCAATAATTTAAATCAAATGAGTAATTTGAATGCTGCAAGTTTATATGAAAATCTACAACAACCGATAAGTCAATACTATGACAAGAGTTCGAATTTGACAAGGGAAGAATATTTTTATAAACTCTCAATATCAACTACATTGTACCTGGGAAATTTATCCATCTACACAACCGAAGAATAAATATTTGAATTATTCAACAGAGTGGGAGCAGGAGTGAGGAGATTAATTATGGGGAGAAATAAGGAAACAGGAAAGGCTATTGGATTTTGCTTCATTGAATATTTCAATCACGAAGATGCAAAGGAGGCTCATGAATACTTGGACCTCTTGAAATTGGATGAGAGAGCAATCAGAGTGGATTGGGATATTGGATATTCTGAAGGGAGAGAATATGGAAGAGGCACAGGAGGCAATTAGGTTAGAGATTCTTACAGAAAGGTGGCAGATCCAGAGAGACCCAATGTCTAATCAAACAGAGGCAGAGGAAGAAGTTATAATAACAACGGAGGAAGAAGAAAATAATAAGAGGAAGAGGAGAGCGACAATTCAGGAGGAGGATACAAGAAAAGAGCAGGAAACAGATCAAACAATAATTATTGAAGATTGAAAATTTTCATATTACATTATTAATATTTAGTTCATAGATTTATAGAATATAAAATTCATTTTGATCCAATAAAACCTTTAACTCTATCAAAAAATCTTTCAATGGTGGTCATCTATGGACAATTACATTCTCTTTTTGGTTTATAAGGCTTTGAACACACATAACAGAATTCATGTTTACATCTGCAAGTCATATGATTGCATCCTCCGTCCTTGAAAATTTACACTTTACATTTAGGACAGTTAACTAAACCTTTCTCTTACTTTGCTCTAGTTTTCTGTTTAAATTATTCGCAAGTCATACCTTAATGAGCCTTATCACAACCTAAAAGGATTATTTATTGTAAAACCATTTGCACAAAACTATAATTTACAATTCGTACAGGTTGGAAATTCTAGATATATAGATATAATATATGATGCTGGACAACCTCTACCTGGGCAAACCACTACTTTTTCATATTTAGAATCAATTTTTAAGTTTTAAGTCCTTAAATTAAATTAATACTTTTAAATACCTCAAGTCATTGATTTTTGCACTAACATCCGGAGTGCAATTTTAAATGATATAAAAATTTATTGGGTGATTGCATAAAGGGCAAACTAAATCACTCTCTTTAAAATTTCCAAGATCCATTTAATTGTAAATTTATTCTTTAATACACTGTCTACAAAATCTATGATCACAATCTAGAGTAATTGCTTCTTATTCCAAATCATAATTTTCAAAGCAAATTGCACAATCAAAAGTAGCTCTCTTATAATTTTACCTTTTCTCAACCTGTTCTTATTATTCTATCTACTTAGCTACATCATAATCATTGAGAGACTAGTTTTCAGCTTATTTTCCATTCTCATTTTATAATTCATCGATATCAAAAGGATCATCATTATCATTTTAATCCATTACATACCTATTTAAAATTAAAGTGTACAAATTTCGCAAGTTATTAAACTCTTCTCCTCCTAGAATATATTTAGAAACCTCGTCTGTAATTAAAACTTAGGAACATGTTTCTGATTCTTTGCAACATGAATAGGTATCAATCGATTCAATATAAAAAGGTTGCTCACTCAAATAAGTCTTGAAACATTCAGTATGAACATTGTGTCCGCAGGGTAAATTTTTGTAATTGTTTTCAACTAGGAATTCTAAGCAATGGCAACAAAAATTTGATCCATCATATTCAATTTAGGGATCGATTTCCTATTAGCATAACCTAGTAATCAGCTCATCAAATCTCTCGGAGTTCTCCACTATTTTTTCTGGTTAGTTTATGAAGTTTATAAGTGTCTAAATATATGGATTGGATTTTAAACTCATATATGCTAAATAAAATAAATATTAATCGTTTATTCTTAAAGAAGGTAAAATCTATTAGAGAGGATAAAAGTCTATTAAAGAGGATAAAAGTCTATTAATCTTATATAAGTACTCAAAATGTAAAGTGGGATGTTTATTCTATAATAATAATTTATCATAAGAATTTATTTTATTAATGGTTAAGCGTCTCATTATCAAATTAATCATTGAAGTTGGCTCAACCTTTGCCAAGTCTTTTATGAAGGCTTATTAACAGAGTGCTAAATGTATGCATGTGTAAAATGATTAGAGTAAGGAGGAAAGTCAGCAAATCCATTTAGCGAGTTTTTGAATCAGACGATGCAAGCAGCAAATTTGACTCACAAACCTATGACAAGAGACGAAGCATTTAAAATATTGCAATTGACAGCTGAGAAAACTAATGCAGAAGAAATTTTAAAAGTAAAAATCGTAAATAGAGGATTAAGATTTATTGGAGACAGTTCCACAAGAACGATCCAGTAAAGGGAGGATCATTTTATATTCAATCAATGTTGCACAATGCCAAATGCGAATTGATGAAGGATTTCCCAGATATTAATGAGAAGGAGATTTTGGAGAAGTTAAGGAAGGAGGAGGAGAGTTAGAAAGGGAAGGAGGAAGAAGGGAAGTAGGAGGAATAGAAGACAAATTGATTTTATAAATACTGTGTGTTGTGAAGATTGAAATGAATAAATTAAATTATGCTTTAGAGATTGTCTACAGTGTTCAGAAGACCAATGTTCTGGCATGGGACACATCATCACGACAGTAACGATGCTACAAAAAGGTTATTTGACACTGTCTCTAGTACAGTGAAAGGCATATAATAAATAAACTATGTGGTGGAGCACGATCCAAAACTAACAACAGAGGAGAAGTCAAAAATGAAGCAATTCCTTATTTATAGATACGATCCAGCTGTATATTGAGATGTTTAGATTTTAGGATGAGAATGACTTCCCCAAGTATGTCAGCTATTATGTTGACTTGAAGAAGATACCTCCAATGTACTTGGATGCATTGTTATACATTAAAGACAATTACGATTCCTCATTATCATTACGTAGATCCTGCAGAGAAGGCATCTGTGGATCTTGCTCAATGAATTGCAATGGTCTTCATAAATTGGCTTGTATTCACGCTATTGACACTGACTTGACATAGCCAGCCTACATCACTCCATTGGGACACATGTTTGTAGTCAAAGACTTGGTAGTTGATATGACCAATTTCTACACTCAATATAAGACCATCGATCCTTATTTGAAGAGGAAGACTCCAAAAGTAATGAATTTATTATATTTAAAATAAGGAAGGAAATAAGGAATATATTCAATCTGTAGAAGACAGAAAGTTACTTGATGGTCTTTACGAGTGTGTGTTATGTGCATGCTGTTCGACATCTTGTCCTTCTTATTGGTGGCATCCAGATAGATATCTTGGTCCAGCAGTGTTGATGTAGGCTTACAGATGGATTGTGGATTCAAGAGATGAGTACACTGATGAGAGACTTGAAAAATTAGGTAATTTCAAAAATCTTATTAAATTTAGCCGAAGATGTGAAGGTTGAGGATTGTTAGAATATTGGAATGTGTTCATTCACTTGTCCTAAAGGTTTGGATCCACAGAGATCAATGAATCATTTGATGAAATTAATAGAAGAATACAAGGAAAGAAAGATTGCATCTGCAACATTATGAAATAATATCATATAAGATAACAATAATAATCATTATTATTACTGCTATTAGTTAAATTTGAGAAAGCTTGCTCTGCATTTTGGACAAGTGGAATTGATGAGCAACCATGCTTGGATGCATTACAAATGAAAATGATGTTTCGGATCGCATGGGAGTACAAGAAGTTTTTCATCAGTGACATAACTATGCATACATATGCCACACTCTTAATCTCCTTAAATATTCTTGAAGTGATAAAGCATAATGCATGTCTTCTTCAGTTCCTTAAGAGATTACTGATTGTCATAGTTTTACTTTTTTTCCTTGAATTAATGCCACAACCTAACTGGTATCAAGAAGGGCAAAGCAATTACAATTAATAGACTTAAAATGTACACGTCCAAATATTGATAGATTGTCAAGAACACAAAGGCCAATTGGAATGTATTTGCATATCTAAGACATGTATCATACGATTCAGGATCTTCTGGATTCTGCATCTACAACCTTATAGCCCAAACTACTAATATCTGAGTAACCCAAAATGTTATGATACTCAAAATTCGCAATGATTAATATCTAGATACAACTTCGTATCTAATCTACACTGCCAAGATCTTCTACTTCCTATCCATCTCTTCCTAATTCAGATACAAGTATGGATCCAAATCTTCATGTATCAAATATTGACAATTCGATTATTCATTTGTTTCGACCTCTTCTACTTAGATCAAATGGTTTAGTCTTTCCGCTATTTACAGTACAATTTACTAAAATTGGTAAGTTCATTACTATATTATTTAAGATAATCCTCATGTAAGTATGATACACATAGGCTATAATAGAATGAAATAACACTGCCAACATCCAATTGGTCAGTTCACATCTCACGCAATCGATGGTGAGTGCCAATATGGTTGCCATCATTAATTTAAATAGGGAGTACAGTCTGCACATCTGCATTACGTATTGAGTATGTTATAATCCCTTATAAAATATTTTTGTATATCTCCGATTTATTAACATAATTAATTGAAAAAGTCATCATATTAATTTGGATTCTAAAACATCACATGTTTCCAACATTAATATTTAATGGATGAATACATTGTAGACGATAGAATCAATGAATAAGACCGAAATTACCTATTATCCCAAGTGGATTCAATACACTCTCTCTATATCACAAGAGAACATATTTAATCGATTAAATCGCAACTGCATTCTGAAGACTACATCTCTATTCATATTGCTCTATAAAGATTACTACGACTCATCTTTTTGGAATTCCACATAGAGACCTTCCCCCTTGATTTGGATGAGGCTGGGAATCAGTATCACTTCACCTAATTCATCATTCAAAATAATATCATTTAGCCCCTAATACATTTAATATAAGTTCAATATTCAATTCAAAGCACTATAGACTCGACTCAAATCCTCATATGCTTACTTTGTGGAACATCTCAATAAGTGGAACTGATCTTACAATAAGGTCTGATTTCCAGCCTCTCCCTTATGCTGTAATCAAACATCGATTTAATTGCATTTACCGGACTTGTGGCAGTGTTATAGGCTGCTAAAATAAGGCATTCCAAGCCTTTCTGTAAATAGTTCCTCAACAATTAATGTGAACAGTTTATCTTCAAGAGATACGCAAAAGAACCAGAGTTCTGTTTAAAAACCCTCTACTCATTGTGTACCAAAAAGCCTTCAATGAAATTCGAACTCATAAAATCTAGTTTACTGTTTATTATCGATAAAATTCACTAAGAAAATAAGATTGGAATCATAACCAAATGCATCTGCATAGTCACTGGAAAATGGATACCCTTGCCTCCATTGAAAGAAAACCACCTCAAACGAATCCAATTACTCTTAGACCTTGATATCATTGCAAGATTTGTATAACTAATGAAAAAACACGAATCAGAATATGAATTATTATAAGTCATTTTAACAAATTTGATATTTGTTTTATCAGGAACTGATCAGTAATTCTAATTTGTTTTGAAACAAGGAATAATGAGGTAGGTCTAAAAATTGCTAGATTGTAAGGATAATGCCACTTTTCATAGATGTCTTGCCTTCCTGGTTTAGATTAGCAATAAATCACTTGGAGTGTCCTTTCTTTTTGAATAGAAAACTATTGTATCAATTGTAATTCGAGTGTACAGTGTCGAACAAAAGGAATTTGCTCTATTGAAGATAGTCTCAATATTCGAAAACTTGGTACTTCTAGGAGACATCGACTAAGTGCAAAGTTTAATTGATTAATAGTTGATCAGGATAATCATTAAAAATCTGAAGTTGAATTTGAATTAGGACAACGTATAGGTCAATTGTAAGACTGTTGAATTATTGCAATCCATATTCACCAAAGTCAGAAATACGAACAAGGAGAAATACGAGAAATGGAAGGAAGAGTTCATCAAATCTGAAGGCATTCAGGCTTTGAGATCGCTGACTTCACAAACAGAACAAATATTTTCTTTAAATGAATTTTTAAATACTTGATATTTTAATCCATATATTAATATAATAATCATCCAACTTTCTTAGTAATTTGCTCATTTAACAATTCGTGATAGGGTTTCTAGGTGATCTTCTCAATCTCAGGTATCATGTGCTATTAAAACTCATTGAAGTGTATCTGTCCATCATTTGTATTATCAATCAGTTTAAAAAACTCTGCATACTCTTCCTAATCCAAAGGAATTACAATCTTCCATTTAAGTATATACACTTACTCGAGTTCTCAACATTTATTTAAACTCATCCCTGCTCACAGATCCAGAGCCATCCTAATCAATAGTCATGAATATTTGAAATAGATCCAATTTATTAGCCTACATAAATTAAACAAAATGATTTGCCACCAAATTTAAGATTTCTAAATATATATATTAATACATTTCGAAGTTTTCTTCGCACTTCTCTGTTCCTTCATGGCCAACATCTTTTAATTATATGCCTTATTCAATACAACACCAATATCATTAGTCGATATCCTGCCATCTCCCTCCAAATCAAAGTGATCTAAAATCAAATCATACTGTTCATTATTTAATTGAATATCACACTTAAGCAAAAACTATTTCATCTCAGATCTCTCCACGTGACCACTATTATCCTCATCAATCTGCTTTCTTAAGTCTAATATTGATAATCCGTTTTTATTAGCATATTCTAACAAACACTCTATACATTCCCTAACTGTATCAGGCAATTCCCCATCTTCTTTTTATTATTCTACTTGAACTCTAGTTATTTTAATTGGTCCTGAACTTGGCCAAGTCTCAAAAACCATATCCAAATCTATGAAATTGAAATCCTAAGTTTATTCATATATTGTTTATAACAACACATCTGTCTATTCCTCATCCAATGAAGTCTATAATAATGCTGTTTTGAATTGTTATCTATTCACTAAACTGCCTGGTAATTGAGCTGATATTGATTGTTGTGAATTTCCTTGTTACTTCTTAGGCTTTAAATAGGCCATCAAATCATCTTTTTTTTCATTCAGTTTTTGTCTTATCTGTTCATGCATTTGAATTCTATCCTCTCCAACCAATATATTGTATTTACCAATTGCTCTTATCAAGGTCTGTAAAATGCTCTCATTTTCTTTGGTTAAATTGATGTTATAAGTGATTTCCTTCTCACCATAAGGTTCAATCAAATAACGAGATATCAATACACTTTCATTTTGATTTAAATTAAAAGGCTTGTTCTGTAGAATCTAAATCATCTCCCCTAAAGAAGTCTCATTTGTATCCTTCTACCGAAATAGATATAATTCTAATTCTGCATTCCTGATATTCTATGCCCTCAACTTGTATCTTAACTAAGTAAGCAACTCTTCAATGTCATCCTGTCGAATTGAACTCAACTTTCTTTGCACTTTCCTTCTATAGCTTTGTTTCTCTTATTGAGTAGATTATTGTTATTGTTATTATGTATCATTTTATTTGTGCAGGTCAGGTGTAAGTTCTTGAGATTTTCTCCTTGGATTCTGAACATCCTCTTAAGATTGCACTGTGAAAATGGCATCCCTTCTGCCACTTTAAATTTACTATGATTGAAGATTCCTATTGCTGTTGAAAAACAATTGTTAATATTTATCTTGCAATTCAATAAGTTCTTGCTTTTGCTTCTCGTATTTCTCTTTAAAGCTTTCCTTTTCCTTTGTGACTGTATTCAATTTATCTTGGAAGGTACTTGTAACATCCTTTAGTTATCTTTCCAAATCATGAACCTTCTTATCCTTTATCATATTATCATTTTTTAATTGATTATTCTCTACAACTTTTCTCTCTAATTCCAACTTCATTTAAGTAACATCTTATCCTCTTCTGAATAATGGATCATTTAATTAAGCCTTATTGAATTATTCTTCTAATGAAGTTAATTGCTTCTTGATTTAAGTCTTTTCCTTAATGCTTTTCTAGTAATTCTAGTCCAACTCCTAATTCAGTACTTTCAAATCTTTAATTTCTTCTTCAGCCTTCTTCAATTCTTAATAATATTTATTTTTCGCTAAGCTGCATTTCTGCAACTGTTCTTATAAGGTTAGGATTCTTTCCTCGATATTTTATTCTGTTTTGGAACTAGAAAGTTCAAGAAATAATTTACGGTTTCATTGTCTTCAATATTTATTGATGAAGAAGCTGTTTCAGACGCAATGATTCATCTTAATAATTTTTCAATTCAGCTTCCAATTCTTAAATTTTTGTCAATTTGGCACTTCTCTTCACTCTTATCATCTCCTCTTTAAAATCATCTAGCTCTTCTCTCAAATCCTTATTCTGTTTCTTCAATTACAAAATAATAGTCGATTGTGGGACTTCACTAATTTGTTTCTTATAATGCGAAGGCAATGGATTTGTAACAAAGGATTGGTAATCTTCATTCGCAGGCTAAATAAAATTATGAAGTACATCACTACATTTGAGCATGGCAGTTTCCTAACTTTTTATTTATGCTTTCAGCTAGTGATTCTCCAATTTTAGATTATTACACATCTGTTTTGTCTTATTAAGTTCCTCATACAATCTTTCCTTATCCTAAACCATTGTTATGGGAATGGTCTTCTTGAATTCTCTAGAATTTGGCGGATCCCGTGTTTTGCTTAAATATGAATATTCTCGAATACCTGGAAAGGAATTGCTCATTCGAATCCTAATGCGCCTTGGTTACATAGAATTTCGGTCTTCGGATATAGATAATCAATATACTTATAATGTTGAACATTTTGACGAAACTCAATAGCAGACTTTAACTATATAAATGGGTTATTTACTTATGCTTATTCCCTGTGTTAAATTTGAGGAGTACTCGTGAAGGGTCTCATTAATTATTTTATTGAATTATATAAATCACTATTATTATTCAGATTATTCCTTGGAAATCTTCTATTCATTTAATAGACAAATTTTCATCCAAATCCGGAATAATCAAAAAAGAATCTTAGAATTTTGTGCTATTTTATGAGCAGTTACTAATGATGGTTCAACAGTATGAATTCTTGAATTTTCTTCCTTATTTCATTTCAATGTTTTACTATCACATATGATTTCTTTCCTTTCTATTAATGACTTGCTATTTATATGATAGCAATATTATTTTCTAAGGATTTAATGCTCTTCTTTAAATTATGCTTTACAAAACAATCCTAATAAAAAAATGAAAAGAGTTATAGAAGAGTTTCATCCCGTTATACGGAAAGATTTTGAAAAAATATTAGTATTATTATTCTCAGATTTGTAATAATTCATATTTAAGGATTTCCATTTTAAGCAATAGTAGCCAAAATATATATTTATGTAATATCTAAATAATTAATATTAATTTATTATTAATTCAATAAAATTTGACAAACATTGATCCTTGTAATCTTGAATTTCATAAATTCTTAATCGAATTTTTAAGTTTCAAAATATAGCTATGAAAATATAGAATGTATCCATCTTTAATTGTTATTCTTATTTCATATTGGGAGATATTTAAAATGCAATTCGATTTCAAAATTTTATGTTTAATTCTACCATATGATGATATCACCAACTTATTGAGTATATTCACACATAATAAAATTACTACGGATTATTGAAATTCGTAAATGAATTTGGCCAGGATTCAAAAAGAAATGTGATTGTATCTTATTAAATCATTTTATATTAAGATATTTTAAATTCTTTAAAAGCCTACGTCCTTGATAATACTAATAAAACCGCAGACCAATTTTTACAATATTATAAAATTAAGGACATTTTTAAAATACAGTTAAACTTCTATCTTAATATCATCATGAATATTATAGAATTTTGTCTAAAAATTAAATAAGGAGCCGAAGATACTTATTATAACAAATTTAAGAAACAATAACACAATAATATTTTTCATACTTAATAAAATGAATGTTACCCCTACTATTGCATAGATGAAGTAAATATTATTTGAGAAAGCTGAATGTCTGATTCCACTTGACTTGAATATCTTATGAGATATTTAAAATAATTGCATACAGTGTTATTTAATTACTTTGAATATTTTAAAAAGTTTAAGAGTTTTTCTAGTTTTTTTCTGAATTTTCACACTTGAATGCAGTTGAAAAAAAAAGAAATAGTAGTATATTGGCATAGCCTTTTGGAGGAAATATTAGTTTATTGAATCAAATGATGTAAAATGAGAATTTATTCCATTTCAAATAGTAAAATCTATTTATATTCTACTAAATATGGTGAATCACCATATGGTTTTACTCTTTTCCTAATAACTTTAATTTACAATAGTTTAATTTTGAGATATCAACAATTTATCGGGTTAAGTTTCTAAAGAAGAGTAAATCAAAGAGTTTAGTGCCATTAAATAGAAATTAAAGGTGTAATTGCAATGATATGTGCAAAATAAGAGTTGTGAACCTTAGTATCGATAAAAAATCAAATGATTGGTTAGAGCAGGCGAGTGATTTATAGAAATGGTAGGATTATATAATTAAAAATGAAATGAAAATAAAGATATTTATTTTTTAATTTAAAATGTCTCTAGATAGCAGCTTTGAAAATTTAGAATAATTTATGTTTCCCTCCTTTAATGAAATTCAAAATGAGGATTAAAAGGAGGGCCAATACGTTCTAGACCCAATTGGTTAAGAGTTGGATTAAAACCCATTACTCGAAAATCCGCTTAATCATGGGAAAACTTATCGATAATTGTTTGAAATTGTGTAAAGATTAAATGACATTAATTGGGTGGAACCTTATTCTAAAATCACTCCTATAAAGCACTTTACTCCAATAACCTTCTGGTTTCTTATTAGTTCTCAATACTTTTAAAAAGAGGTAGATCCTAAAAGCATAAAGTAATCCAATTGATTTAAATTATAGTATAGAGGAAGAATTTCAAGTGGATTAGGATAAAGAGTCTCGTCCTTATACGTATTTCGATGATTGGTTCATATTGGAAATGAGAAACATAGTAATCTTTAATCTAAGATAGATGGTTAAAAGAATTATAACCCAAAAATGATTTGGAATCATTACAAACTAAAATTGAACATCAATTACTCGAGACCAGAAGACAATTGAGAAATTAGATAGATGCGATTTAGATTGAAAAGCCCATCTTACAGATATAAAATTAACCCGATTTTATTTTGAAAGATCTAGTTGGATTGACTGATGTTGAAAATCAATATCTGACCCATCTTGAGAGCCAATAAAAGTATATATAGAATCACCATATTGCTAGAATATACGATGAACAAATAATTAATTAATCAAAACAATCCAATTTGGCTGGAACTGCTAGGAAATTATAAAATGTCTACAATAATTGTTAAATTTGCAATCAAGGAGCGAGAACTCTAGAATCTTTATTAATATGTTAGAAATGTCAAATAAAAGTTCATTAGAAGTGTTATGGTCTTGAAAACATCATAAACAACTGGATTTGTGATTTGTGTTTGAATTTTGGAAGTAAAGGCAAATTTTTGAAATGTCCACTTTGTCCCAAGTTAGGAGGAGCTATGCGTTAGACAACGTTGGCAATGAAGGATTCAATATTTGAGCAATCAAATCCTAACTATCATAGTTATGCAATGAACAATAGAATTGATAGACAAAGTAAGAATGATTTTAAATATAATTTAGAACCTCCTCCTGATGGAGAGGAAGGATATAATTTCATGATTTTATAGTACTCTTTAGATAACATGGTTGGAGAAACTCCAAATTCCGAGAAAATATGGGCTCATGTTTCCTGTATGCTTTGGTTGGATTTTGATTTACTGAAAATTGATAAGAGAAAGTTTAATTGTTTATGCAGTATTTGCAAAACAAAAAAGACTGGAGCTTGCATTTATTGTGCCAAATAAAAATGTGGAATTGCATTTCATCCTGAATGTGCAAGAAGATCATAAATTTATATGGAAACTGATGAGATCTTCTGTTTCAAACATCAACCTCTAAAAATAAAGAGAATATTTGAAGATTAACACAATCTATGGAAGGAAGAGATCTACTATTTTTTCAAGCAATACGAAAAATTAGAATAATATTTGGCTCATAAACCAAAGAACAATGATTTGGAATTTGAAAAATTTTAAATAAAAGTGTAACAAGAAGAAATAGAAGCTGATATTAAATTAGAGAATGAGTAGCTATTTTAAAAAATTACTGAAATAATGGAATAGGATGAAAAATTCATTATTACAATTGAAAAGAACTAAGTTACTGATATCTAATATCCGTTGAAAAGATTGTCCATATACGATTTGGAAGAAAAGGATAGGATTTGGTAGTAATTGGCTAATGAGAAGTACTCTTCATAATAAGCCTATGTTCTGTATCAAAGAGCAATGAGAATGAGAAAGAAGAAGAAGTTATCAAATACTCTCTCTCAATTATAGATGAGAAATACTTAAGAATTACCTAATAGGAAGAGACACTCAATTTATTCAAGACCCAAGATCTTTAAACATCATAAAAAATAACAAAAGATGAATGGGTCAAATAATATTTCACTGAAAATTAAAATACCTAAAGAAGCATTCAGTCTACAATATTGCATTTGCAAATAATAGAATGAGAATGAAGAAATGATGTGTATTGTATTATTAATCATATTAGAATGTGAGATATGTTCGGAATGGTATCATCTAAGTTGTTTGGGATTTCTAGGGAGCATAGAGGAAGCACAAAAGCTATTGTTCTATTGTTTTAAATGTGAATAGAAACTCAATAAAGAACAAAGCAAATATAAGAGGAGATACAATCAATATTTTGGTGATGCAACATTTCGAGATTTGAAATTGAAGATTGGCATGTCTCCACATGAATTAAGAACACACGAGAAAAAGAACTACAAATAGTTGTCTAAATGAATCATATTTAGAAATATATAAACACAATTCCTATATTATTATGTTAAATAAACAAAATAAATCAATTTGCGCTGAGGATGATGTTGTTAATAGGAATGAATACTAATTTTATGAAATAACCCACTGCTCCCATAACTGCAAATCCAATTGCACATGATGTTGCAATCTTTATGTATTCTATGATTTTAGATCTATCACTTACCTCTTTTATCTGGTTTAGTGCATTTTCTAATGAACCTGTAGCTTTCTTGTCCAAAACTTTGAACGTCTGTCAGAATTCCATTTATTCCATTCAATGTCTCTTAACTCATAATTTTTAATTAAAATTATTATACGTGTATTAATTAATTAAATATATCAATCTCTTGTTTTTTATCTAACAAATTCAAGTAAGTATTTTGAATAACATTAAAATGAAAGAAATTCTTCGTAATTCGACTAAACTTAAAACATAAATCTTACTTCCAAAGGAGTGTTGGATAAATGGACAACTCCAGGGGGAGTTTCATAATTGATTTCTAATTCGTAAAATGCAGCTGCATATTAAATAGCTGGTAGAATATCTTGTAATGCAAACCCAAAGGTAATTGACACAAATTATCCAAATATTAAGTTGAATTGGTTATCGCCTAAAAAGAATAGATAAACTACGTACGATTCAATAAAAACATTGATGTTCTGGACATAATCTCAAGCATATCTATATCAAAGACATTCAATTAAAATGAAATTATCAAATACATAAAGGAGGCAACGATAGTTCTTGGCATGTATTGAAGAGTTTGAATATCCAATAAAGTGCAATCAATAAGTTGACATAACTTTCTAAATACTTTTTATTAAGATTTAAATACATTAATAAGATTCTTCATTTGCTTTTCGAAAAAACAGATTGATCCCATGATTGCTTGCGTAGATGTCCCATTAATCTGTAAACCAATTTATCCAATATGTATAGGACGGTGGATTCACTTACCATTTGAGTGTCTAGATATATAAAGAATAGGCAATTACAAATAGTATGTCCAATTCCATATTTAAGATCTCACTTTACTTATAGCCATTATTGGCAGCCTTCTGAAATTGCATAAGACAAATAGGATTGACTTCTTCCACTTTGTTGGCAATCAATAAACTGGCCAATCCAACTAATTAGATATTTTGCTTGTTAGCTTGTTTCTTGGACAAGTAGGAGTCTAGATAGAAGATTGACAAATGAAATGTTTAGCGCTTTAATCTGTTGCCCATGGCTGTCTCCATCATCCAATCAATCACTATAGCTCTTATGAGCCAGGTGATTTCGGTCTATTTAGTTAAATAATATGGGTCAGCCAAGTATATTCTTTCTTGGTTTATTAAGGGATCGGGTTCAGTTTTAATTCTTTCATCAAGATTAACATTGTGTACAACGATTTCATTTTCGTCACATGTCAAATCTAATTCTTTTGGATTCGAATTTGCTTGTGTAGAGCCCAAAAATCGAGATTCCTTTCGATCTATTGATGATGATCTTGATTTTTTATTTGGACTTCTTACAATCAATTAAATGTCTGCAGAGGCACATCTTTAAGAAGTCTTTCTGTAATGAGAATCATTATTTTTCAAATTTTCTTTGAATTCATACAGTAAATTGTTATATTCTTAAGAACATCGACACATATCTTCAATTACTCCATTGAATTGTAATTTATAATTATTCTATGAACGTGAAGCTTTGGCAATCGATAATATTTTTTAAGTTAGTTTGTCATTGGAAGCTCCTTTATTTAAAATAAATACTATCTTTAATACGACTTCCACTACTGGAATTGTTGAGAAGAACAGCATTGGGAAAACTAATCTGTCTCACTTTTTTTGATGGTTTATTGATCCTATTAAAGGAATTCTCTTTGTTTTGCTTCTTATAATTTCTGAACTATTAAAGTAATTAATGAAAAGTGACTGAAACATCGCGACCTTATATTGGTCGTGAAGTAGTGGAAGGTTGTATATTTTAAATGCATTTTAACTATTCGTAAGGTTTGCAAAGTCTTTCTGTGTTCCTTTCTTTTGAGTTTTTGATTAATTGAGTGATTTGCTTCAAAATTTATGGTTGGATGGGTTTCACATTTTATTTCGGTGATCTTGATTGGGTAAAACACTTTGAAGGACTAACTATTATTATAACATACTTACTTTAATGTCTCAATTTAAACTTGTCGCTTATGCATAAAATGTTATATTAATTCAAATTTAATTTATCAAAAATGTTATTAAATAAAACAAACTCTCAGATTAAACTTTATGATGACAATGATATTAAATGAAATAACATAAAATCAATCAATTTTACCACTTCATCTTGATCAAATACTTAAGTCTCACCTAAGCAACATCATACACTATAAATTCATTGTGCCACAACCCTGACTTCTTCTCAACATCTGAAGGTTCTGGCTTACCAATTGGAACCTTCACTCCAGGTAATCCAGGCATTTCTACATATGACTTCTCAGGAGGGTAACTTCTAGCTTTACCCCAAGTGCAATGCTTTCCCTTAGGAAGATTGCTAGCATTATGATCAGAATCCAATTTTATATTTGGATTTCCTAATGCAACATCACAAAGCAAAATCAACCCAGTCTTTGTTGTTGGATCTGGACAACAATAGCTTGCTGATTTTTCAACCACATCTGCCAAATAGACACCCTTTAATTATTTATTAAATTGGTTACTTTTCCAAATCTATATCCAGTAACTGGAGCTTCAGGTGGAGCTATTCTTAAACCTTGACCCAAGATACCCACAAAGTTGGTTAAACGAGATCCATGCCATAAAAGCATTCTATTTCCAAGATCCTTCTTGAATCTCTTATCATCTTAATCTTTTGTCAATTCAAAGACATCTTCAACCTCCAATTTATAATATCCCTATGTATTTTGTATGAATTTCTTGATTGTCTTCACCTTCTCACTATTATGATCCAAATATTTCAAATCTATGTTAAGTTTTTTGTAGTTCTCATCTATCACATTAGAATCATCTTTGCTATCCTCCAAAATTTTGGTTGCCACCTAAATGTGTTAAATGGCTTCCAACATTTCCAATTTAGCCTTCACTTTTTCCTTTGTATCAATAAGAGGTGCTTTGTTCATTCCAAAATCATGTGGAATCTAACTATAAAATTCACTCGTGAGTCTTTGTAATTCTACAACATTTTTATTCTTCTTATCCAATTCATCTTATATTTACTTCAACACATCAAATCCTTTTTTGATTGTTGTTGCTGCTAATTTACCCAATGGCATCTTCTTTGCATCATAACCAATTCTACTTTAGAATTATATTCTTACTCTCTCATTTGATTATTCATCATTTTCATATCAAAAATCAACCTAATCAACTCTTTCACTCTCTAATGCAACTTGCTCTTATTAAATGATTCTTTCTCTTTCTACTCTCTCAATTTCTCCAGTTTCTCCAAAGCCTTTGGATCATTTTCTCCTGAATAATCCTTCTCCAAAATACGATAGTCTCCTTTAACACTCTTCTCGTGAATCTTCTTCTGGTATTAGCTAATTGCTGATGATAAATCGCCTTAAAATGGCTACAAGGCCAATTATCCAATTTAACCAACTCTTCCCCATCTAGTGAATACAAAATAAGCGTCTAAATTTATTCATTTTCATATTTACTTTCATTCTTCTTTTTCAATAGTTATACAAAGTAAAACTTATTATTATTATTATCTTCCATAATATTTGTTTGATTCATTGCACAATCATAGATCTTACCGCCTTATTCATATACAACATAAGTATCCTTTTGATGAACAAATTCATCAACAGGAGCTGATCCTGTAAATGTAATTGTCTTCAATTCTGTTTTCTCTTTTTAAACCTTTTTGTTTGGAGGAGGAGATGGTGATTTCTTTTATGTCTTTTTCTTATCTGGAACATCTTTCTTTGCTGGAGTGGCTGTAGCATCCTTTTTGGATACAGATGATGATTTTGCATTATTCTTTGTTGCTGATTTTGCAGGTGGGGCAGGACTCACCGACTTTGCACTTGAACCTTTTCTGCCTGTAGATACACTTTTTGGTGTCTATTTTGCTACCACCTTACTAAATTTTATTAAATCTATATTACGTATTTTTTTATGCGGCTTTCGCATCTTTCTTTCCTTTTGCTGTCACTACAGGAATTACCTTCTTAGCTTTTGATTACGCTCTTTTGGGAGGCATTTTTCAAATATCTTTAAATTATATTTCAATTTCTAAGACCTTAGCATCAATATAAATGCTGGTATCAGAAAATAGCCAGAATTGTATATTAAAAATACTAGGCAATCAAAGATGATTATTCAAAATTCAAATTACCATCCTGTCAATGCTCAAGCTCTGATTCTTTGTTCTTTTAATTATTTAACTATTGCCATTATCAATAAATTCTATTTACTTACATGAATTTAAAAAAAGTATTTCAATTTTTGGCAAATGTTTTACTCTACCTTTTTCTACAAATTTTATACTTCAAGAAGAGATCCTCTTTAGCTAATCAGCTTAATTAGGGTAGCTTGAATACATATATACATAAAAGTGTGTGTATTAATTGTAGATGATTGTCAACATTCAAAATTAGTTTACAACTTTTTACAATTTTTGACTTATTTCAAGGATATCTTAGCAATATAGTAAGCTATAATAGTGTTAGTTGAAATTCTCTCTCAAAATTAATAAAAATCGTTAGAAGAAAATAATATTAAGAGAGATTACTTTGTAAGTAAAAATTTTAAATCATCATTTTTACAAATAAAATAAGAAAATAGAGAGACTTTCATATTAAGGGAGATTAAATGTTAATTGTTTTAGTCTAACCCTCTTTTTGTTCACTTCTCTAAGACTTTCTATTTCCCCTTACTTGGCTTATTAATAAATCTGCTTTTAGTTTTATAAACCCTCAATAAGTTTAAGGAAATAATAACACACAAAATTATCCTAATCTCATTAATTTTTTGAATAAAAATGAGTGTAAAACTCAGCTATAAACAATATATCTAAGGAAAACTTGATTTACTTGAGTTCATGATAGCTGAAAAATAGGCCAACGTGAAAAGATAAGAAGCTTAGAGAAATGAGCTGAATAGTTAAGGTATTTTTCAATATTGAATTTTGAGTGAGATAAGTCAAAGAAGAATTATAAGCTTTATAAGAGCCTCATTCTTATGTTGGAGATGTTGTTAAGCAAATGGGAAAAGATAAAGTATTGGTTAAAGTGAATCCAGAAGGAAAGTATGTGGTGACTTTAGATAAGAATATCAAAATTGAAGATTGCAAACCTAATACCAGAGTAGCTTTAAAGAGTGATTCCTATGTTTTACACAAAATATTGCCAACTAAAGTGGATCCTCTAGTATCATTAATGAAAGTGGAGAAAGTGCCCGATTCTACTTATGATATGATTGGTGGTCTAGACTAACAAGTAAAGGAAGTGAAAGAGGTCATTGAATTGCCAATCAAACATCCAGAAATATTTGAAAGTTTAGGAATAGCATAACCAAAGGGAGTATTACTCTATGGACCACCAGGAACAGGAAAAACTTTGTTGGCAAGAGCCATAGCCCATCATACAGTATTAATGTTTGAATCTATAATAGGATTGCACATTTATAAGAGTGAGTGGGTCAGAATTAGTTTAAAAATATATTGGAGAGGGTGCAAGAATGGTTAGAGAATTGTTTGTAATGGCACGTCAACATTCTCCATGTTTAATATTCATAGATGAAGTTGATTCAATAGGAGGAGCAAGAATGGAAGGTGAAAGAGGAGGAGATTCAGAAGTATAGAGAACAATGTTGGAATTATTAAATCAAGTATAGACTTTTATTAAATTAATAGTTAGATGGTTTTGAGTCTACTTAAACAATTAAGATTATCATGGCTACAAATAGAATTGATATTCTAGATGCTGCTTTGTTGAGACCTGGTAGAATAGACAGGAAAGTCGAATTCCCCAATCCAGGAGTTGATGCTAGATTGGAAATATTGAAAATTCATTCTAAAAAAATGAATCTAATGAGAGGAATTGATTTGAGAAAGATTGCTGAAGTTATGCCAGGTGCTTCTGGTGCTGAATCAAAAGCAGTTTGCACTGAAGCTGGTATGTTTGCATTGAGGGAAAGAAGAATTCATGTCACTTAAGAAGACTTTGAAATGTCTGTAGCCAAAGTAATGAAGAAGGACATTGAGAAGAACATGGCCATCAATAAAATGCTTAAATGAATGCATATATATAATATTATTATTTCATTGAATTTGTTTGGTTAACGCTTATACTTAATGCATTATTTATTTGTAATTAATGAATAACAGAGAGTACGACTATTTGTTCAAGCTTGTTATCATTGGGAATAGTGGAGTTGGTAAGTCCTCTCTACTTGTAAGATACACTGATGACACATTTAGTGAAAATTATATCTCCACTATTGGAGTTGACTTTAAGTTAATTCAAATTTTAAAATAGATTCAAAACATTTAGACTAGATGGCAAGGGCTTAAAGTTATAGATTTGGGATACTGCTGGCTAAGAGAGATTCAGAACCATTACAAATGCATATTATAAAGGAGCTGATGCGTACTCCAATATTTTCTAAGCAATAGAATTGTCATTGTCTATGACACTACTTGCTAGTCATCATTTGAGGAAATCGAAAAATCTTGGATAGATGAGATTCACAAGCATGCAGGAAAGAATACTACCGTCCTTTTAATTGGAAATAAAAGTGATTTACCAAATAAAGCTGTTATTACTGAGAGAGCATAAACTTATGCAAAAGAGAAACTTATGCTATTCTATGAAACTAGTGCTAAAACATCACATGGAGTATCCCAAGCATTTGAAGAATTGTCAAGGTTACTCATCATTAAAAGAAACATGAAATTAGAAGAGAAGAAATTCAGAAGAAAATAAAAAAATGTATGAGATCTCTTTAATAATAGGATTCATCTGCTGCAGGCTCTGATAAAAATCATGCTTCTTATACTCAAAATGAACCATAAGAGAATATTAATTTATGGTTACGACCAAATCCAAAGTAAGAAAATGAGAAATAGTAATAAAAATGTAATTGTTGATGTTTGTTTATAATTAATAAAAAGTATATATTATGCATTTTTATTCAAAACACACAAATTATTAATAGAATTTGTCATTTTTACTTTCAGATTCTATGGAAAATGGGGCTCATATTTCAAATTGATTTGAAAAACCAACTAGAATTATTAATAAAAAAAGTGAATTCGGTGAAAATAAACAAACTAGAATAAATAATAAAATAAAAAAGTATAACTAAAAGCAAGAAATATGAGTCTCTATAATAATTTGATTGAGGATAAATTTATTCACATTCTTCTCTTTCCACCTCGCTTTGATTGTTTAACATTAAATTTTCTTCCTTTTTTTATTTCTTCTTCTTCAAAATTGTCATCATCATCCTTTGGCTTTCTTCTTTATATGTTTTTTTTGCTATTTTATGGATTTTTAATTTTTTAAACTTTAGAATCATCATCTAATTTTTCTTCATATTATTGGAGATTTTCTTATATTCTTTTTTTATAATTTTATTTAGCTTCATCAAATTTCATAAATTGAATATTGTTTTAAATTTCTTCAATATCCTTTTATTCTTAAGTTTAGCATTGCCTCTATTTTTTATTCATTTTGCTGTTAATCTGTGACTTTAACGCTTCTTCTTTTTATTACCAATACATTTTCTCTTCATTATTTAATTTTTACCATTATTCAACTATTTATTCTGCCTATTCCAACTTTTGTTTAGAATTACCAGTTCCTATATCTAAAATCTTTTATTCAAAAAATAAATTAAACCCAATACACACTTGATCATTTTTCATTAATTACAGGGAGTACTTCAAAAGCTTTGAACCTTCCATTTAAACACTATTCTACTTTTAATATTGAATGTTTTCTAAATTCAAAAAAAACAAATTCACTTCAATTTTAAGTCACTTCTTTATTTAATATGAGATAAATTAAATAAATTTTAGTTATATCTCTAATTAAAATATTATTCATTAATCAATGAATTTTATTCATAGTCTTCATTCTCCAAACATCTAATTCCATTTATTTATTTATCTTTGAATCATGAATTATTTGAATTATTAAAACATTTTTATTTTCAATATATTTGCTAGGATGCTTTGATTTGTTATTTGTTAATATTAAAATTTATATCTTAGTTATTTAATATTGCTATTGATCCATATCACTCACAATTGACTAATAAAATTCAGAACAAAAGTGAAGAAATTTATTCCTAAGTCCAACTCCAAAAATAAATTAAAGCATTCTATTTATAAATTAGTTCATCTCTCATCAATTAATCAAATGTTATCTAAATCTATAATTTTACAATACTTCATGCAATCATTTTGCTACAATGAGACTGGATTTAACATTAAATTTTAATAAAGAAGTATGACATTATTCTATTATATCAGATGATCTTTAAAGGTGTGCAAATGATAAATCGAAAACAAATTTTGTGTATTTTTTAGTTCATTACGACGGATAGAAGAAAAAATTCGATTGATTATTAAATAAAAAATATTTTTATATAAATAATAGAATTAAAGAATAATATCATACTATTAACATGGAATCAAATTTTGCACATAAATTTCTTAATAAGCTACAGCAATCCTTCATATTATCGTTATTTTATGGACAATCATTATTTAGATTATTATTTCTTGCATAATCAGATTATAGATGAAAGTATTAATTTGCAATTCTGAATGTCTAACAGAGTTGGCTTTTTACTATGAATGTCACTATTTCAATTATGGAAAGAATATAATTTATTTAATATGTTTGAGATTTCAATACTTACAATCGCTGTTTATGGTATTTACTCTAAATAAATAATTTTTTTCTATCGAGCAAACCGAATCATCTGGAAACTAGTAAATCTTCAAAAATGATACATATCACACTCAAACAGCTTTATTTTATGAGTCTGAGACTATATACTATGATTTAGATAAGTATAATTATAATATGAATTTGTATATATTTATCCAGTTTTTATTCTAAAAATGACATAATTAATCGCAATTGATAAGTTGATTATTTTAGTCTTATATTAATTAATTAATTTATTCAATTTCTATTAAAGTATGATTTCTTGCAGAAGCATTTCATAAGAATTCAGTTTGAAGGAAGAGCATCTCACTATATTTAAATCCTACATCGGAATAACCGCAGGGGGAATGGATAAAAAAGTGGCCCAATCACTAAACAATGTTTTTGCCACAAATATTCATCAAGCATCACAAAATGCAGATAAATTAGTCTATAATGATTTTGATGTGGCCTTTGCTGTAGGAATAGTATTCAAACTTCTTGTTGGATAGAAAATTGAATTCCTTGATTATTTTTGTAAATAACAATATCATTATTTAGGTTCATAGTATTCAAAAGCAAATGATAAATAAAAATATGCCTTAGATTTACTCAAATATACTGTCTATTAACTTGATAAAAGTGACCCAACATTCTACCTAAACACTTTGTTAAAAAATAAAAACATTCCTAATCAATAATTATAACAAGGAATCAGCTTGTCTAAGATTTACACATTTGTTCATTTGTGCGAATTGGGTGCATTTTTCAAACCCTTTTAAGTCTCTTTCCCTAATGTCTTTTGGTAAGGTTATGAGAAAATCAATATGAAGGATGTGAGACCTGACATAGATCTTTACTTTTATTAACCTTCTCCATCATTGTATTTTATTATTGTTTATATTTTAGCCCAATTCTTGTATTATAATAATATGATGATGTCCAACTTTTATATAAGATATTCCAAGAATATTAAGTTTTCATGACACATATTTCAACTTAATTGATTTTGGATGCAGTTGCTCGTCAATTATCCGTAACTTCAGAAAACCTGAAGAGTCAACCATACAAAGTACCCAACTTTAGAGAACTGGCATTGATTTTATTTGCTGGGCAACCATAACTAGAAGATAAAATAGGAAAGTTTGAGAAGATACCTAAAATGTAATCAATTTAGAAATATATTTAGTGGCGAAACCTTGAGTTTCTTAATTAATCCTTAAGCTTCATTCGAGATCATCAAGAAAGATTTGTCATAATATTAAGAATAAGAGGTTGCTAAAGAGTAGGTGGACTAAAATTAGAATGCAAACCAAGTCTTTGATATTTTTGCTACACAAATACCAACTTCTAGTTAAGCAGTTAATAATTTGAGAAAGACAATTTCATATTGATTAATAAGATAGATATGTTATCAAATAAAGCATAAATTATAATTATCAAATTATACCAAATTTCTTAATTACTTTCTTTAAATCTTCCATATTTAAAGGTTTGTCCAGGTGATCATTAGCCCCACATTTTTAGGATTTTTGCTTATCATCAGATCCAGTGAAGGCAGTGACAATTATAATCAGAGATTGAGTTAATCTTTAAATTTATTCAAATTTTCTTATTTCTTATGTACATTAGTATCCGTCCATTTCTGGCATATTAACATCCATAAAAATGACACTCATTTATTCTTTAGAGTATAAATCAAAAGCTTGTTTTCCATTGAATGCTTTATAGAGTTTACAATTATAAATCACCTAATTTAACATAGCACTCAAGGCGATGATATTAAAAGGAGTATCATCAACAATTAATACTTTTAGACATTCATCAGTTTGACTATCTAATTTGTAATACGTTTAAGCTTTCTTTTGTATGGTCTTTCTTTTTTTAATGATTTAGTTTAAGTTTTTATAAGAGGGAAATCTTGGAACTATTTACTTTTCATTTAAATCCAATTCCTATAATGAATTTTCTAAGGATTGCTGTAATTTTCTGAAAATAATAAATTTAAACGTAGATCCCTTGCCCACTTAAGATTTCAGATCAATTTTATCAGTTGGCCCTAGTAAAGTTACTAGTTATTAACTAATAGTTAATCCCAAGCCAACACCATGTCTATTATTATTTCCTATGTCAAAAGTGCTGTATAATCTAAAGAGATTTTTCTATATATCCTCAGGTATTCCATACCCAGTATCAGAGACTGAAATTTCGATTACATCTTTTTCATTAGACTAATTAGCTGTAATTACAATCTCGCCCTGCATTGTAAATTTGATGGCATTTGCAACTAAATTAATTAAAACTTATTTTAATCTGTTTTCATCAGTTAATAACTCAGAGTGATCGGGATCAATGTGATTCCTCCAAATCAATTAGACTCCCTTTTCATTTGATTATCTAAGTAACAAGGAGTTGATGAATTTAAAAGTGTTATTCAAATTGAATGGTTTTGGAATCAGCCTTAGATACCCTTTATTGATTTAGCTATAATCAAGTAGATCATTAATCATGGATAATAACAATTAACCTGATTGATTAAATTCATCGAGATGACCACAAAGTTATTCAATATTTCCATGCGTAATACTTGATTTCTATTAGAGTATGTTTTGCATGATGCTAATATCAATCATCATTCCATTTAATGGAGTCTTTAAATCGTGAGATACTGTAGCTAATAATCTATCTTTATATTGATCCAATTCTTTTAAGTGCTTCAATCTTATCTTCTCTGAGATATCATTCATTATGACTAAAATAGAATGTTTATTTTCCCAAATACAATGCAATACTCTGATTTCAAAATGTGATTTTATTTTTAATTATTATTTTTAAGATAACGCCACCTTACTTTATGAATCAAATCGAAAACATAAAAAATAGTCACTAAAATCTGATATATCGTATTCATTTTAAATCACGGTAGTTCTATTTGTCTTTAATTACTATGTAAATTATTCTTCGAATTGTCCCATTTTTTGATATAATACATCATAAATACTTACACAAGAATTATAAGTATCCTATTCAGATTCTTATTCAGTCTGTATGTAAATGCTTTTTAACTTTTTGATAATTTCATTTTCATCTGAAACTTATAAGTATTTAATTGCAAAATCATTACTATATATTAACTTCATTTCTTTACCCGAATTTGTGGAATCTTATAAATCATCATTGTTCTCAGTTAATATTAATATAGAATTTGGAACTGTTTTATCGAAGATGTTCTTACATGCATGCAGATTTGAAGTCTATTAGCAAATTGTATAGAAATCTATTCTTTTGTAATATTCAAGAAATCTAAAGAATATCAGCATCATTAATAACAGAACATAGAATGTCCAGTAAATTGAGCCCAAATTTCCCATCAATCCAATAAATAAAATTGTTGCTGCTATCAATATTAATCCTTAAATAAACCACAAAGGACAAACAAGTAAATAACTAATAATTAATAATCCAGTTTATATTCCACCACTTACAGCTTATGAAGTCGTTTGTCTGCCGCATGGTTTATTTATCAATTAAGCCTACACGTAAACATAAGCGATCAAAATTGTTATCACACAACTAAAAAATTCAGAAATTGCTATGAATGATTTATAATGAATTCTTTTTATATTCGCTTACAATATCATGCAAATTATATGCCAAAAGCAAAATGCCACTCTAAAATAAGCAACTTAATAATTTTTCAAAAAAAATTGATTGTTTACGAAATAGATAACGTTAATGAGGAAATGAATTAAGTATTATAATCGAAACAATACTATGATTCTTTATTTTTCTTTATTTGAATATTTTTCCTCCAAATCTTGATTTATAAAAGTTAATGTCCATAAATTCATAATTTTCTTTGTTCCTACGTCAGCTTTTTCTTCAGGATGAAAAAAGAACTTTATAAAAAATTGATATATTTTAAACATTTAATATTGTAATATATAGCTTCCATAATAAACCCTTTTTGATTAAATGCTAATTCAATTAGGTACATTATTTTTTGTTACCCAAGAGAATATTTAAAATTGATCAATTAATCTTAACAATTTATTTTTGCTTTAATCTAAATATTTCAAGCAATTATATGCTATACTTAAATGCACCTAATGGATTTACATTAAAAATTACTGAAAAATCTATCAGTCTAACAGAATTTGACCTAATTTTTGAATATTCAACTAAAGTTCCAAATATACATAGAATGATTGCTTATTCGCAATTTTAATATTGATTAACCATTTTAATTCAATTGGAATTAATCTAATAAATCGCAATTGTTTAAGTTACTCTTAAATTATTGATTACAAAAAAAAATTATAATATAAATGAAAAATAGTTATTGTTACATTTTGAGCACAAGCTTAATGAATTGAAATTTTCATGTTTTTTGTATGTTCTTGCCACCTCAGAATATTTGTGAAATAATTATTTTAGAATGTTGCCTATTAACTTTAAAAATGATAAATGGATGCCATCCAAAGAAATGAAATACATCCATATATGAAAAATGGAATTTATAGTCAGTAAAATAGAGAACTTAAATCTATTTGGCTGTCTTAAAGAACAATAATAATATCAAATGTGACTCAAAAACCTCAATGGGGTTATTTAATAAAATTCATAAAGTCTCCAATAAAATGTTCTTAATCAAAACAAATAAGGAGAGGAAAATTTCAATTAACTTAATTATTATTTTTAGAGGAACAATTTTATATGTATCATTTTGGTTTAATTAATTAATTAATATAGACCTTTCTTATATCTTCAATCCTCTAATAGTTCATAAAGTAATCTTCCAATCTCTAATTTGAATATGTAAGATCTTAATTTATACATTTTTAAATCAAAAATAAAAATATAATTCTTAAATAATATATCGGTAATGTTTAATTCATCAATAGGCAAAGGGGTTTTAGAAATGGAATTTAGATCAAAAATTTTAAATAAGCAAATTTGGTTTATAAATTTTATTAAATTAAATGAATTAAATTTAGGTAATGAAAGCTAGTATACATCAGAATTCAAAGGTTGCTATGAGCGTAGGAGATTTTAATGTAAACAATAATGACCTTGATAGAATAGAAAAATTAACAAGTTTTAGAATTACTCAGAAACTTTGTTCTAGATTATTCAAATATTGAATTGTTTAAAAGTCTAATACTTGAAGATTGTAATCCTGATACCACGTTTGCTCTTTATTCAATTATCTAAAAAGGTCTTATAAATGGGGATCATTTTACAAATTTGCCTCATTAAAAAGTAAGCACTGAGTACTTTTATAATGAATATGATCATCGAATGAATATTACAGAAATTTGCACAAAACATATTGAAATTGCTCTAATTTATTTGCAATCAACTCATAATCATCCAAATTATGTACAAAATTAAGTAATCTTTACAATTGCACTTCTAATGAGAAAGAATTGGGTTGACATTTTAAAAATTGAAGATCTCATAAGTTAAATTATCAACAGCACTATTTAAGCAAATAAAATAGTGTTTTTTAAAATATTTGAAAATTTAATAAGTTGTATTCGATAATACTCCTATGCTAATGGGTATATTGAATTTAGAAAAATCCTCAATAACTTTTAAATGTAATTGCATAATTCTATTATAGGTTATCCTTATCGAAAATAATATCAGCTATTCATTAACAAATTTAACAATTATAAGGATCTTCCTTGTTGTAATTATATACATAAAATAAAACAATGGCAGAATCCTTTATTAACATATTATATCAGTTGATGAACTTGAATTTTAACTTAAGTTATTATGAGATTGATATGGACAATGATGGAAAGGACACTTCCTAATTGACCAATGTATTTAAGCCAAATTAATTCTTAGTTTCCAGATTATTATTTAGACTTGATAATCGACCCTATATTTTTGAGAGAACTGTTCCAAGATACAATTGGGTTCATAAACGTTGACCAAAATCTATCTCTATAGTGTATAACCATGCTTTAAAGGATTGCTTGTGTGAGATTATCTATATTTCATAATAAGAAATGTAAAGGAGGATTTAGAAGAGCAATGTGGGAAGGACTGCTCTATTTATATTAGAACCAAGATTAATTTATTAATTACGTAGAATTCTCATCTGAAATACATTCCTTAGCAGTTAGGGTTATTAATAATCTTACATTGAGAAAAATAGCAAAATTTTAATTTCAATTTGATAATTTTTTTTAGTTGATATAATAAGTCTACTAAAAAACCATTTAGATATATGGAGTCAAAGTCATTTTGAATAGTCCAATAATTAAATTATAAGAACTATGGAATTAAATTAGTTATTAGGGATCATTACATCAGCCTTTGCATGAGGAATTTAATGTAAAAATAAGCATGGTTATGTAAAATCAATTAATTTTGGTATTGAAAGCTTTTTTTTAATAAAATCAATTTACAGAAATCCCTTAAGAATGCAGTGTTAAAAAGTTTAAAAAATTATTGGAATTAACCTTTATGCCTTTTCATTGTCTTTTTAAATCGCATATCTAAGATAATATCAATCTTATTTAACAGATGATCGAACAATTAAGAGGGGATAATGAATGTATGAAAATTAGTAATAATTAGATTAATGTGCTGCTGTCATAAGTCTCACAATAGTATTTTTGTTGCATACATCAAACACTGAGATCTTAAATATGGGGTTTGATTCCTATAACTTTGGATAGAAGGAAGAACCAAAACCTAATCTTGATGGCTAATCGTATATCCTAAAATTTATAGTGGAACTGATCATGAATTAACAAGTGCAAAAAAATACAAGAATTTTAAAAATTGCAATCTTATCGTTCATAGAAAGCTTTATTGCAACAACAATTGACTCTTTTTGTTATGATTAAGAAACTAAAAATTTCAAGAATCTTTCTCAAATATATTCACAATTGATTCGTATAGATCAAAGATACCAAAATTACGTCTTAGTTTTAGAGACTATGCTTGATGAATGGTAATATATACTCTCAAATATCATAGTTTCTAAGTATTTACCTATGGTGATCCTCAATTAATAGAATTCAGTCTTAAATTAATTGAATTTATTTATTAGAAAGTCAAAAAGTACATTCCCAGAAAAGTATTCAAGGCTTGCACTATCACAGACATGTTGAAGCAGTTCTTCTTATAATTAAATATCACTTGTCTGAATACACCTTAATATATAAAGAAGAGAGCTATGGTCTTTAAAATTATCACTATTGTTTGGGTGGATGATTGCTCTGATGATTATCTTAATGCACTTGTTGACATTTACAACCAAATAAAGAAAAGCATTTAGATTGAGATGAATAAGCTTAATATTCTAAAATACGTTTGGGATCTTATTGGTATTGCATCCGAAATAGATGTCGATAATATTTATAGAGCATTCTTAAGAATAATGTATATAATAAAATGAATCAATTAGATATCCTGATCTTGCAGGACTATTGACACAGGAAAATATTGAGCTTTTTGCTAAAGATTACGATTCTTCCATTGCCATCATCACATTGTTCAAAGCCATATTTTATAATAAGTATTAGTTTATACATATATTACACTAGAAACACGAGATTGTCAACTGAAAACATTTAACTAATATTATATCAAATTTATGGTAAAGCCATGAAATTCTTCATCATACTAATTTAATAGTAAATTTAAACAGCAAAAACCCAGTAAAAGCTATCAGATTTGTAATTGAAGTAAGTATCCAAACTTTTCGCACTAATGAGTCAAATATCAGGATAGAAGAAAATTAATTAAGGATTTTTCATTATTTATAATGATTAATCTTTTCTGGAACTTTTTACCTTATAGATACAACTCATCTTAATTTATCGACCATTGCTTTAACATATCCCAAAATACAAAAAATTGCTATATGAATGTTTTGATTGCATATGTTAGGACCATTCAGAAACATTGGCTTACAAGTGTAACTTGAATTTGTATCTTGATATATTCCTTATTTGTAAGGAGTCATTAAAAGACATTATTTATGATAATTAAGGTGAAGATACAATAAATGAGAATAGTGCCACACTAATACTAATTGGAACTCTATTGAGCAATATATCAACATTTTTAGTTTAAGAAGCTTCGGTTGGAGACATCAATGATTTACAAATGATAAAAAATAAAATAAATGGAATAATTGTATAGGGAAAACAAATACTATTTGACATTTTTAATTTGAGCTGCTAAATCACTTTAATTTATCCCAAAAATTCGAAACTAATATTTGCCATTCCAGAAATCTTATATGCAGTTTCAATATTTAGCCCATAAGATGTAATAATCATATATAATCCTTTAGTTTGAGACTCTTCTCATCACAATGATAACCAATTAAATAGGAATAACAAAAAATCCTATCATTGATTAAATCAGTTTAGCTTTCAAAAACCTTTAGGGAGAGTTATAAATTTCAAATAAAGAAGATTTTACAAGAAAAATTAAAGTAGTTTTAGAAATGTATAAATGATCAAAATTATTTTAATATTAAAAATGATAGTTTAAATATTGTTAGCGTGATTACTATTAAAGTAACTAATGTTCTTACTTGATGTTGTTAAATTTTTCTAAATCTCCATAATTATTTCTTACTTTCAAAAATTATATTGCTTATTATAATAGTATTTTGATTATATTCCATATTTATATTATGAAAGAGTCAACTAGAATAATAAATATAGTTATTTGCTATTCAACATACAATAAATAATCTTTTGATGATAAATTCTTGATTATTAATATTATTAAAATTTTAACTATTTAATTAGTTAATCTGAAAATTTGGTTCTGAAATTTTCATCAATGATTATTTATTGTAATGGATGCTGAAAATTGCAGTTCTTTTGATAGAAAAATCTTTGAGTTTATTTAAAATGAGGATTTATTTGGAACTACTTCTCCTTAAAAAGAATCACCAATGCCAATATTAAAATTTTTTGATCCAGATGAGAGTCCAAATATACTTTCAGCAAAAAAACCTTTTCCAATTTAAAAAAATATAGTAAAACCAAAGGAAATCGAAAAAAGCATTGTCAAATGTAAATGCTTGAAATCAAAATGTTAAAAATCGTATTGCGAATGTTTTGCCGTTGGAAGGTCTTGTAGTATAGATTGCAATTGCTTAGGATGTAATAACTCGAACTGTTCTTAAAAAATAAAGAAATCATAATGTGGAGGGTGTAATTGCAAAAAAACAGGTTGTGTTAAAAAATATTGTGAATGTTATCTGAAAAAATAAAGATGCACATTTTTATGCAATTGTATCGACTGTTGTAATCAAGAAGATTCAGAGTCAGAAAAAGAAAAGGAAAAAGAGAATGAAAAAAATCATTGCATTGGGATACTCAGTTCCAACTTATTGATGAACAGTTAAATTACTGAACAATTAAACAAATGAACTTTATTATTAATATTATATTATGAAATAAGAACTATTATCACAAATCTCAAACCATCATTTCAATATAAACTGAAGATTCCATTGATTAAAATAGAAAATTTTATAAATAAAGAATAAATTCAGCTTATTTCTTGATTGTCTGGTTTGATTAAATGGCAATAAATAGGGAAGAGCTCTGTTGGTATAAACTATTTGAGTCTAATTGGATCATGTTAATCAAATATTGGAGTGGCATGAAATGTCGATCTACCCGTATCAAGTCTTGCAGATCGAAATGAACTAGAATGTGGGGATGTATCTTATATTATCTTCATTTTTTCTCGATGCGAAACCTCATTTACGGTTTAATTTTATTTCACTTTTTTATCCTTTTGAAATATTAATTATAGTTTCTTGCTCATTGGACTATTGGATGTTGAAATAACACTCTGCTGCATCATTTTATTAGTTCGAGGGGATTCTTTTGTAAATCTTATAGTATATTCTTTCTAAATGATTTTATTTAATAGTAATCTATCATTTATTATTTCTTACCCTTAAATCAAAGGGTTTTCTAAATCAACTTGTTAATAATTGGGGAGCATCTTCTGATGTAATATTACAGACTTTCTTAAATAGATTGATGACAATATACTTATAGATTTCTTCTAGACTTTAATCCATGTGAGAATTCTTCATTACATCTGTTCCTTGGGCTTATGGGATGAGGTAGGTGATGCCTTTCCTTACTTTCCTTAGATATTAAATCTCTTGTTTTTAGGCTTATGATGCCTTAACAGAATCGTAGAGAGATGGCAATTAAAATTTTGGTATGACTTCAAGGTTGTCCATGTTTTCGCTTTCCTATTGTAGCAATTTGATTTAAGGTTCCATATCAAGTATTCGTTTATAGTCTTGTACTTTAATCATATATAATTCTGCAAAATGAGAACTCACTCTAGCATTAATTGAATAGATTCCAGTCACAATGTCTCCAACTCCAAAGGCAGTTTGTTCTCCAAGGACTTTGATCATTTGATGAACAAACTTTTTTTTATTTAATTGGTAATATTATTCAATCTATTGATTAATTGGTTCCTTTTTAAATATTTCTATTTCACCTTATTTGATCACATACACAGCATCGCATTTCTATCCTTCTTAGAAAATTAAGTGGCCCCTAGTGAATTCCACGCTTTTAATAGATCTATAGATGTAATCAATTTGATAATTTTTCAACTGACTGAAGGCAGTGACTTTACTCAAATAAATGAGTTCGCTTTCTCTACTTCGTTTAGATGTTGGAGAAGCCTTTGTCAGACTTCTAGTTTGGCGAGGACCATTATTGTTAGATTACTCAGTTATTTTATTAATCATAATATAAATAAATTATGAATATTATTTAATTTCTTTGACACTTCTTTCTTTCGTTTTCTTCGTTGTTAAATTAACAAAAAAACCAAAATCATGTAATTTAAATTAGATATCAAGAATTAACTTTTTTTATATAAAACATAATTTACTATATTTTTCCAGATGAAAACAGGGAATGAGAATAATCAGGATCGCGATTTAGACATCTATGGCATTTCACGATCCTATTCCTAAACAAAGTTACAAAATTAAAGTAACATTTCCAAAGAGAAGACTTAAAAAAATGAGACTGTATTTGTTATGTAATCTCTAGATGGATAAAATATAACTAATGAAAGAGAGAGAGGATATGCAAGGGTCGGTATAATTGAATGATTTGAATATCTTGGGACTCAAAGATTATTATTTGGGATCCGATGATAATCATTCGGAAACCAAACCTAAACCAAACTAAGAAAACTCTGAAAGTCCTCGCTTTGATTTTGAATAAAATGAATACTTTAACAATACATTAGATCAACTAGGCTTTAAATTAAATGAAGTGATTGGCCACTACTTAAATGAACTCACTTCTCAACCCAGATTGTCATTAGATTCGATTTCATTGTAAAATAGTGAAAATTTAGATGAAGAACAATAACAATAAATTCTAGATTTTGAATTAAATGCACTCAGATAACGTATTTACAAAGTAAGACTTGTGTCTATTATTCAAAGCAAATTGTGGATAAAATAAATCTCTCTGTTATTTAATCTGTAAAATCATTTGGTTCATCTTGCTAATTGAATTCGCAATCAAATATCATTACAACAGCCTTTTCTAAAGAACTCATCACTAGTACTACTCCTATCTCACAAATATCATAAAAATCCCCTCCGAAATCCTTATCGATTTCATTTTTGGATATCCAATCGCAGCTGCATCAAAGTATTCATTCTATTCAAACTAAAACAAACAAAAAAATTGATGATCAACCAAACACACCTACTGAAAGTGACACATCGAAAGATGAATTGTACAATAAACTTAAATTTTCATTAACCTTAAATTATTAACAATAGCATTTTAATCATTAACTAAAAGAAGAATTGTCGAAATTGGAAGTATTTATTTTTAAAATTATTTTTAAAGAAAAAGAACCAAATTTCAGAACACATTGAGGATGCAAATCATAATAACATACTGAATGAAAATTAACGATTAAAAGAAGAAAATGCAAAAATGATTGAATTCATTTAGAACACAATTTGTGATAAATGCAAAATAATTCCTAAGAATTTTTGATTTAATATCTAAAACTATAAATTTCATTTGTTAAGTTTATTTGATTTGATGATAGGTAGTAATTAATCCAAAACTTTATGATATTTTTAGATTATTGATATTATCTATTATTTCTCATCCCCTGAATGAAAACTTTTGTGCTTTGTAAAGATCTTCCCTTGATATTTATAATTCATTATAGGTTGAACATTAAAGCTTTTTTCTTAACTAATTGGTTGTTTCAATTTATCTAATCTTTGACTAGATTTAGAAATCTTTGGATTTTATTTTTTGGGCTTGTCAAAAGTAGAAGTTCTAAAAATGAATTCCCAACAATACTTACATTTTCTGTAGTTTTAAATGCATCCTAGCATTTTCCTTCTGTACATTCTCTTTCAATTCAATTGACTTTCTAGAATTACAAGAACTGACACTACGAATTGATTATCTTGAATACAAGAATATTTTATTTATTATTTACAGATTTTTGAAATGAAGATTCGACATTATTTATCTTCTTAAGTAATTTCTAATTTTATTTCATTATCCCTTCCCATCTATTTATTTCCTATTTCCTAGCAGTGATATATCTATTTTGTTTATATATGTCAAGTGTCTTGTCTAATTTTGGAATAGAACACCTTCTTTGCTAGATATCACTTAGTCTTCTCTTATGAATTAGTAGTTCTCTAAGCAATAAATCTAATACTTTACTATGTATTTTTTTGTTGCTTAATTCTTTACATAGTTAGATAAATTAATAATGTTAATATTAATTTCTGTCTTAACTATAAAATTTTATTCAAATGCATGATTTCTACCTCATAATTCATCAATACTTTTATAATAATTTTAATAAGCTAATTTAATCTATCTATACTTTCTGAATATTTATATTTAGACAAATTAATAAACATATGAAAATGTTTAAAACCTAATAGCAGATAACATTGCCTAATTTTTCAAAATCTTTCGAAATAGCATCGAAATAATTAAATACACAAAATTATACAATGTGTTAGGAAAATAAAGAAGAAAATGAAAAATGAGATGAGATGAGATAAATAAATTAGAAACAAAAAATAAATATATAGTTAAATCAAATTTGATTTTATTGATTGAATTTCACTTTGCATTATATACACATAAAACAAATTATTTAGATTAAAAGAGGATCCTTTATTAAATAATTCTAAAGTATGTTATTAATTAGTAGTATAATAATAAAATTCACAATAATTACATTAATCTTAAAAAAAGTTCAAAAATTGGGTTGATAAAAAAGAAAAAAATTTTTAAACAATATTTATTTTAATTCAATGCAAAAATCATTATCTGCTAGCATCCTCATACTTTTAATTGTTGGATAAGTTCAATGTGGACTTTGGTAAACAATTGTAGAGAGCACTGTAGTTTCTGGTGTAACAACAGCTACAATTGCTATAGGTGCTAAAGTTGGTTTGGCAGCAGCTGGATTTTCATCAGTAGGTCCTGTGGCAGGAAGCTTTGCTGCAGCAACCTAAGCAGGTGTTGGGAATGTTGTTGCAGGGAGTCTTTTTTCTATAGCATAAAGCGCAGCAATGACAGGTGTAGTAAGTGCAGCTATTGTTCCTGCATCTGCTATTGGTGCTGTTGTAGGAGTTGGCTATTTGGCTACTAAACTTATGTGATGTTATTAAATGTCTCACATTAATATATAAAAATCAAAAAAGATTCTCTCTCATCTAATAAATATTAAATAAATATTATAATATTGTTAATATTTTCTTCTCTTTAGAAATGTTGAACATGAAGTTGAAGAATGTAATATTAATATTTATGATAATTAATATTTCATTTCATCATGAATATAACTTCAAAATATTTTCGCATCCTTCTTGAGTGCATCCTGCACATTGACCATATAAGTATAAATGATGGTCAAGTTTCCATTAGGTTGGCCAAATGTATTTATTTCCACACTATAATTAACAATAATTAAATACTTTGGAATCTTCTCTCCCACAAACCTTGAAATTCAACATGTTTTCATCATAGAATATTTCATTTCCATAATGAGAGAATCCCTGTCCAGGTAAAGGAGTGTGTTGAAAAGTATCTTTATCTCTTATGATTCTAGCCAAGAATAAACCTTTTAATTCAGATTCAACATAATCAGCAAACTTATCATTTCCTATTCTTGGAGTTCCATAGTTATAAAATATGTTCACTCTTCCTACTGTTCTTTTGATATCAAGAGCTGCCAAGGTAGCTTCGGCTGCTCCTAAGGAATGGCCTGTTACTAGGATTTAGGCATCTGGGTAAAGAGTATTTAGATCCTTCACACAAGTCACAAGACCTTCAGCGATATTTTAATAGGTATCATAAAATCCTTAATGAACTTTACACCCTGTGCAATGTTAGTAATCTCTCTTTATAAAATCTAAATCATTTAAGTAATTCACAGTGTTAACACTTCCTCTGATAGCAACAACAATTCTGTTTTAATCCTCATCATAAGCACAATAACCTTATGCTTAAGCTTCTTCGTTGTGATGAACCTAGATATGTTTCATGTTTGGATGTCTTCTGCAAGGCTCGCAATCCCAACTATTAATTATATCAACCGAACAGTAAGAAGCCCTTGTGTATTAGAATATATCTTCTCCCAATTCGTGAACATATTGTTAAGCTTGCACAAATGAGCATAATAGGACAACAAAAATGATTTACTAATACGTCATTTCTTCGATTGAATAATTTTAATAAATTATACAACTATAATAATGAATTTTAAACCTGATTTACAAGGATGGCAAGATTACGTTCAAACTCCAAATACTAATTAGTTAAAATTATTAAGCGATTCACTCAACAACTGCTAAGAATAACATAAATCTAATATGAATCCTTTCAGCAATAATTGGGGTAAGAAATGCATTACACAACAATCTTAATCTCCAAAATAAAGGCAGCTTCAAAAATCCCCATTTGCTGAATATCGCAAGCAATTCAATATAAGGAGATAAGCATCACCTCTCTTCAGAGAACATCAGTTTAATTTTAGTTAAGACACCAAACTAGAATTCCATAGAAATTTTAATAACTCCCATTAACATAAAAATCAAAAATAAAGTCTCGTCTTTCAAAATATGTAAAGATCTTAAAGACAACAATTAAGAACAAAATTAATGATGATATCCAAAGATTTAAATAATTCTTAAATTTATCATATTATTTAATTAATAAATAAATGAAATCCAAGTATATGAATATTTTATATCTTTATTTTGTAAGCATTACTTCTTTATAGAAGAATATTTTGTTACTTTTCGGAAAATAGAAATGTATTTTCTTATTATTTGAAGTTTAATAAAAGTTAAAATTAATTTGATTGAAATCATTAAACATTTCAATAGGATATCAATTTGATATTTAAGAAAACTCATCTTAGTTGAAAAATCTAGTAGAGCGAGAATATATTAAAATAATAAAATATATACATATTATTTATTTATGATAACTCATACTACTTTTCTTTTACAAGCACAAATCTTCATACCGCAATGAGGACATATTTTTTTAATTGAGGATAGATAAGTGTGCTCTTATTATTAGTTAGTAGAGTAGTCAAATATTTATTAAGGTTATGTATATTTATATGCTTGTGCCACATATTGTGGATTTGCTTTTGTGATAGAATCTAATTTAGTTAACTCTTCAACTACATCTTCCTTTTCTGGTCTATCATTTAATGTGCTCATCAAATTTTAAGTTAATGTAGCTGGTCCTGATCGTTTTCCTCCTTTTCCTGGACCTTTTTATGGAGGCTCAGGCTTTCTTGGCTAATCTTTAACACTCTTTTTTTCCTCTACAATCTTCATACCTCCATGAACTGTCTCACTAACTTTAAAAATGTATAAATTTTCTGGAATTAAAACATGTCTTTCTAGTTCCATGTTTTCAGCATGAACAAACTTGACTGCTCTATTGGTAGCTAATAAAGCTCCTTTTGAACTTAATTTAGGATTAAACAAGGCTCTAACATGACCATCATCACTTCCTAAAAATATCTAATTTAAAGTTGGATGCCATAAAACTTCAGTAATTGCTTAGTCAAATAATTGTACTCTGCAATTAATACTTAAGTCATTCACATTCAAAAATAGTAACTCTGTTGGTCCTGCAATATGATATCCATCTTTAAAAGTGTGATGGGCTGTTACAAGTATGCTTTCATTAAAATTTAAATCGAATCGAGTCGGTGGAAATCTGTTGATATTACAATATTAGAGATAAATATGATGATTTGTATTAGAAGTTTCCCAAAGTTTGATAGTATTGTCTACACTCTAGGAAATGAATCTTTTCTAATCAGCTAATATTTTAATTTTAGTCACATATCCTTTATGAGCATCATGAATTATGAATAATGGTCTTTTCTTAATTTCTCTGCAATTTTGATTGACTTCATAAGCTTTAATGGTATTATCACTACAAGAACACAACAAGAGTCTTCCTCTGATGGTTACACATTACACTAAGACTTTGTGACCTGTTTTATCAACACATTTAACAGCATCTTTGTGAGTTAAACATTATGCAACTCCATAAAGTTTTTTAGTCATGTCCCATATCCTTACTGTTCCATCATCACTGCAAGTCACAAAGACATCACTGAAATCTGGATGGAAACAACCAGAATTGATGGCTGCTGTATGTCCAATAGTTTTTAAGATGTCTCTAATGTACATATCTCCTCTATGAGTGTCCATCGTTCTCTTTCCTTCTCTATCCAATACACATGCTTATGCATCAGCACAAATTATTAATACATTTTTTCCATCTTTTGCCCAGCTTATCTAATTCACTTAATTACCCTCATATGGTGTGACCAACCTAAAACTATGTGTATTCTTATCCATGCCATAAAAGTCCCAAAATCTAACCACACAATCATATGCTCCTGTTACTAATCTTGACCCAGCATTATCAATTCCAATTGCTGTAGCCTATTTTGTATGTCCTTTAATCAATAATTAATGTGTTATTGGAAAGCTAGCCAATCTTTCTTTTTGAATTTCCATTGAGGGCAGTTCTTCATTTTGAGGTTTGTATTTCAAGAGAGCTCGTTTTGCAGCTTAGGCTTCAACTGCCTCCCTTAAAGCTGGATCTCTAGCTAAAGCAGCAGGATCAATGTAATCATCATCTTCATCTTAAAAATTTTAAACATTTCTCTCTGCTGAATCTCGATTAATTCTTACTCCATTACTTTCACTTACTTTTACTTATTTTTGAATAGGTTCATATTCAGGCTCAAACACTTCTTCATCAGATGAATAACTCTCTTCACTTGATGGTCTTGCTGGTCCGACCTATCCTGTGTATTAAACTAATTTTTCTGGAATTGCTATTGATGGTGTTTCAATAACAAACTCGGCTTCATCCGGAATATTTGGCTTAGTTGAAATAAACTTATCCTTTATTTATGCTTCTATCATTTATTTTATTATAATTTATAAATATGATCCAAAAGTTAATTCAATAAAAATAATATATCTATATAATTAATCATGCCACTGCCCTTCTAGCTTATATTAATCTTCTTCTTTATTCCTATCTGATAACATTATAATTGGATCTGAGCATTTATTTAATAGTCAGTATATCTTTGAAAAATATGGGAGTTTCCAAATTTTGTCTATCATCACAAAGGAACTCCTTAAGATGTTTAAATTTTTCTTCATTGCTCTTATAAATAGTCTCCATGGAAAAAATAAATTCACTATATTCTGAATTATATTTCTAAATTTTTTTGACAAAACCCTCATTTTTCTCATCTTTACTTTAAGATTCTAAGAATTTCCTTTGTTCTCTATAGGACATAATAAAACTTTGAATTTCTTTTAAAGAATTATTAGGTGAAGATAAAACTGAGAGATACTTAAATGGAGTTTATGATAAGTCCTTAAAAACAATCCCATCTTCCATCATATGTTCTACTATATATTTAGACAATTCTTCTTATTTTCCATCTTAATTTTTTCCTTTACATGTGAGGTTAGCCACATTATGAAGTTTAAATCCAATTTAATCATCTTGAGCATTATTTAAAACCTTCCCGTATGCTTTGACGTATTGGAAATATTTCACTAATTCTTCATCCTTCTTAAGCTCTTCCAACACTTCTTTAAATTATGTAACTGTATCTTCAATATGGTGTTTTCGATCAAGATGCTCCTTATAAAACCATTCTATTTAAATTGCTTTTCTAGGATTTCTATCATGTATATATTTGAGAAGAGTATCAATTTGGTTAGGTTAGAATTTGTCTTAACTCAGATTTTTTGATTAAAGTAGCTTATGCTTTTCAAAAAGCACACTCTCTAATTGTATTAATATATCGTTTTTCTATTCCTCTGATTCTGCAATATCAAGATCACTTTTAAGTTATTTCAACTTTGGCTCAACTTCTGAAAGTAATTGTGCAATATCGTTTTCTTTGAAAACAGCTTATAGGTCAAGTGATAACTTTCTCAAATCTTCATCAAACTCTTGATCAGCTTTTACTCTTTCCTCAATTGATAAAGTTTTTAATCTTTCTCCCTAATTCTTTTATAATTCTCTATCCGCTTCTAGTTATTTTTAAACATACTCTTAACTTTTTGTTTTAGCTAGGTTTATGTTGCTCTGGTGTTCTTCAAGAAACTTTACAGTTATATAAGAGATAGCTTTGTTGAGATGATCAAGTAACTCCTTATCTTAATTTTTTTCAACAAATTCAAGCTCATTTACCTATTTCATGGTCTCCTCTAAATTCAATCTCTTAAGCTTATTTCGTAGACTTTATAATTCCAATACTTGATTTTAGGCCGGATAAAAAGATTCCAAATATGAAACTACTTCTTTTTGTACTAACTTTGGTCTTGTTGCTTGCACTTGTTATCTCTATGTTTCCTCTTTTTTTATAAATAGTTTTAGAACTTCTTCTTTTGCTTTAATAACATTATCTTTCGGTTTTTTCCCCCAGATGGTATTTTCAAGCTTTTCTTTAATAAGAGGACCATTAATTCTATTATACTCAATATTAGTAGATAATGGCTGAATTATTTCTGCTTTTTGAGAATCAGGCAGTTTTGCGGGAGGTAGAAGTGGAGGTGGAGGTGGAGATTGAAGATTACCAGATTTTTAGGGTGGAGGTAGTGGTGGTGGTGGTGGAGGATTACCAGTTTTAGTGAGTAGAGGAGGTGGGGGAGGAGGACGATTGCCTGATTGTGATGGTGGTAGCGGAGGTGGAGGAGGAGGTTGAGGATTACAAGAATTATTTTAAGGGGGTTGAGGTTAAGGGTTTGTTTAATTAAGTTATGTAGGAAGTGAATTTTATGAAAGTAGGGGGGGAGGCTATTACGACTTTTCATCAAGTTCTGCCATAGTATTAGAATTTTCTTGATTAGTTGTTTAACAGAGTTTTTTTCTGGCCACAACTTATTTTTTTCTTCTGTTTTTAGTGATGCTTTCAATATCATCCTCTTCATCTCCTTTGATTTACAATGATTTAAACAAATCTAAGTTTATATTAGTACTCTCTAAAAAATTATCTCTTAATATCTCTAATTACCTAGATGCCATAATGCTGCTTAACTACTCTTCCCATTGATTTTTAAATTCATTTAATATTGCCTCATATTAATCATTTGTATATTGATATACTTCTCTTGTCTTTCTTAGAATAATATTTGGGTATTAAAGATCCTATTAAATGTAATTTTAAAAATCTTATTCCCATTCTAGTTTTTAAATTATTTTATCGTCTGATATTAATTAATTAAAGATTTCATTCCTCTGCTCTGGGTATTTTGCTAACACTTTGCTAACTAATTCTATCATGATTAATTAATTAATAGCTTTGATTTCAGCTTGTTTGATCATTGCTTAGAGAAGAGGAATGAATGTCTAAATATCTTGAGCTTCTAGCCTTTTAATTATATATAAAGATAAGCCATACAATATTTCTTAATTATCACTAACTAGTAGCTGTAAAGAAGACATTGAAATCTCTTTTTTTTATTCCAGAGCAATATTTAACAGTACAATTTTTTTTAAAGGATCATCATTAGCGTCGAAAGCAACTTCAACCTTCTCTCTTTCATCTTCTGATGATAATTAATACACCCATTTTAATGCAAGTGAATGATTAAGCACATCAGTCGATTCGATGAACTTTTAAGTGATTTCTAAATTGAGTTTTAATTAATGTCCTGTTACTCTGTAAAATACTTGGGCTGCTTAAAATAATAATTCTGGATTTAAATAATGATCTTCTGCTTCAATATCAAAATCTTTTAGAAAAGCTTTGATCAACTTAGGATCCATTTCTGTAATTTTTTAAGTTGTGTCTACTTTCAATTATACCCTTTGCTTGGATTGTATTATTTCACCATAAATAATTTAACCACCAACTTTCATAACTTAATAGAAAAAGAAATTAATGTATTAAAACAAATTATTACTCATTTATAAATCACTATATTTCTATTATCATTGGATTTAATATAAATTATTATTTAAAGTAATTGATTAAATATTAAAATAATGACCACAGTTAATGCTCCAAAAATAAGTGAATATAAAGAGGCAACTCGTATTGAAAGAGTGGGTGCTCAATCTCATATCAGAGGTCTAGGTTTAGATGGTGATCTTGAGCCAAGAAATATATCCCAAGGAATGGTTGGATAGGTATTACATCAATTAAAACACAACCTAGAAAAAAGCCAGAAAAGCTGCAGGTATCATCCTTAACACCATTCGTGCTGGTAAAATAGCAGGAAGAAGTATTTTGATTGCAGGGTAACCAGGTACAGGTAAGACAGCAATTGCTATGGGTGTTGCAAAAGCATTAGGAAATGATATTCCCTTTACAGCAATGGCAGGATCAGAAATTTTCAGTCTTTAGATGTCAAAGACTGAATCTCTAACTTAAGCATTTAGAAGATCAATTGGTGTGAGAATTAAAGAAGAAACAGAAATTGTGGAGGGAGAAGTTGTAGAAATTGAAATTGATAAATCGGCAACATCAGGAGCTAAAACAGGAAAGATCACTCTTAAAACTACAGAAATGGAAACAGTTTATGATTTAGGAGCAAAGATGATAGAATCAATTACAAAAGAAAAGATCTCATCTGGAGATGTTATAACTATTGATAAAGTTTCTGGAAGAATTAGTAAATTAGGAAGATCATTCTCAAAGGCTTCTGAATTTGATGCTCTTGGACCATAAACAAGACATGTTTAATGTCCAGAAGGAGAAATTGAGAAAAGAAAGGAAGTAGTTCATACAGTAACTTTGCATGAAATAGATGTCATAAATTCGAGACAAAAAGGATTCTTAGACTTATTCTCAGGTGACACTGGAGAAATAGATTCAGAAATAAGAGATTAAATAGATTCGAAAGTTGCTGAATGGAAGGAAGAAGGAAAGGCTGACATTGTACCAGGAGTCTTGTTTATTGATGAAGTCCATATGTTAGATATTGAGTGTTTTTCATTTCTTAACAGAGCCTTAGAATCCGATAAAGCACCCATTGTCATCTTGGCAACAAACAGAGGAATTACAAATATTCGTGGAACTACTTATAAAGGGTATTTAAGATCATTGATTATTTAGACCACATGGTTTACCTATCGATTTGTTGGATAGATGCTTAATTATCTAGACTGAGCCATACAATGAAGCAGAAATAAGGAGTATTCTTGAAATAAGGTATAAATACAATCTATTCTTAGATGTGAAGAAGAAGATGTTGAAATGACTGAAGAGGCAAAAGAAGTATTAACTAAAATTGGAGTGGATACAACTTTAAGATATGCTATTTAATTAATTACAACTGCTAATTTAGTTGCATAGAAGAGAAAATCAAATGAAGTAGATGTAGAAGATGTTAGAAGGGTATTATGCAATTTAAATTTAGGTTTATTCCATGTTCATTGATCATGTTAGATCCACACAATATTTAAGAGATCATTAAGCAGAGTACATGTTTGATGAATACTAAAAGTAACCTTAAAAGATGTAAGTTGAATGATATATAATGTTCACATAAGTATTTACAGATAATTAACTCGAATTTATATGTTTATAGATATGAAATTATTCAGAAATTCTTATTACTAATAGACTATCAGTTGTTAATCCTCATTATTTGATGCAACAACTTTTAAGTTGCAAAATTAGTGTTCAGCTATTGGAGATTCATTTTGTTATTTTTTCATTAATTAATTTCAAAATGTCTGCTCCTTAAATTATAATTGAATAGCAATCTTAACTTAATAGTCCAATTGAAGTTGATGGAGCTGTTTATGTAGCAGCATAAAATGGAGAAATAATTTAATACAAGGATGGATAATAGAAAGTATGATTTACATTCTCAAAGCAGACATTTTTTCATGTAGCCAGTCAACCACATTCAATAAAAATGGATAATAAGAATAAGGTCTGTTATGTTGCTAACATGGCTAGATAATGCATTTAGAGGTTTAGTCAAGATGAGAACAACGATGAAATTATTGATTTCATTAATGAGTTTGAAGGCATGCCACTTCTTGGGCCTAATTCAATTTTGCTCTCTCCTAAAAATAGTATTTCACCTGATCAATATTAGACATGGTTTTTTTTACTGATTCTGGCCCTTTTGGAGAAACTGCAATAGATAACTGTAAAGGATCATTGTTCGCAGCAGATTTAGATAATCTAACATGCAAAGCATTAGCTTTATATTGCCTTTCATTTCCAAGTGGTATCTGTATGGGCAATGATCAAAAAACCATATATTTATGTGAAACAGGTAAGAATAGAATTCTAAGATTTGTTTAGGCTAATGCTGAAATTTATTACTTTAGGTATCATAGTCTATCTTAAATAGTGTTTATATTCAATTTTAAGGAAGGTTCGGTCCTATGGCCTGTGCTGTGTCATCAAATGATCTCTTATACGTTGCGAGATATGAGTTCTCCTAAGTTACTGATGATGGACTAATCAGCATATATAATTAGAACGGAATCAATATCGATAATATCGTACTACCTCAATATCCTGAACTAACTGGCATGACCTTCTCAGTGTAAGACTTTTGTTGTAAACTTTTAGCTAAAAACCTGGTGTATTGTACATAACTGAGAATTCATAAAAGGGAAAGTGTTTATAGCTCAATGTTACTCCTTCAGACAAAAAAGATAAAGATAAGTTTAAGTGATGAAGTATAATTTATATAATGACTAATTCAATTAGTGAAATTTGTTATAGACTATTTTATAAATCAATCCAATAGGATTTAATATTTTATTAATTATAATAATGAATTTAGATTATGTAATAAATATCAATTAAATTATTATATAAAATTAAATGCCATTATAATATTTATATTCACACAATTCAAATAAGAAAAAGTTTTCCATTGGATGTACTGAATATATTTAATTTATTGTTTTTTCTCATGGATTTAATTTATTCCATAGTAAATTAGAAACAAACATTTTTATTTGAAGCTCTTCCGGAGAATATATCAAAATTATTTTGTTGTCGAATTTTTATATCTTCACTCATAGTTCCTTTTAAACAACTAACCTTTATAACACTATTTAATCTATTGGAAATCAGTTTGCTTTCATTTAAATTATTGGATCTAGTTGACAAAGATAGTCTTTATCTATCTTTCCCCTTATTTTCTGGTTTTTCTTAACAAATTCTTTGATTGAAACGATCAGAATTTTTTTTTTTCTGGAAAAAATATTACTGTTTCTAATATTTTTTTTTATTTGATAAATTGTCAAGGTTAGAACACTTATTAACTTAACTGGTTGTTTTTTAGTCAGTTTAAAGTGGTTTTTGATCTTTAAAAGTTCTTATTTAATCATTCTGTTCTTGAGATTCTGCGCTGTAATATCGACCCATGAATTTATATCTTGGTGATGTAATAGGACAATTAGCTTATTCTGAGTTTGAGGGTGATTGAGTACTGGCTTCACTAAATCCAAAAAAGTTAGTAGGAAATGTCAGCACATCAATCATCTTCTCATCTTCATCAGAATTGATTGTTGGTTAACAATCAAAACAACATTCTTCTGCCATAAACAAATTATATTTGAAAAATAGATAATTAATTTGGATATGATTAATCCTTTTAATTATTAAAAGTTTTTATAAAGAATGATTAATCATAATAGAATGAAAAAGAATTTGGCATATTGTTTTAAAATGAATGAATAATTCAATAGTTATACTTAACAAATTAATAAATTAAATGCTTATTTATTTTAACAAAATGAAGCAATTCTTTGGCATGATGAAATTAATAGGCGAATAATTGTATAATATTAAATTAAAATATAAATAATGAGATTTAGTTGTGTCATTTGTAGAGTTGACATTAATACTTAAGAGTAGGAATATATATATAATATAAGATTGAAATTTCACAATAATAGACTATTTGGAAATGGATGAGATGGAATATAGAACCAAACAAAAGATTAGAGTTATATATTTGAAGTGTTAGACTTATATTTAATTGAATTGTAATTAGAGTGATTAATATTATTATAAATTATGAATCCTATCGACACCAGATAAATATTGAATTGGGATCAAGTAAAGGTGCATATACAACCCAATTTATGCATAGAATGCCAATTGGTTCCTTAATAGCCTCTTCAGTGTTATCGATGTTAGAAATCTCTCTGCTAGACTTGTCATGCAGATCTAAAATAGAAATCAAGAGGGCCAAAAATATTTTGTTAGAAATGCAAAGCACTCAATTATTTCAATCCTGCTAACAATGCTATTTACTAGAGTTACAGGGATATGGTTATAGGATGTGTAAATCGTCGATATGGTTGTAAAGTGACACTGGATTACAAAAAATATTAGAAACATGTTGAAGAATGTGAGTTTCAACGCATTCCATGCCCATCTCCAGGGTGTTTTGTAACAACATTAAAACGGGCAAAGGGGGATCACTTATAGGTGTGTGAGTACGTGATAGAGACATGTTAATACTGTAATAAGTAATTCAATCGGAAATCGATGGCTTATCATCAAGTAAGAGTTTGTTCTAATGAAATGATAGGAAAAATGCAATGGAAAAGATGTGTAACAGATTGATTTGGCATCTTTAAAGTCGGACTTCCTTCGACTGAGGAGCAAATTGGATGCTGCCATTTCATAATTTGAGTAATCAGCTGAAATTGCAATGCTAGAATAGAAAGTAATCAAATAGTAGTTAGAGATCTAACAGTTGAAGAATAATATTAATTAATGAGTTATTAAGAATATGATTCTCTTCGCACTAGACGAATGTAAGTCTTTACAATAGTAGGGCATTTTCACTGCATAAGCAACGATTAGCCAGTATTAAGGGGTACGAGAATAAGCAAATCTCCAGTGTTGTGGCCAGAGTTGAGAGAATGAGATCTCAATCCATCAGTAGACGTAAGTAAGTAGAACAACAGCAACTCGAAGGAGAAAATCAACGAATAAAGTAAGACATCTCAAAACATAAGGTTTAAATTGTTGGAAATTGCTAATGAAAAGAAGATATCATCATAACAAGTTAAACTATGTTAAGCCAAAAAGAAGTTATAACAATTATTTAGACATTAATAAAATATGATGGAGAATCTTATTTTGATGTAAAAGATTACTAATGCGTATTTATTCAAGGTCATCTAGAACTTCATCCATTACTCATAATGTCTAATCTCAAGATTTTCACATTAGCAAGTTAAAGCAACTTCATAGATATCTACAAGACGATGAGAAGAGTTTGTTAAAGTAAAATATCCACTTATATGATACAAAGAGGTTCAAGTTTTCAGAGTCCCAACCATACTTAATCAAATTCCTACAATCCTTAACGTACTAGAACCCTTGATACCACTCACATCAAATTATCAGAATTCAGATTGTATTCAAATGGATAATTGCTTCAATGAATTATATGAAAATTCTGATAATTTCCTATGTTATCAAATATTATCTCTTATTCATCCTATTATTTGTTTTCTTTCATCAATCTTCTTTTATTTAAACAACAGATTTAAAACTCAAGAATTTTAACATCTCCAAATTAAGAGATTGCTTAAATTTGCTGAATTTATTTTTATTAGACCCAAAACAAAAAACCTCTATCTGAGAACATGAAGCACAAATTTGCGATATATTGTTATTCAAAAACTATGGTATTAAATATTTTTATATCATTCTCTAACCTAATTAGTAAGATTATTCTTCTTCTATTTTGATTATACTTATTTCTATATGGCAAGAGTATACTAAACTGCTCCATCTCTAATATTACAGTTTGTTTATACTATCCGAAAAGGGAAACCCACTTCTTTCAAGAAAAACTTAATTAATCCAAATAGAAAATTAATTTTTTTTTTCTTTATTGCAATTAATATTCAATTTATATATGGATGAACAGATAACCATGTTAATTGAGTAAATAAATAAAGTATTTATTAATGATAGAACTAATTTATTGCCTAAGTTAATATAATTAATCCATATCCTATTTTATGGAGATGTAATCCTCATCCATTAAGTTCTATGAATCTTTTGCAAAATAGCTATCTTTAAATATCCATTATTATAATAATATGAGATTATCTAGATGCTAGTGATATAAATATCAATATTAAATATTTGTTCATCCAATTTTCATCATTTGTTCAATTATTATATTTTCTCCTTTTTTATTATCTAATGGGTATTGAATCACTCTGGTTTTCGTTCTTTACTTTTTTATTCATTTTTCGATTCTTTTGGCTGATTTATGCTCATTTCTGTTTTAATTTTAATTTAAATGGGAATTCCGTAATCAAAACAAACTCAATCTCAGCTTTTTGAAGAAACCCTCAAATAGTTCGACATCATAGACAAATAATAAACATACATACTCTTCCAAAACAAAACTACAATGCAAAAATTAGAATTTTGGACTTTCAAATATCACGATGAAGACTCTTTTAAAAGGGCTGTAAAAGACCTGACTCAGACGAGAACTTGCCAAACTCTGCTTCAAATTATCAAGCAGAACTCTGTAACTCATGACGAATTCTGTTCTACCTTCTATGAACTCCAACTGCTTGTTGAACATCCAGTCCAAAGTTTTGCTGAGTACCTTCAAAATAGAGGATAGCAAGATTACTCTTCCAAAGAATTGTATCATCTGATTGATTGTGTAGCGTTCGCATAATTAAATCTTGATAAAAAACAATACATAGGATTCAATAATTTATGGCAAGGGGAGAATGATGTTTGGAAATTGAGAAGTTTTGAGAATTCCTATCGACCCATAGATTTCTGGGGAAAATAGATTCCGCATTTATATCCAGCACCAGAAGAACTCAAAATAGACCCATCGATTAAGTATTCTGTTGAAAAAGCAACCGTCTTCACCTTTGGCATGCTCCTACTTCATGTTGCATTAGGTATTTAATTAGTTTAATTAAGCATAGCCAAGTCTTGTGATTCTCTATATTAGAACAATACAATTGATCCATAGAGATTGACAGCTAGAATTAATGAATTTTAAAAGATTTACCCCAGCACTTTGGCAGACATCGTTTCTAACATGCTCTAATTGGAGCCATTTCAAAGATACAGTTACTAAGACATTCAAAATAGATTGAAAGAGGCTTAGCAATGTAAAATAATTGATAGCACTAATCTCCTATTGAAGATGCCCTAATAAATCAACAGTTAATCCAAGTTCTAAGGAAATCCTTACAAATCCCCTGTGGAAACATCAAGATTAATAAACATTCCACTCTATCCAGAATAGCAATTTATTAACTCTTAATCAATACCTGGAAATAATAGTCTCCAAAATTATGGCAACTCATTACAATAAAATAACTAATAATTGATATAGACAATTACATAATCCAAGCAATAACAATAATTTGACAAGTAATAGCCTTAACCTATACAATCAAATCGTTCCCTCTCCCCATATCAAAGTCGGGTCAAATAGGATAAATTATAATTTGCCGATGGAAGATATTATGAAGGAGAAATCATGAATGAGTAAATGAATGGTCAGGGCATACTTTACTATGCCGATTCTACAGTTGAATACGAAGGTTAATTTGTAAACAATTAATTCCATGGCTTTGGAGTGCATTGCAATAATAATCCTGATATCATGGATGCTTTCCTGAATATAAATGAGTTTCCAGGTATTTTGAATTATTGGTTAAAAATATGAAGGCGATTTCTATTAAAACAAGTAATCTTACTTTATGATTATTAGAAAACATGGAATTGGAAGCCTTACTTTTTCAAATGGGGACTGTTACATCGGCGGATTTCAGAAAGACTAAATGGAGGGTCGAGGTACCTATACTTAGAAATACGGGTAGACTTATATTGGATTTTGGGAAGGCAATAAACTAAAATATTGATATATTATTTATTTTACGTATGTTTATTTCATATTCTTATCAAGAGGCAAGATAAATATTAAGCTAAAACTTAGAAAAAGGTAGAGCAAAATTAAGCCCTGAAGAAAAACTAAAATGTGATATTGCTTAGGCTTTCATTTATGAATAAGATCAAAAACGATTATAGGCTGCGTCCATCTACTATACTCTAAGTTAAAAGAACCCAGCTTATTTGGAAAGAGCCATCATTAATGGATTGGCAGCCCCAGCCTCTGCAAAGAGACAAGCACTTCTTCTGACCATCTACAGAGACAGTAGAAGTTAAAAGTCAAAATGGCTTCCATTTATAAAATCAAAGTATTTTGATTTCCTTTATCACTCTAGTGTACAGCAAGATTTATTGAAATGGACTGATATTGAAACCTTTGCCAGAGAAACCAAGACAAATCCTAATTTATTTTGTGAGCATATCATCACAGCTGTTGGGAGATTCTACAGTAACATCTCCATATAGAAATTGGCCCAATTTTGTAAACTGAAGGAGGAACAAGCTTATGAACTTTTAGAGAACATGATAATCACTGAGAGATTACAAGCATAAATAGATTAATAATAAGGATACATCTACTTTTAACATACCGAATAATGTACCATAGAGGAATTCTGTACAAACTTATATAGTCTATGCTAATGAATAATTATCTACATGTATAATTCATCATTAATAATAATTGAATTCCTCTCTAAATTTATATATGATAAACAATCATTTAAATTTTGAATATATTGATAAACATCTGGAATCATCAATTATCCTGTATTCATGCAATCTTAAAGTATCACCCTTCAACAGCTAAAATTCATCCTAAAGGAACTTATCAATATCTTTTAAAACCTAATTGAATTCGATTATAAAAAAATCAATTGATCATCTACCTTGGAAATATTATCATAACAACCATTCCTAGAACATTTTGTGTTCTCACTCCTGCATTTAAAAAAGATGCTTTACATTGCAATGCTGTAAATAAAAGCAATAAAAATTTTTCACATCTGAAATAATTTGTTATTTGTAATATTTATAAATTCTACAGCCGTACTTCTTTCTTATTCATTAAGACATCTTTGTCAAAAATCATTTAGGATGATTTCGTAAGTCAGAGGTAGGTTTTAAATAATGATAAGAAATATGGATATTCTTTCCATGACTTTTGCTCATCCTAAATTAATATTTTAATATAAAGAATTCATTCTCTATTACTTTATGCTACTTGATCCATGTTTTAGATTTCGTCCAAGCACCTTAATTTTACTTTATTGAACTGGATTTTTATTAAACTACAGTATTTTTCAAAGCTTCTCTCTCTCCAAGCAGTTTTTCATTCTCCAATAACTTCACTTTTTCTTCAAGCTATGAATCATTAGATATTTAAATTACAAATCGTTACTCATTTTCCAGATTTTTTGAATTCTATTTGCTCTTCAAATACTTTGCTTTAAATTAATTAGTCTGTTCTTCTTATTATTATAACTATCTTTTCAAATCATTTGCATTTCTCTTCCATTCATTTGCCTCTTCTCTAGCAACATGAACCTCTGTAACCAATGAATCTACTTTCTTCTCAATATGTAAAATTTCCTATAAATTATTAATAATTTATACTTATTCTTATTATTGTCTCATGTAGTCTATCTCCCTGTCTTATTCATAGAGCAAATGTTATAATTTTCTACTCTCCTATTCGCAAATCTCAATTTCATGAACCAATCTTTGTTTTTCTTTCTAGTCAATCTAATATTAAACATCATATTTTGATAGTTTTTCATCTTGAATTTAGAGTGTTTATCTATATTTTTCTATTTCTCCTTTCAATTCTTTTACTTCCTGAACTTTAAACTGAGCCTCATTTATTGCTTACTCAGTTTTATGTTTTTAATCCTCAAGTAAAGATTACAATTTTGTTTATTCTCCTTACAAATCTTAAATTTATTTATTAACTATAATATCTTCTTTTGATTTATCTTGTAATTTCTATTCTAATTATTAGATCTATGTTTGCATCTATTTAGCTTTTTATTTTCTCTTCTGTAATGTCTCTTATAACTCACTTATCAACCCTTGTTTCTCTTAATCTAATTTCCCTTATAACATTTGATATCTTATCTCGGCTTACTTTAATAGTTCCTCTAAATCTTGCACTCTCTTCCCTTAATTTTCTATTGTAATTTACAATATCTTTTTCTCATCTAAAATTTCTTAAATTTTGCTCACTAATCTTATTTGTATTATCTCTCTCTTCTTAAATCATCATTTCCAAATATCTTCTATCTTCTTCCTTTTGATCTAATAGTTATTTATATATGTTCATTTTCATCACTCAAGCATATGAGTCTCTTCTCTGAATCTTTACTAATTAACCATTAATTTAATAATCTTACATTTCATTTGAGAACTCTTCACACAATTTCTGCACTCTCTCCAACTCTTATTGGAACCCTTGTTTCTAATCTTCAAATTTACTCTAAAATCAAAATCAGAAGCTAATTTACATCAACTGTTTTTTGGGAATCCTTTAGCAATTGAATCTTTGCCTTCTTTTTAATTAATTTCTATTTGGCCTAAGATAGTTAAGTTCTGAGATCTTCATTGATTCGTGATTATTAATCTTCCTTCAAAATCTATTCTTTCTATTCTTGCAATTGATTATACAAATTCTCCTATTATTCTCTAAGTTCCTTCTCGTACTTTTCAATAAGATCATCCTTTCCTCTAATTGCAGATTCCAGCTCCTTTGTTCTATCTATGTATTCTTTTAGAGTTAACTAATTTATTTAATTATTCCTTTTTATACTTTAAGCTCTTTGTTTAAGTTTCTCATTTTGCTATACTTTTCCCTTGACACATACTCCTTTTCCTTCTCCTCTTTATTATTTTTCTCTGAACGTATTGTTGTATCATTCTTCCCTCCCGATTAATACAATTAATCGATAACTTATTTTGAACGATTATATCTCTCCAACAATCTTGAAAAGTCCTTTTCGATCTTTTCTGTATGTCCATCTCTCTAATTCATTTTTAATATTCAAATTTATTAACTGATTTAAATTATGTAAAATAAGCGAATCACTAAATTTGTTTATTTTCATCTAAATGAGTCTCTCCTTAATTAGAGTTGTTCTAAACTGGTGGCTTAATGTTGATATTCAAAACAAAAATCAATTTTAAATAAATTTTAATACTACTTTTTAATCAGGGTGTCCCTTTATTTTTATTAATAAATGATGTTGAAAGGAACTAATTTATAGTAATTAATTATTATGTGTTATTTAATTAGCTCCATTTAAATTCAAATATCATATGAATATCAAGTAAGATAAACTTATTAACAGATATATTCATCCCATTCATCATTATTTTAACTTATTTCAAATTATTTGATTTAATCTATTTGTTTTAGTCGTTTTAAGTGTATTGATAAATTAAATTAGGTATAAAAAAGGATTTCTTTTACTTTTTAATTGTTTCATACTTAAATTTAATAACTATTTCATAAATTACATTCTTAGCTTCTTTTAAATACTGGATGAAACTTAATATAGCACTTTTACTTCTAAAAGTTGATATCATTTTATTCTTATTGTTCCCATTTAATAATATTTATTGAACGAAAAGCAAGTAAAATTTTATAAAACTATAAAAGTTTGTTTTTGACTTTTACATATTATTTTAATTTAATATATATATGGATCATTTCAATAATACGTTTTATTAATCTATAAAGTCACTCTTTATTGTATAATTTAATTGAAAAATTTTGTAAATAAAACTACCAAATTATTGGATCATTTAAATTGAATAACTATTGTTCTTAATTATACGAATTAAATATAAATAAAAAGATCAGAGGTAGCTGTTGTCAGAAATCGATTTCCATACTTTTTTCAGTTATTTAATTTAAGCTTTGTGAAGTTTACAAATATATTCTCCTTATTCTCCTGAGTGTTTTTAACTTTTAAGAGACTTAAGTCACAGCCTCTCTTTTGTCGAGCATCTTTTCACTAACATCCTGATTCACAATTATCATTTTAAGTATAGATTTTTCTTCTTTTGAAATTTGATTTTATTCTTAGAGAGTCTAAACATATTTAAGGGCATTTTAGAAATATGATTGTGTCATAAAATAATTTGATTTGCTATTAAGGAATTTAAATTATGTGAAATTAAGTTAAAAAAAGCATTTATTTTGGAAAGAAAAGAATTTCGGATATATACTGCTATTAAAAAAATGTCTATTAAATTTATATTATTCATATTAAGATGCATAAGATTCTTGAATTTAACGATAAATAATTATTTATTCGAAGAATTCTAGAACTTTTCTCGTTTTCTAAGTAAGTAATTATTAGTTAAAATCTGTTTAAGAGATATATATACACAAAAACTCAAAATTATTTTGGACTCTCAAATCATTTCCTCATCGGTCTATTCATCAATTATTAGAAGTTAGCTTTGCTTTATTGGTTAATTCTTCCTGTGTTTTTTAATTATATATAAAAAAAAGAAAGAAAGTTATTCTGCACTAATCTTAGAAGGAATATTAAATTCATTTCTAAGTATTAGATCTTTAAGGATGAGTTTCTCCTCCTCATTAACAAGTTTAAGTTCGCTTAGAGAGTGCAAAGTTTAAAAACACATTCTATAAAAGAATTCATTCATCATTTCTGAATAATAATTTTAATATGGTTTTTTTATAAATGAGAATTTACAATTTAAACTTTGAAAAGCAATCCATAAATTGATTCAGTCACCTTCTTTTAAATTCCATAACTTTAAATGCTTCATTTTTTGTGCTGCAATTGTCATTTTAAGAAATTGATACATAAATATTTTACTAGCTTTAAATAATAACAAAATAAAAGGATAATTAAAAGAATATTTTTAATA